ATTATTGTCACTACAATGTTCCATAGAGATAGTAGGCAACTTGCCATGTTGTGCACAACAAATACTTTCAAAATTCTTACACTTGGTTCATGTTTTCTTTTGCCCAGTCTCCACATTTAAGTATAACTGCTTTAACCCTAACATACCTGAATTCATCAAAATCCAGGTTTTTGTGTAGTATTCATGAGCACTTTTATTAGTATCCTGAATCTGCCAAAATCCATCAATTTTGTCATACAAAAATATGTTGGTGTCCTGAGTCATTCAGCATCCTCCAGTGAGTCCATCAGAATCCATCAGTGTAATGGTAGTACATACTGTACATTTGTACCTCGTACTACACACCAAACGTATTAATGTAGCCAAGGAGTTAAACTGTCGAGATCCTGAATCCATCAAAGTCCCCCAACTGCTCCATATGGAGGTATCCTGAATCCATCAAAATATGGCAGTACCGCTAGGCCTACTGTCCTGAATCCATCAAAATCCCCCTACTTTTTCAGTATTTTGAACCTGCCAAAATTCCCCAAAACCTGGATTTTGACTGTTCAGCTACAACGTGGTCAAATCCTTGGCAATTCAGCTTCTGCTACAAGTAAGGACGATCAACACCCCCCATTTTTATTTGTCATTTATTTAAACTTCAATTTGTTGCCTTTTAGAAACCCATCCTTTCCTGGTTGCGAAAAGTCAGTTTCGACAGCTGGTATATAGCTAAACACAATTTATAAATACAATAAAGTGAAAAGTGTAATTTAGGAATAGCTGTCATATCGTGTAGGTTCTATACGTTTTTACCACTGGGCAACTTCTTAACTTTTTTTAAAATGGATGTATCGTGTGTTGGAAATAAACTCTGCTTTTACACAAATAAACCTGTGCTGGTGTTTATCACTATCAGCATTGTTTCCTTGTTCAGTGACAATTTAACAGTTTCAGCACCGCAAGAAACAAGCACTTGACATAAATTCCTTGTTCCTAAAGACTACGAAATGGTTCCAAAGTTCCACGGTGACACCGTTTACAATGCGGATGCAAGTTGTTGTTTAACTCGTTCGCCCCATATGAGACTGCTCGAACTCGGCCGTGAATGCGCCCATAAATCAAGAAGATTATTGCTCTGTTTTGAACAAGCGTGAAGAGCTCGTACGGAAGTGCGTGTCCTGAACTTTAGTCGGGATCCGTGCCACGTATGCATGCGCAGACGTACTCACCCGGATCAATTAAAGTCAGTCACGTATTGTTCCCGGGTCACGTAAGAACAACGCCGAGCGGCCGCGATCAGAGTTCAGGCAACAAAAGACCAGATGCCTAAAATGGTGTTTCATATCGCCCCAACAATTACACCTCGAGTGTTGCGTCCGTTTTTAAGAGTGTTTATTTACTCCGCACACAATCAGCAACACAGTCTCGGAGACAAATGCAAAGTCGCCAGGCCAATATGATTAATTAGGTTGTGCACAGAACATAGTCTGGCATATCACCGTCACCGGGACAACATGTACTGATCCCTTGTTGCTTATTGGCTTTGTCTGCTTTGTTTTCTGTTCTTCGCCCTCTTCAAATCTGTCCATTCGGATAGGTTCAATTAATCAAACGACAAAAAGAAAGTGAACTATCATGGTAACATGTTAGAAACATTGTTCCCAATCTTACAAAAAGACCTTACTTGTTGCATCAAAATCACATTAAAACAATAACAAATTTATAAGAAGAAAACAACACTAGGGCATTTACATGTGCGCATATTAAGAAAACATATTCCCCAACTCCGATTTTGGCTTGTTCATTATAAAAAAAAAATCTATCCTAAGTATAAATTGGATTAAACTTTGTTCTGTTTCACTGCAAAATTTACAAAATATCGCTGCAACTTAAAACAAAACAAAAAATCTACATTTATAAGGTGCAAATATGAATTTAGCATAATTTCTGACATCTTTTCTGCCAAATACCCAATGTTCAATCCTTGCAGATTATCTTACATATAAAAAATAACCTGAATACTGACAAAAACCTGATTTATTAATTAGAAGAATTCCAAATTTGATGTGTTCCTTTCAAATACAGAGCACTGATGCACGCTGCACAAATCACTACCCTGTTCCCAGTGATTAGATTCTGACTGAGACTAAAAACAGACTAAAAATATTTTCTGCAATTATTTATCTGGAAATCAGCACGCATCCAGGAAGTTATTCACTCTGATTGATCAATGCACACACTGAGTATCCAATGACAACCGAATGCAATCTGGAGGTTAAAGAGACTGCTAATTTAGGATCCAAAGTGCGACATTTTTCCTGTCCCTGTTACCTTGGTACTTTGCAATTTGCCATTCATGTATCATTAAGAATGACTCCAAATGATTTTTGCATTTGTTGGGTAGGTAGTTTCCTATTCATAAACACTCTTGGAGGACGAATTTTGCATTGAGGAGTGAATAAGAAGTTGTAAAATCATACATGTAGATGTCAGATGTAACGGGGACAAGGAGAAAAGGACCCCAAATTTATCTATAATGACCCAAATAGACCTCTCTTCATCTGAATTACACTGACTTCTTTATAATTTACCAGAGAGCATGTCGTAGTCAGGATCAACTGGAAGTACACAAAGCATACATTATAGTCACACTACCACCGTAATCTAGGATTAAAAGTTGAAGAATTCATCGTTACTCGATCAGAAAACTGTGACATGCACTAGTGCGTATCTTTAGCTTTAGTTAAAAAAACAAGCCACCTCAATACACAGTTTACTAATTCATGAATAATTTCGGGAGGTTCTTGGCAAGATCAGAATACCAGCACAGAAATTGTGAAGATCTGGTTTCCGGTTTAATACCCCACTACATCTAGAAAATCAAGACTAATTTTTTTACTCATTTTTTTTTTTTTTTTTTAAATAACTAGGCCATGTATATATATGGTGCTGCCTCAACCCTACTTTTTGTGGTTAAACAATCCGATATCATCCTGCTGTTTTTAACCGTGTATATATATATACACATGTACAATGTAGCCAATCTTCAATTGATACTATCATTCAAAACAACTTACAAGTAATGTGGGTACATGTACTACATTGTAAGTATGGCATTTTGGAACAACAAAAGCTGCGCAGATAAAGTTGTTAAAGTTTTGTGCGGTTCCTTTAAACCTCGAGTCTGGCCACTGGCCCAGCGTGCTATGGGACACCCAGTGACATTGACCTCAAGTTCGAATTCCCGGTTTGTTTGTGACAGTGTACAAGCATGTGGCATGCAGACAGGCATTCTTGGTCTGCCCTACCCAATTCTATACTGTAGGCTCTGGTCATAGTGAAAATTGGCGAGCAAGTTAATACTGTATTCTAAAGAAACCTTAACCATAACCGTCCCAAATCCTCTTTGCAAAATGGAGGATTTCACAGGATTGAGGCTATATGGCAAAAGCCGTGTTGCTGATTTTGGAGGATGCACTGTGTCAAGGTCTCGGGCCGGACCTTGTGTTGTTTATGCTCAGCCGTGCATAAATTTAGGCCTACAGTATATTACACTTGAAATCCTCCACACTGCTCCAGGATGTCACTGGCTCTGCCTCAACATACTGACAGTGATTGCTGGAGTATTTGGCAGGATTGAGGCATGCAAGTTTTAAATGGAGGCAGATTTTGCAGGATTGAGGTTGCATCCTAGCAAAAAGCCTAGGGAGTAAGGGTTTAGGGTTAATGATTGTACTGGTAACTAAACACCCTGTGAACTTATTCCGCCCGGCTTTCTGTCATTTTGAGGAAAACAAGAAATGTAGGTGAATTCCAAAGAACAGTGAACTGACTAATTTTTGGAAATAAAGAGTGCTATTGAAGAAATCCTTTTTCATGATCAACAGGTAATGTATGGTTTTTCACTTTTTTTCTCGAAAAGTATAACATTCACTGGTCTGAAACTTCAACAGGTTAGGTTTTGAACATTCTTCTTTGGCTTTTGAGTGGTGTTATTATTGGAAACAAACAAAATTCATGAAAAGCAAATGATCCTACATGTGTATGCCTTTAATGCATAAATTTGCATTGACTTGGCAGCGGAAATCTTTTGGCAAACCCATGAAAAATATTTACTAAGGCTACTTGGGTAGGTGAACCAATTAACCAAATCTTAGCAGAATTGACACTATTTGCAAATCCTGCACTATAGCATTACGGTTGATTGAGTTTTTTTTGCAAAAATCTACATTTTCTTTGAAAGTGCATTTCAAAATTACAACAAATGTGAGTTAATCTGAAGGAAAAAGACTGCTTTAGGCTGCAAAGTGCAAAAGTCCAATTTGGTACCTGGAAAGTCATCTGCAAAAGTCAGTTTTAAATGGAACTTGTACGAAATAAGATGATTACCAACATTTTACTTGTTGCTGCAACAGTGGGAAAAAATGTTGCAACCTGACGCCACTTTTTTCTTCATTCATCATATCAATATGAAGGTCAGTCATTGCAAATATGATGATAAGACATGAATCTGGGACTGAGAAACATTTCCAATTTTATTAGGAAGTACTTAGAAAATTGTCTTGACTCTCCATAGACTTTGTACACAACCATGACAACCGCTGAAGAGGCGTCAGGTTGCAACATTTTCCCAACAGTGCATGCAAGAGTGCCAATGCGTAAACACAAGGCAAAAATTGGGTTTTGAATAATTTTTCTGCATTAGGCCTATTCTGCATGTTCTTGAAGTTGAACTTAATTTAACTTTAAGTGAATGAATTTCAAGCTTATTCTTTAGAAAAGTTGGAGGGAAAGCCCTACGCCTACATAGCTCAGCCATGGCTCGGCAAAGGAGACTCCACTACCAATACCAGCATTTAGTACTGCATGGTATATGGTAGTGCACATGTACCGCACACATTAGTAATGACATGTATTGCTACACACACTAGTCACTACGCAAAAACAGCAACAGAATATTCCCACTGCGCTTTTCACATGTACCAAAACTTAAGGTTTTTTTCGACAACACTTACCCCTTTCAAACTATCATAAACTCAGTGTATGTGCTCCATCACAGTGCTAGAAATGAGTCCAAGCTACACAGAAAAGTCACAGCAAGTTGATTCTTTTTCAGCCAACAAAAATTCCATTCCGAGTAGACACCTGACGAACACATACCGATGGAGTGACTTTTGGCACTTACTTTGAATCTTCTGAAAACTTCACCACATAACAACCTGTCACCAAGACTGGTACACGCCTGGTGGGCACACGAGTACGCAGCGTGAATGGATGGGACACGCGGGATACCAGTTAAGGTTTGAGAGTGCAGCTGTACGATGCTGGACAGAAAACAGGTGCCAAGCAAGGCAGATCAATTAAGAGTTAACTTTATAATTTAGTTATTCATTAAAAATTATGTTCTTTGAAATGATTATGTTTTACCATTTGTGTCATTTTGCACACGTTTGAGGATAAATAGCGCACTCAAGGCCTTCGTGGGATTTTTTTGTTGGAAGGCCGGGGGGGGGGGGGGGGGGGGGGAGGGGGACGGCTTTGCAGTTTAGCGTCTCGAGAAAACTACCTATCGACCGTGGGCAAACTTGAAAACGGACGTATGGTGGCGCTGTTCAGAACTTGTTGACTTGCATTGAAGATATTGCTTTTCAACAAATTCTATTTTTTTTTTGCGACTGAACTTGTTTTTTACTCCCGAACTTGCCTATATTAGAAGGATCACTTGCCGTGTAAAATCCTTTAGACCGCTCAGATACATTACAATAATTAAGTTCTTTTAAGAATTTAAAAACTGCCACTTCCTTACTTTCGAATGCTGTTCTTAGGCATTCGGTGCAAACGAATGTATGTCTTTAAGTTAGCTTTAAAAAGTTTTTTTGAGTAAAAAACTAACTTTTTTAGTTGCTGATTATCTTTGAGATCATGAGACTTCGAAAAATAAATAAAGGTATTTCTTGCAAAGAGACTGCACTGTTCCTTCTCTTAATAGTTTTTTCCCGGAATAAAAAAGTGGGGGTCGAGAGGGCGCTGTTGTATTCTAACGGTGGTGCATTTCTCAATGATGATCGAGTCAACTTAGAAATGCCTTCCGTTTATTTAATTTACATGATTTATCTCAAAAAGTATTGATTTTACGGACTTCCCGTTCGTTGCATGCTACACCAATGCCATCCAGTTCTCGATCTATGTATAATTTGAAAGTAACTATCTGATATTTAGCCAGCACGGCATCACGGCTAGGCAATTCGAATACGAGCGCGCCGAATATTGATCCAAACAGTCTGAATCCCAGTCACTAGACGTGTAAAGTACTCCATCCAAAGTATTTGCACCAGACGAACTGTACTGTGGATCATTTCTCAACACACAGCTTGCTCTGTTGGCAGGAAATCGCCACTACTTCAGTCTAGTTCAAATACTTGTGTATACTTTTGCTGGAGTATTCGTTTTTGCGATTTATTGGGCTTTTAAAGGGCTCAAGTTACTGATTCACGATCGATCTGACTAAAGCTAAGGGAATTCCGTCGTACGTCGTCTAACGACAATAATGTCTAGAAACAGAGGGGGCGGAGTCGGAGGCAGAGCTCCTCTCAAACCGAGGGCGGGTTTCCAGAAGCCGGCCCAGCAGGACTCCAATGCCGTGTCCTCGGCTCTGCTAAAGCAGGCTATGCGCAGTGGCCAACTCAACCTGTCAAATCGGGAACTCGCTAAAGGTTAGAACACAGTCACTTACGTGTCATGTGTATTGTCATTGACACTGACCTGCTGACACTGACAATAATATTGTGATGGCATTTTTGACAGATGAGAGTTTTGGAGGATGCACTTGACATGCTCGATGATGGAGATGTTTATTGAAGAAGATGCTATTGTTTCAGCATTTTATTGATTCTCCTTTTGAGTTGTGTGGTGAAGATTATTGATTTGATAAGTTTAACTTTGAATACATGAAATGGTGTCATGATGTACGGGGGGGGGGGGGGGGGGCTCTGATGTGACTGAGCAAAAAGTTCTTGCATAGACCATAGTCATGTGATGGCAATATATTTGGTCACACCCCCATTCAAATTGATCTGGCGACGCCCATGCACCAACTGCACAAAAACATTGGGATGGGGGGGGGGGGCCTAACCTTGATAATTAAAACTAAAAGTCAAGGTTTCATTCACAACATTGCAGGTACTGTTGTGTGTAGTGTAAGTATGAATAGTTCAGATCGGTACATTTTCAGTTTTAATAATTAATAACTTTAGGCCTACTTGATTTTTTGAGATTTTATCGATTTTTAAAATTAGTTCCAGACAGTGTTTGGCGGATCAACATTGACATACCAGAGGAAGCGAAGACAGTGTCTCTGGACAAGACAGAGGATGGCTGGTGGGAGCAGACAGACCTTGTCAAGCTCATCCTGGCTTGCAACAAGCTTCAAGAGATATCCAATGATATACAGCAACTGCCTGCGCTTACTGTGCTTGACGTAAGTCAGTGCCGAGATCCAGGATACATGTATGTTTTTTGAGGGGGAGGGGGCTATGTAGGTAGCTGACTGGCTTTTGAGAAGGGGGGGGGGGGAGTAGGTAGGAGGGAGAATCATTTGACTCTTGGGGGGACTTTTTGAGTTTTCAAATTGTCGGATGCTTTTAAAGCAATATTTGGACCCTCCAGAAAAAAATTTCAGGGCCATACCTAGTCCGAAAATTTGGGACTCTCAATACTGTGTATTTATAGAGTCTCAAAACTTAAGGTATTGAAAACATGCAATACAAGAAAATAGACTGGCACCTGAAACAACCAGTTGAACACAGCTTCAGTACTGCATCAATCAACTCTGCCAAAAGAGACTTCTGGCATGTCTGGTTAGTTTACTAGTCTCTATTTCTACACATTTCTCCATAGTCAACCACCAGACTAGTGACAATGAATGAAGAGGTCAGTCTTTTCAAACAGTTGGACCATGGTTGGACATGTACCAGTCTAGTCTTTAGCCTCATTTTTGAAATCACTTGACTTCCCTCTCATGTGCAAAATATGAAAGAAAAGTCTCCTTTTAAAAAACGAATTGAGTCTTCAAACTTGGCTAGTGAAATACTGAAGACCTTGTCTTCAGAAAAAAAATTGGAGAATTTTGCTGGCTAAAGAGTGAGTAAAGTTGGCCTGATTTCGTTTTGCATGTTTTTCAGCACTCAAGCTCCCAGTCTAGGTCAAACCCCTAAGTTACAAAAAACCTTAACACATCCTTTGCCCAGTCAAACTTCCAGCCCCACCCTCACACCCCATTCCCCACCCCCACCCCCAGAGGGAGAGAATTTACTTGATGTTGGTGTTTTTGTTGTTGATGACAGGTGCATGATAATGTGTTGACTTCCCTTCCACCTGCAATTGGAGAGTTGCTTAACTTGCAGAAGTTGAACATAAGGTTAGTTTAAAGGGAAAGATTTCCATATACGAAGTTCACTAATTTTCCTCTGTAGTGACTAACAAGCCCCCAGATAGCAATTTCATGTCATCATAGTCAATTTGAGCAGTGAGAAAATACAAGCATTTTCTTAGAAAACACTTAGAATTTTTCAGTCCAATCTCATAGGGTTTGTACACAGGGTGTTGAGTGAACTTCGTATATGGAAATCTTTCCGTTTAAAGGCTTATAAGGACAAGCAAACAAATAAACCAGTTTCTCGTTCGCGCCCGCTTCCTTTTAATAATCTTAATCGGTAGGTTTGTTTCTGGGTAATTACCGATGCTCCAATTAAAGTTGTACCTTTATATTTAGTGCATTGATTGCTCATTACCCAATTAAAGGTAGAGTAGGTCATATGTAGCTATCCAAAAAGTAACTGACAAAATTATTGTTGAAAAGCTTACTTGCTTTAACGATAGAAATGGCAATAAAACTCCCTGTGAAATTATTCTTTTCGGCATGCTGTCATTTTGGAGAAAACATTAAGAGAAGGCCATTTCCAAAGATGTGTCAAGTGACCCATTTTTGGAAATTTCCGTTAGTAGTTGGTTTGTAATTTGGCCAATCTGTGAATGGGTGCACGCAAGCATTAACACGACGCACGGTTGCGGTTATTCGTCGGTTCAGTATGTGACATCACGTAGCTGCAATCGGCTGAATGAGAACGTGTCTCGGATGTTGATTTCAGGTGCAATTCAAAACATGACTCGTCATATTTTGAATCGAAATTGAGATCCTAGAATATTGCTTTCTCGGAATACACAGCATTCACTGAGCTAAAACTTAGTTGTTAATCACCTGTCTTTAGATTTTGAGCACTTTTGTTGAGTTCAAACGAAAAAAAATGCACTAATGACAAATTATCTACCCTACATTTAATGCCATGTCATAATACTTTTGCTCTAAATTAGATGTCATCTTTTGAAGTGCTAGTCCACTGTGTAACATACAAGTCAAATTGAGAGTAATCCAAACTGTTTTTTTTTTTAATTGTAAATTCATTTCAGTCACAACAAAATCACGAGCCTTCCGTCTGAGATGTTCCAGCTTCGTCACTTGCTGTCCTTCCATGTTGAACACAACGACCTGACTGAATTGCCCGAAGGCATTGGAGAATTCATTCACCTTGAAGAACTGGTAAACTTTTCCAAGTTAAAATGGAGGAAATTTCAAGTCATTGTCCATGCAAGTTTGTGGTAGGAATATGACCAATATTGTCCTTACCGTATGGTAGCAAATTGCACGAAGAGCCATGTGTACTGGCTGTATAGTTTGGAAACACTGGAGATCGCCATTCTGAAAAGAATACTGCTTTCTCACTAATGGAAGCCTTGCTTAAGTACATCATGGGAATTCTCTTCCTTTTTTAAAAACAGAATCTGTCTCATAACAAGTTGACAACCCTGCCCTATACAGCTGGGCATCTTGGCAAGCTGAAGACACTGAATGTTTCAGACAATCAGCTGACGTCCCTGCCAACGTCCATGGGCATGCTGAAAGGTTAGTTCCCCACGACTCTAATAAGCGATTCAAGTCTCACTGTTTGTTTGATGTCATTTTGTAAAAGGGACATTGTCCACCTTTCAATTATCAGTCAAAATCATTATTATCCTAAGTAGATGATGATGTCCAGAGAATGGAGTGATTAAATTTAATTTTTATTAATATGCGTAATTTTCTACAATCAATCAGTTAAGAAACTCAGGATCATGCACATGAGGGTTTAAACAAAACAAAAATAATAAAAATATGACTCCACTAGTAATAATAAATTCAAAAATACTATATCAGAGCCAAAAAGCTATTAAAATTAAAGATAGTCGATATTAAGCCCACCCCGCAGGCTCTCGACTCTCGACATTTTCGATTTTGTTTTCATCCACAAAAATTAAGATTATTCTTATAAATTGACTCCTACATTTATTTGCAAAGTATTACATTTTCTTTTTGTTGTTTGTGGCTCTGTGCAATTTTTTTAAAGGAAATAAAGTCTGAATTGTAAAACGGTCTGACTCCCATCTTGTGAAAAGGAAGTCACAACGACAATGTTGGCGCAGAACCAGACTAAGATTTGTCACGGTAGAAATGTCTAAGTCCCCCCAAAAAACAGTCACTGCGCATGTTCAGTGCCGTTGCAGCTTATAATATCGTTGGCAAGAATGTTGCATCCTGACGCCACTTCGGCAGTTGTGTACGAGTCTATGGAGAGTCAAGACAATTTTCTAAGTATTTCCTAACAGAATTGGAAATGTTTCTCAGTCCCAGAGTTATGTCTTTTCAATAGTTTTGCAATGACTGACCTTAATTAAGATGATATATGAAGAAAAAAGTGACGTCAGGGTGCAACATTTTTTCCATATTATTTACTAAAAGAGGTTGTGGAATGCTCGAAGATATTTCCGTCAATTTTTGGTTATATGTAGCCTAAGGTGTGATGAAATAAAAACGACTATTGTTTCTGTCATGAAATGAGTACAAAGGTTATTTTTGAGAGCTATTTTTCAGGTCCTGTTTCGACCCGAACGTGCAATTTGTGTAAAAGTCGTTGTTGCGGGCAGCAAACAAAACACAGTAAATCGTGACGTAATAAACAGGACTCGTTTATGCTACTCTGCATTGGGAGTCCTGTTTATTACATCACGATTTAATAGTGTGTTTTGTTTGCTGCCCGCAACAACGACTTTTACACAAATTGCACGTTCGGGTCGAAACAGGCATGACAGGACTTGAAAAACAGCTCTCAAAAGTACCTTTTGTACTCCTTTTATGACAGAAACAATAGTCGTTTTTATTTCATCACACCTTAGGCTACATATACCTGAAAAATGACGGAAATGTCTTCGAGCATTCCACAACCTCTTTAAAGAAAGCCGTGCTGGCTAAAAATCCACTGCCTTTATTTTAACATGGTTCCAACAAATAAATTAAGAAATGTCCATACCTTCATTAATAAGGCATTCACTTGACGTCAGTCATTCCTCAGCTGTAGGTATGTACTCGCGTAATTGTAGAAAATGTACAGCTGTAAAAGCGTTTGTGCCATATACCAGCTACCTGAGCCACGCCCCACTGGAGACCACATGGCATACCAACTCACCCCAGCCTGGTGCAGGCAACAGAGACACAGGAAGGAATGGCACTGTTCATTCCTTCACAGACTTCTTATACTTATTTTACGGTTGAGTGTGCATAGCATAATTTCAGCAATGCCCTTTCTGCAATAAGGCAAGAGGGATTGCCCAGGACTCTATTGTATAAATTTCAATACAGCCTTTATAACCAAACAAATAAACTGCCAGTAGGATATAAAGAACATGCCTTCATCAGTATCAGGTGTTGATTAAAATAAGAACACAATACATTCAAATAACCCAACTGGCAAAATAAATAGTATGTAAGAGTATTTGATGATTAAAGGGAATATATAGTATTTGCAAACATAAAAAACAAAACTACCAAATTATTATGAAATACCTTACTGGACTGTTAGTGAATGACAGTCTGAAGCATCCTGTAAAATAATGGCACCTGGTGTGCTGTCATTTTCAAGAATTTTGGCATTTTTGTATCAATTTCCAACGCTGGTTGGCCGACCAGCATTAGAGTATTAGAGACAACTGGCTTTTTTCAAATACTGCCCACAATTTACCATATTTAGTTAGTCCGCATTTTGTTTGTAATCGATTACACACCTTTGAACAGGTACAGGCCAACTCAACTGGTTCCCTGACCTTACAATTCCCCGTACAGTATAAATTGCCCTGTTTCATCTTAAGTGGGGTCAGGGAACCAGACCACAGGAACATGGTTGTTTTTCTTGGATTTTCCAGCATCTGTGAACACAAAACTTCAAAACAAATCTGTGTAACAATATTTGCTATAAACTGCTTACCCCCAAATCCATCCATTTCTGAAAATTACAGCAATAGCAAATGTTGTGTATTCCCTTTAACCATAGACTTGCTGAGTCAACTGCTTTACCTGAGACAGTTTAACCTATTCCTATTGGTACCTGAGACAGTTGAACCTTTTCCTATTGGTCGAGAGCTCATCACATGGCAGGTTTTAAATCTCTATGCAAACACTGCTTGGTGTTTAGGCAGTATTATCCCTCAGTTAAACTTGCCAATGGATAACAGTGAAATTACTGATGTAAATTGTTAACAAATATCAATCACACTCTTTTAAGAAATGTCTCGTTCTAATTGACAATTTAAACTGATCAGAGTTAGTAAGCTGTATTCTAGAAATTCAGTATTTAAATTCCCAGCTGTGAGAATTTTGGAGGCCTCCAACAACAAACTTCCCGAGATACCGACAGAAGTTGGTGACATGAAATCATTGGAGCAGCTTTACTTGCAGCATAATGTACTGTCTGGTCTGCCACTCCTCAGAGCGTGCATAAGCCTCAAGGTAAGCTACCACTGATGAACTAGTGGGGACTTGTAATGGACTAAGTGGGGACTTGTCATGGACAAGTGGGGACTTGTCATGGATTTCACGTGTGGGGACTTGTGATGGACTAGTAGGGACTTGAGATGGACTTAGTGTGGACTTGTGATGTACTAGTGGAGACTTGTGATGGACTAGTGGGGACTTGTGATGGACTAGTGGGGACTTGTGATGGACTAGTGGGCACTTGTGATGGACTAGTGGGCACTTGTGATGGACTAGTGGGGACTTGTAATGGACTAAGTGGGGACTTGTATTGGACCAAATGGGGACTTGTGATGGACTAGTTGGGACTTGTGATGGACTAGTGGGAACTTGTGAACTAGTGGGGACTTGTGAACTAGTGGGGACTTGTGAACTAGTGGGGACTTGTGGTTGAATCAGGGACTTGTGATAAACTTGTGAGGACTTATACTGGACTAGTGGGGACTTGTGATGAACCTGTAATGAATAAGCGGGGACTTGTGATGGACTTGTGGCCGACTTGTGTGGACCGGTAATGGAGTAAATAGTTCGAATCTGGTTATCGCAGGAGCTGTTTGCGGGTAACAATCGCATCACGGTCTTGTCCCCCGACCACCTGGAGCACCTGGCTACTGTCAACGTGCTGTCCATGAGGGATAACAAACTGTATCAGATCCCCGAAGAGATTGTGAATCTGCGCAGTTTGCATCGACTGGACCTCACCAACAACAACATCTCTAGGTGGGATTTGCTAACTTTTTAACGGTCTTGAATGTAACTTATTGAAGGAGCAGAGTTCTTCCTTTCTCCGGTAAACTGGTATTTGAATCAAGCAAGCACTGTGACTAGTCAAATTTAGTCAACAGACAAAAGCAGGCAAAAGTATGCAAAGCTGTCTTATCAATCACTTGCAGTCAAATCATAGCTGTATCAAGTTACATAAACAGTCAGAGCCAGTCATTTCTGCTTTGTGTAGGCTGGGAGCTCTTAACTGTTGATTGATTTTGACTGAAAGGACAACTTTGCACAAAATGTATGTTTGCATTAGAGGGATAGAGGCCTTTTCTCAAAACATGGTTTCACTTTCAGCTTTGGCTTCAAGTTCCACCCTCCTGATTTGGAGCCCTGATTTTGGATGTTGCATCAAAGTATGGAATTTGTTTCTGTTGCTTCAGCAGAACACTACATCATGTAAACAAAACCAAAGTTCAATAAATACAGAAAGATGGTACAAATTTATGATGACATTATTTTCAAACAAATATTTCGACCTTTTTGCTGGTCACAGAGGACCAGCCTAGTGTCCTTTTTGTGCCTGACTAACTGACTGACTGACTGACTCCCCGTCACTTGAGACTAAGCCTGGTTGTCGGCTGGTGAAGAGAGCCGGGCAGTGCTCTTGTATAGGATTACCCTTCTGATGGACTACATCCAGCCCAATGTGTACACCAGATGCATGAAAAGACTTCCAGTGAATAGACATTCTGAGTAAATTGTACAGAATTGTGTGTGCTCTGCGACCAGCTTTACTAGACTTGCCTTGTACTGTTAAGCCTGTGTCGCAATTAATTAACTATAGCTTAAAACATTTACACGCAAGTCTACGGTATGGTAGCGGCTGCAGCCACTTTGCATAGACTTGTGTGTAATTTTAAGCCGTAGCCAAGTTATTTGGACACAACCTGAGAATGATTCTTTTAATTCTCTCCTTTCTTAAATCGACAGCCTGCCAAACAAGCTTGGTACCCTGACTTCTCTCAAATCGCTGGTCTTAGATGGGAATCCAATGCGTGGAATACGCAGGGACATTATCAGCGTGAGTGTATTATCTGGCCTGACAGTTTAGATTTAAGCCCGGTTTATACTTCACGCAAAAACGAAGGTGGAGCGAAATTCGTGACATCATTAATACGTTCGAAGCGCGTCCACCATTGTTGAGGACGTGAATTTCACTTTGCGCTTGCTTTGGCTTGAAGTATGAACCGGCCTTAACCCTGCTAAGCTCTGTCGAAGACTGTATTTAGTTTTATTCCCCGAATATACAGCCGATCTCTGACCAGCCCGGTAAAGACGAAACAAAATAATATAGGTTTGCTTGGAATTTTTATGGGGTATAGCGCTGCCAACATTCCCAAGGCTGGATATGATTCATCTTGCTGACAGCTACCTCTAATGCAGCGACTTTACCGTGCTTGTCAGGGAACCAGACTAGCTGGCTTGCACCCGTTCACGGATGTGTAACCGATTGCAAACAAAATGTGAACTTACTGAATTTGCCAAATTGGAGGCAGTATTTGAAAAAGGTTCAACAATGGTTGGCCCACCATATTTGGAATTTGATACAAAATTCCACTTTTCTTGAAAATGTCAGCACACCAAGTGCCATGATTTCATAGGATGCTTTAGACTTATATTCACTTGCAGTCAAGTGAGGTATTTCATAATAATTTGGTAGTTTTGTTTTTGGATGTTGCAAATGTTGTATAATACTTTAATCTTACACTTTTATTTTCCATCTTATAACAGAGGGGCACTCAAGGCATCCTCAAGTTTCTCCGTAGTCGCATCGAGGAGGAGCCGTCGTCGAAAGACGCCACAGACAGCGTGTCCGCATCAGATCCTTCCAGCGCCATGGGAGTGGTTGCCGCTGTAACCAGCAAAACCCTCGACTACAGGTGAACGATTTTTCACATCAATGCATCATCTGTGAATTAAGCAGAACATGTTAATAAGTAAATGTTATCAGCAAAGATGGCCGGGAACCAGTTGCAGGCATTATATATTACATGACATTTTAGCTGGTAACCATTTTTTTTATTTGTACTACTATTTTTTTTAGCAAAATTTCCATTTACTTAGCAAATATATTTTATGCAACAAGTCCATGAAATTAGCCCCCGTCCATGGACTGGTGGACATCCACAACTTCTTGGCAGTTAAAAGTGATGCAATATAAACAAGTTATAATCTGCTTGCTGCCAATCCAGAAGTCTTTTTGTTCTCATTTGCGTTACCCAGCAACAAGAAAGTGGCCGAGGTACCGGTGACGCTATGGGAACCAGCTCGTGAAGCCGGTGTCGCCAACGTCAACTTAAGCAAGAATGTGTTCACGGAGGTACCCACAAAGTAGGTTAAAAATCAAAAATGTCGCTCCATGTTTAGCAAGTTTGGGAACATATGGTACATTTGCAGTACAACGGGAAGTGTTGCCAACCTGAAACAAGGATATTCTTAAAGTGACATGCATTTCTAAATGGGACTTGCTACTACCTCGTTTTTGTTAGTGATGTAAAATTTGAGTCTCTTGAAAATAGCAACACACTGGCCAGAGTAATTTTACAAGATGATACACAAAACTATTTTCAAGTTCCGCCCAATTTGTTTGTAAAATTGCTGTGCTTGTGGAATTATAAAAGTTATTCACTTTGATTGAGATACAGTGGACTCTCGTTGATACAAACACTGTTAATACAAATTCTGGTTATAGCAAATATAAAGCCTTTATCTGATACACCGTGCCCTCTGGAGACATGCACACAATAGGGAACAGAAGATTGTATACGTCTCCACAGGGCAATTTCTATAGATGAATACGTCTCCACAAGGTTTTCCCGAAATAGATATATGGATTTTACTCCAAAATTAGAAATTACCAAGGTGGGTCGCAAATGGAAGAGTTTTAGAAAAGGGATATTAAGTCTGAATTTCAGTCAAGGAAAGTAATTCTGGTTAAAATAACAGCATTTTGAAACTAAAGTTTCAAACTCCAAAACTTTACTACACGAGAACAAAGAAATGTCTCCACAAGGATACAAATTTCAGTATGAATGGTCCCAACAGTGCAGTGCATTTATGTGAATAGGACCAGCATTCCACTTAGTACAAAATTCTGATATAACAAACTTTTTGGCTACGTCAAGCTGAATTGTATTAACAAGAGTCAGCTGTATTGATCAAAAATACAATTGGCCCACGCTTAGTTAGAAAATAAACAAACCGGTTAAAAATTTGTTAGGAGAAAAAAAATCATTCAGATTAATCAAAAACAGTACATCTTTGAGCAGTCTGGTTAAGGTGCAAATGGCACAGGACAGTGTTAAAGAGAACTCTTTTTCCTAATTTTCAATGTTTCATTGCAGTGTGATCCTACTCGCCAAGACTGTAACTGAGCTGAATCTTAGCTTCAACAAACTGACAACGTTACCGGCGGAACTCCAAATGATGGTGAACTTGACCCATCTAGACCTCAGGTAAGACAATAGAAAATCCTGATCTATTTGAATATTTTTTGCAACTTCATTACATCCACGAAGTGTAAATTATAACACTTCACCCACAGATTCTGTGTCTTGATTGGCCGAGAGCGAGTCACATGTTACTTTCTATTTTTGCTATCTTTCTGTGCACGGCCAAAAGTACTATACCTGTAGCAACCAAAGTACTATACCATTAGCAACCAAAGTACTATATCTACGGCGCGGTATTTGTGTGCAAATGCATGCTGGTGTGCGCGTTGAAAGTAGCCCGTATTGTTCCAAAGAGATTCAGGCCAAAATAGGGCCACTTCATCACATCACTTCATCACATCTCTTGGTGTTCCGACTTCCATAATTTTTTTAACTAAAGATGGTATCAGTATGCGGTTTTCACAGCAGTAATGCTGAGATTGTGCCCTTTTGAAATCTGTAATAAAAATATTTTTGACCAGGGTCGACAAACGACTCATGTAGCTTGATTGCATCACATATATTCTCTATTTCTCAAAATGTATAGTATCCACTGAGCTGAAACTACAACAGGTTAGTTGTTATGCAAACCCTACTGAAAGACAAATTCCCCATGCTATTTTCAAGTTTTTATCCCGAAAAATCAATTTGTTTTCTAAATTGCTATTTTTGAATGACACATCGACCCCAAAAATCAGCCAATTTTTAGTAATTGAATTATTACTTTACAATTTCGAATTATTGGCTGCCGGACAATCATTCTATTTTTGCGGGGTAGGCTGGTTCCCACCCCACAATCAGTATCACTAATGTGTATGAACCGGGAGCCAGTTTGCTCGCAAAGTGGATCTGTTTGTACCCAAAACAAAATCCTTTGTTTCAGAGGGTTGCAGACATCCAAAAAGGAAAAAAAGGAGGGATATTTTTGTTTGTTTGTTGATTAAAACATACAAGTTGAAAATGTATTCATAGAAAAAAAATAATTGAATTTTAGAGCACAGGGTTAGGTATCATCTTTCGTATTTTGAGTACTTTTGTTTCTTTGAACAAAAACAAAAAAAGCACACAAAGCAAATGGTCTCATGTACCTTTCAAATTGATATTTTTTCCCTTTTGTGTCAGGAACAATGCAATCAGCACCCTCCCTTCCGAGTGGAGCACCCTGGTCAAACTCAGGGAGATCTCCTTGTCCTGCAACCGTCTGAAGGAGGTCCCGGCCGTGGTCTACCAGTGGGCAGAGCTAGAGAACCTCCTCCTTGCCGACAACCAGATCGGCTTGATTGACGTGGTCAACTTGCTTCGGCTTCCCAAGCTATCGACCCTGGACCTGCAGAACAACGACGTCATGCAGGTGCCCCCGGAGCTTGGAAACGTCCAATCACTTCGGTGAGTATTGATGCGTGCAACAAAAGAACCGATCATTAGGCCCCGCCCACATGTTCTGACCAATCACGGCCGTGATTTGTGTCCGACTTGCGTGAACAAAAGCGCGATATGCATGCACGCGGAGTATGGCTCGCGCGGCTGGAAATATGCAGTGTTGTATTGGAAAGGCGCAATTGTAGTTCCCCACGTGTGCAGATGGTAGGGCTAAAGCCTAAACTTCCAGGGTTCACTTATGCAGATAAGACAATTATGCAGAATCGTGTTGAATTGAGCATGGTTAGGGTTAAAGGGAAAAAAATATAAACAACAATTGCAAAAATTAAAAAAAAAAAAAAACCAGATTATTTTGAAATTTCTCACTGGACTGTTAGTGAATGTCAGTCTAAAGCATCCTGTGAAATCATGGCTCCTGATGTGCTGTCATTTTCAAGAAAAATGGCCTTTTGTATTTATTTCCAACACTGGTCGGCTGACCAGCATTTGAAAAACTGGCTTTTGTCAAATACTGCCCCTAATTTACCATATTTAGTTAGTCCGCATTTGGTTTGCAATTAGTTACACACCTATGAACGGGTACAAGCCAGCTGGACTGGTTCCCTGACCTTACAATTCCCTGACGTCTCTAAATTGCTCTGTTTCATCTTGAGTCGGGTCAAGGAACCAGACTACAAAAAAAACCGATTGTTTTTCTTGGTTTTCCCAGCATCTACGAACACAAAACTTCAAACATTCATAACTTTTTTTTTTTTATATACAAACATGAGGTTTTAAGGCTGACAATTTGAAACAGATAACTGTCAGCCATAAATTTGTATAAATTACTAATTATTGATCCGTAATTATGACTTGTTTTTCATAATAGTTGGTCTCAAAGAAGCCATTTTCTTTTCATTCTGTTTGCATCCAGGTCGCTTCAGCTCGGAGGCAATCCGTTCCGGAATCCCAGGCCGGCTGTCCTTGCTAAGGGCACGCCTGCCCTTTTGGCATTTCTCAGAGACAGAATACCTACTTAAACGACCAGCGTGGCCACTGCTTGGGGGTTTTCCCAAGGTCTTGGGATATTTTTGGCTTGGTCATGGAAAAGCGCCACAAAATCTTGGGATTTTGTGCAAGTTGAGCGGGGCGTTTGAGCTTGCGCAAAAATCGTTTTTGCATTTTAAAAAAAAAGTGTCGCTTGCATTGCACGAATGGCAGCTTGTGCTAATTGGTTCTTTGCTCCTATTCTGATACATCTTCCGGACTGTCTTGGGTAATCTTGGGAATTTTACTGTGATCATCTTGGGATTTTAAAATTTGATGACTGGCCACACCATTAATGACTATTACTATACCTCATAAATATTAATCAGGCAACCGTGGCTTCCCATTGGTCCATTCCAACAACTTAACTGTGTGAAAGTTTTTACTATCACCCCGCGTCTTCGTACGCGTGCATGACGCGCAAAAACCAGGTAAGTACTATCACACACCTTGGTCGCACCCTTAGATTTGTTTGAATTTTGCATGCTTGCGTACCGTGGAGATCACCAGTGAGGACAGTTGTTCCAGTCTTACGGCATACATAAAACTGGCGACCAGTGGTGCTCGCTTTGCGATTTTGACCGAGGAAGAACTGGCCGAAATTTTGGATAATAATAATAAATCCCAGTGTTTTGAGTGAATGTTAAAGTTATTAGATGACACAACATTTTACTTTCTATTCTGTTTGTCTCCTTAAATTAATAACAATGTTTCAGTAAAAACATGGTGAACTGGACCAATGAAATACCGCAGCTGCGTGATGACTATTTATGAGGCATAGTAAAACAAATACAACATGGTTTTGCGGGGAAATAGTGAAAACAAATGATCCCTCGGCTTCTCCTCGGGAGAAAAATAACCAACACCTCGGGGTCATTAGTTTTCACTTTTTCCCTGCAAACCATGTTGTATTTGTATTCTAGGCAACAGAGTTGTAGGCAAGTCCATCACAAGTGAAGTCCACAACGCTACCGCAACTAAAATCAAAGTTAGGTCGACAACTGACCCTGCCTGTCAATACAGAATTTGTATGTGCAATACATTGCAGCTACTGCATGTACATACATTCTTGTTCCGTAGTTATGGGGACAAACACTGTCTTTACAAGGTATTTGTAGGGACCGAAAACGCTGTGGGGACAGCAGAAAGCCCTCATAACTCGGTCCTAATTTGCCCAACAATAAACAAACTTCCCCATAATGTGGTGTAGACCTACCCTACATGGTATGCATTTGCACACAATACTGGTTATGCGTATAGTACTTTGGTTTATGGGTATACTACTTTTGGCCATGCACAGCAACATAGCGAATGCCATGTGACTCGCTCTCGGCCAATCAAGATACAGAATCTGAGGCTGAGGTTTTTAATTTAAATTATATTGAAAGTACTATAAATTTATGACCAGAGTGATGGGAAATTTGACCTGAAATCATCGTCAGTTGATCATGCACATTAATTTTGACGAAAAGCGATCAAGTGTTAAAGACCCAGATGTCATTCAACAGAGAAATGGAACATGAAGTTGTGAGACTTGCACACTCTTTTGAGTGCTGCTGATCATTTCAAAAAAGCTGACAACAAACCACATGTGCAAATCATTTCAAGTGATCAGCAAAGCCCCAAATATCTCGAAAGTTTGTGGAACATTTTCTCAATTAAATACCTTGTTCCTTGTAATTTATATCGTTGTGAAAATATGAAAGAAAAATATGAAAGAAAATTTCACCAACTTGGTCAAATCTTGGCAACAGCTGTGACAAAATAACAAAAACTTATAAAACTATTAAAAGTATAAACTATTAAAAGTATGGTTATGCTGTGATGTTTAAATTATTATTTTTGCATGAAAACTGCATTTAAAATTGAAGACTTGAAAAAGAAACAGTACGATATCAAATTGTAAATAAAATGCCTCATTTAATAATCTCTCATTGAATTGGCTGACTCTGTTTGTTTTTCACATCTTTACCATGTTGTTTAGTGAGTTTATTTTGTCTTTTGGAGGAATTTGCAATGGCTTTTCTGTGGACTTGATTATGCTCAGTTTGTTCCAAGATGATGTTGTGCATCGGATCGGGTTGACCAGCCAAACCGACCCAAAACATTGATATAAACCAAATCCGTTCCGAACCCGATCTGAATTCCCTAAATCTGACCCAGCCCGACACGACCCAACAAAAATTCAAGGAAAACCGACCCGATTCGACCAGACTGAAATGATGGGAAAACGACCCAAAGTCGGTTGTGGTTTCGGGTCGGGTTTGCACAACATTATTCCAAGAGCATGTGAGGAAATTATTCACAAGCTAAATCGAGTTGGGCTCGAACCCATGACATCCTATCTGCTAGTAGAGACGTCTCGACCAGGTTTGGGGTTGGAGGGGGGGGGGGGGGAAACAGGATTCTGTTTTTCTGAAAAAGTTTGTTTCATTTGTAAAAAAAATGGTTAAGAGTGATAAAGGGTGTTACAACATGTACTTTTAGCAACTGTGAGGTACTGGCACTTTCATTCACCAAAAAAATAAGCAACATGTTGCCAGCTGTCACTGACCAATGAGCACTGTACTACATGGAGCATTATCGCGCTCGTGAGATAACTAATAGTATTTATAGGTGGATGCTGACATACAGGCATGTTTTACATCGGCTTATCTAACTCCCAGACCCATTTTCTTGAAACTCAATGGTGTCTGACTCTGGAGCGCTTAATAGTAACATAGCAACTGATGAAAACTGGTGTGCAAATGAATGAATGTCTTCACGGATTGAAACGTAATGCCACCCGCAACTTAAATCCATTTAAACCATTGTAGTGCTGGCGCGGTTTGTGGCTGTACAGGGAGTAACAGGCAGGGTCTTTAGGGGTGGTACATGGGTTAAGGTATCCACTGTAATCTTTTAGGCATAGGGATTTCTGGTGTCACCTTTAAATATTTTTTTTTTGGTCAGAGTGAGGGGTCGAAAAGCACATTGAAAGTCCTCAGTACAAAAAGAATATTTGTTTTTCGCTGTCATCATTTGCTGCCATCCTCTTTGGGATCGTCTTCTCCTGGGAGTGGAGGATGCTCCAGCACCTTGTCAATAATCCCAAACACCTTGGCCTCCTCTGGACTCATGAAGCGATCTCTCTCCATCGCCGACTCTGATAAGAACAATTCCAACCAAAATTTGTTTTTCTCATGGTATTTTGAAAAACTGTGATGTGATTTGAGGACAACAAGTTAATTTTTTTCAGCATTGCTTTGAGGACAAGTGGGTTAGGTTTTTCGTTAACCCTTACCTTCCCAACTCCATCAAATTCCATCCCCCCATTTTGGGGATTTTGGCAGGCAAGCCATGAGTACCAAGTCCATCAAAATCCACCCATAGCAGTGGTGGATTTGTGATGGATTTTGGCGGATGTGGTCCTGAAGCATTGTGTGAAGGAGAGTCAGTGATGGATTTTGTCTGACTTGGTACAGTACTTAGTAAAACTCAGGAGTTAAGGCTAAAATCTCAACAATACAAATCTGGAAGGCTCAAAACTGATAAAAATTTAAAACATTTGTTGAGACGTATTTCAGGCATGCAACTGGAAATTAAGAAAAAGCAAGAAAACTCCAAACCACACAAGACTTTGTACAGTGTTTTTTCAATTTGTAATGGCATTCACGAGAAGTTAAAAAACGAGGAAATCAGCAGATCCGAGGAAAAGTTGCACGCCTAGTATTTGCTGGTCCCAGAGGGCCAGCATTGTGGCCTCTGTGTACCTGACTGACTGACCGACTCACTTGTGAGCTGGGCAGTGCTATCATATAGGATTACCCCGTATCGTCAATGAATGGGCTAAATCTGGCCCATTGTTTACACAGATGCATGAAAAACGTCCAGTCAATGGTCATTCCGAATTTTCTGGGCCCAGGTACCAGTTTCTCTAAGCTTACTTATGTTTTGACTTACCTATTGCTTCTAGTTGTTGCTTTGTGTGTTTGACATACAGCTTGTTAATGTTGGCTTTAATCTTCAGGATTTCCTCTGCCTGTATCTGAATATCAGTGGCTTGGCCCTGCGGATGAGAAGTTCAGAAATGAAATATCTTCCAAACTGAATTTTTGGGATTTTGTTGGGGTTTAGCCAGTTCATACTTCATGTGAATGCAGAAGTGAAGCAAATTCAACATCAGGAAACATTTACTGTGAAATTTGTCGGAGTTTAAATGTGTTCAACTTCTGCGATTTCTTGCCATGATGTCACAAATGTGTGTTTGCATTTGCTATCGCGCCAAGTAGGAACTGGCTTTTAGGCTGGGTAAAGGACGGTTTTCCTGGCCAATGCAAATCCATGTTACAAACAAATTTAGTTCGTTCTTGGATTGCTGTAGAGTGTGAATACAAGGGATGTACATACACTACTCTACCAAGGAATCACCTCAAAGAGGCATCTTTTTTTTTATTTCACGTTCAACTTTTTGAATACATTTTTCACGCAGTTAATCATCTATCTTTCATCTTCAACCAACCAGGCTCGTTGCCAAAGGGGGGGGGGAGGGGAGTAGGGGGGCTGGTGGGGCCGGATCGGGCCCCCCTTGGCAAGCACTTTGCCCCCCCCCCCCCCCCCCGGCAAAAGCCATACATATGTATTTTGTATTTTTTATGGTAGTGAGCCCCCAAATGCCTGACCCAGCAGTGTGACTCTCGAAAAGGGTCAAACTGACTAGGCAGTCATGTCTTACCGCTGCTTGACCCGATGGTTGGTGAACCATGACCCTGGAGTTAGGGAGGCTGTATCGCATCCCCGGCGTGCCTGCTGCTAGCAGGAGGGAGGCCATACTGCAGGCCTGCCCCACGCACCATGTGGAGATGGGTGGTAGGACGTACTGCATTGTGTCGTAAATGCCCAAGCCCGCCGTTACTGAACCACCTGATGTGCACAAACAAGATGGTCATTCACATGAGTCTTTACAGACCTACTTGGGACAACAACAATTGCATAATCTTTGGTTGAAATGACCATTTCAGACCGTTTCATCTCTTGCAATGAAGAGAGATTACATAAGAGAGTTCAGAGACCTGGATCATTCTAGAAATTTAGGCTCAGAAATATCATTAACCCTCCTATGCAACCACAAACTTTACATGTCATTAAACTTCAGAGACCGCGAAATTATAAAATGGTGATAGTGATATGGCCTGAGTCCAATCACAATGCAGCATACACGCTGCACTCCCACGTGAAAAGACAAAGTGTGCTGGGCAAAATGACTCATGACAAAAGTTTCCTGATCTTTTTACGCTTCTTTGTGACGTTTTTGGCAGTGTTTTCCCTGGATTGGCCGAACAAAAGTTCACGATAAACAGAGGTGCAGGCATTTCAAGTTACAGGGGTTTTCGTGCACATAGAATCTACATGTATTCTCTTAACAAGAATGCAGTATTACCTCGAGATAAAACTGAGTTTCGAGTTATCCGAATTTGAATTAACGTGTGTCTACCATAGATGGGATACAAGGGTAAATTTCAAGGATTACATTAAACAAAATCTATTTTATGAGCCTTTTGTAACTGAAAAGCCAAAAACAGAATCAAACAGACAAACAAACAGATTTACCTGGACTGTTGATGTACATATGGATTGGTTTCTTGTTACTCTCTGATTGAAGGAATAGCATCTGGGCCACCACCAGGCTGGATATTGTGTCATCAATCTGAAAATAACAAGGCAACACAATGAGAAGAGAAAATGGGCAATTCCATCGTTACGGACGTTACATTCACTTTGAAACAACAAAATAAAGTACTTGCAGTAAAAGCAAATTTAGGCACAACTCTAGCTTGGACCTTAACGTACAACAGGAACGTACGCAGGAACTAATTGGTTAAAGGACAAGACTTACTGCTGTTTAGAGAATGTTTTCTTTACAATCGCCGATGCTTTACTTACAGGACCCATGAGACATATGATGCGTTCCTTCAGTAACCTTGAATATATATCATAGGCTCTCTCCCCTCGACCCTGTAATCATAGGGAAAAAGTAAGAGCAATTATAATCAAATACTGATCTTCAGAAAAATCTGTCAACTTAAAGGTAACAGACACCATTTGCAAAAAAAAAAATTTGTTTTGCCAATTCAAGGAATAATACAATAAATCTGAAGCAGGTTGCACTTTAAAACGACCTCAAATGAACCCTAGATGACCTTTGACCTCCAACTTTGGAAAACTTGTGATGAACCCCACCCAAGGATTACTCCATCCAAGTGACATTAAAATCCATCAAATTCTGTAGACAAAGAAACATTTGCGGCATATCTGAACGACCTCCAATGACCCCTACATGACCTCAGTAATCCGATGAAGAATTGTGTCTTCCCACCCAAGGGTCACTGCATCCAAGTTTCATCAAAATCCATGAAAGCATGTAGAAGTTATATATATTTTTTCAAAACTTTAACATGCGGGTCCAGACAGGGCTCTGGAGTGTTCTGAAACGTGCAAAACTAAATCAGGCCCACTTTACTCACAGTTAAGCCAGCAAATTTCTCCAAAAATTCCACTGGGGCAAAGAAAATGTCCTCAGTATTTCACCAACCAAGTTTGCAGACTCAATTAAATTTTTAAAGAAGACTTTTCTTCAATTTTTGCACATGAGAGGGAAGTCAAGTGATTCCAAAATGGGGCTAAAGACTAGACTGGTACATGTCAAACCATGGTCCAACTATTTGGAAAGACTGACCTCTTCATTCAGTGTCAATAGTCTGGTGGCTTTACTATGGAGAAATGTGTAGTAAATTGAGACTAGTTCCGTGCTTCATGCCACATGCTTCTTAAATTCTTTTGGCATGGTCGATTGATGCAGTACTGAAGCTGTGTTGGACTGGTTGTGTTAGGTGCCAGTCTATTCTTGTTTTGCATGTTTTCAATACCTTAAGTTTTGGGACTCTCATACACAGTATTGAGAGTCCCAAATTTTCGGACTAATGCGGGTCTACAGTCATACAGTCATACAAATAGGACTGGTTAGTGTCTCCCAAAACTTCATTTAGGCGACAAAAAAATTAACCTGTCGAAAGTTCTGTCGAAAATTCTGTGAAATAAAGAATACTCACCGTTTGTTCGATAACAATGGGTACCATTGGTGAATGCAGCTTGGCTGCAGCATGGAAGGATCGTTGTATATTATGTTGGCTGTGTGGCCCAACATTGGCCACCAACACCCTCTGCAAAAAAACATTAAAAAAACAACATAAGTAAACAAAACAGTGATACTTGAACATGGCTATGTGAATTTAAAATGGTTGTGTCAAGTTCTGAGTTCATTTCAAAGGCTGTACTGCTCCAGGTGATTTATTTGAAAAACTTAAATTTCACTTTCAGTTGGGTAACAATTGACAAATGTGAGGCATTCTGGCAAAATTAGACAGAACTGCGCAGAGGTCGAAATAAGGGTTTGTGGGTTTTAGGAAAGAGAATAAAATTCTCCTTGCAATACTGTTTGTTGCACTTCAACCGGACAATCAGTTGACAGAATGTGGCTGTTTAAAGTTTGCATGTATCAACATGTCAAGAAAGTAAAATACTGAGAAAAAGGCCTTTAAAGTTTCGACATGAAAAGGAAAGATGCCAATTGTTTTTCTGGAAAGAGTTCCATACCTGTCCTGGGCATCACTTGACACCCTGTGCACAAACCCTATACGAGACTGGTCTGAAAATTCCAACTGTTTTCTCAATAAATGCTTCAATATTTTCCCTGCTAAATTTGACTTTTTAGGACATGTTATCGCTTTCTGATGGCTGATAGGTCACTGCAGGGAAAAATTAGTGAGTCCATGTAGGGAATTCTTTCATTTTTTCCTTAAAAAACGCTTGTATTCCAAGATTTTTATACCATTTCTTTAATATATTTGTAGTAGACATATCAAACAAAAAATACAAATAAGTCTGAAAATCTGAAAAAAATTAACCCCCATTCGGTTTTTGTTTTTTTGGGCTCTTTTCTCCACTATGGCCTATGCCAAGTTCTGTCTAATTTTGCCGGAATATCTAAGAAATAATTGGTTCAAGATCAACAATAACAAGAAATTATGCCTTACTAATTCCAAGGGGAACAGGACACCTTAACATGATGCTAACGATAATAAATGAAAAGTTCTTCACAATTCTTGATAACAAGCTTTTATCCTTGGGTGAAGGAACCTGTGTTCAGATTATTGGCACATAGTGTTTGTTACAAAAATCTAGATTTTCTTACCCCTAGAATTAGAATTCTAGAATCAGAATTCTAGTATTAGAAGGTACTCCTGTACCTTCTAGCAATATCACTTTGGGATTTTTTAATACTGCATTGATAGACGGATTATTTGCATCTCGAATTCCACTTTCGCACACAACAATCTCTCAAAAAAAATCAGCCCTGACTGATCCATAACCATATCTCTTCAAAATTCATACTTAGACCTACCCACTTTATACTTATAGTGATAGAAAATTCGAAGTGGCTATCATTACGGCAGTACCCACTTTATACTTATAGTGATAGAAAATTCGAAGTGGCTATCATTACGGCAGTCGTTGTTTAGCGCCCTCTACGATACTTTTTTGATACGCACGCAGGTATATAGTTATTTGTTTCCACACAGTTTAGCGAGCAGTGCGACAGCTCAGTCGGTAGAGGGTAGGATTTTGCACCGCGAGGTTGCGGGTTCGCATCTCAGTTTTGCACTCGAATTTTTTTCCTTTTCTAACTTGAGGCTTTGGAGGATTTTTTTTAAAAGGGAAATAAAGTCCGAATTTCATAACGTTCAAATTCACTTTTTTCCTTCTAATTTTATATTTTCTTGTCATGTTTTTATAAAAGTTGCAGTCTACCGTAACGATAGAAAATGGGAAATGCGTTACGGCTGCCGTAACAATAGCCACTGCGTAGAAAATTAGACCCCCTTTTTCAGACATCTACTTTTCGTGTAATTTCGTGTTGGAATTTAGATACGCAAATGTGTGCAAATGAACCTGGAAATTACATGAAATATAGATACTGAAAAAACAAAAAAAGGGGGGACTAATTTTCTTTCGCTTTTCCTAAAAAATTTGGAAACGTTTCTCAGTCCCAGATTCATGTCTTATCATCAGTTTTGCATTATTGCAATGAATGACCTTCATTGAGAAAGAAAGTGGCGTCAGGTTGAAACATTTTTTCCATACAGGATCCTGAAGTCAATGCTCAGTGGACTAGAAACAAGTCTAACACGGTACACATTGACTGTGTGTTGTGAAGTTGTGTAACACTTGTTTGTGCTACCGACTAAAATAGTACTTACCCGTAAACACCGCACCACCAGCATTTCACTCTTTGGAAGTACCTATACTATAGGCAAAGTATGAAGAACGTTCAAATCTGGTTTGTTTAACAACAGCTCTTGTTTATTTATTGAAGTTTGGAAGTGTGCCTTTTCTTCTTCAACAGGTTCGACTTTGGCGAGAGCAGATTTTTTTTTCGCTCTACCTCTTGAGGGCGTGCTTGATTGTATACTGGAGAAGTATCACCACCAGAGGGGGCTCTTTACCAGACGTGTTCTTTTTTTGCGATCCATTTATCACGACTCGGTAAGCAGAAAAGTGGTTGATTGTCAGTAATCTTTTCTCTCATCTTAATCAAGTTGGTGCTAAGTTAAAGCTGAAGATTTATGTGTAAATAACATTGTTTTTGCATGCCATGTATATTGTGTAAGATTAATGTAATTAAATCACACCGACGACATAAAAAATGACAAGTCACCTGGTCGTCACATTATCCATGGTTGTTGAGCAATGCCAAATGCATTGCAGTGCCATTGGTCATGTTGGTTTTGAACAGTCATTGGCAATGGCATTGTCATTTGTTGGGTATGATCAGTAGATGTGCACGACTACTCGATCGCGCTGCCATGGCTGCGCTATCCGTTGATCGTGCTGCGCTAACCGTCGATCGCGCTGTACTATCCATCGATCGCGCTGCGTTATCCATCAATCGTGCTGCGTTATTCGTTGATCGCTCTGCATATAGTCAATCATACCTCCATCATCAGTCAATCGTGCTGTCATTGGTTGATCACCTTTTCTTTCTAATTCCCGGCTTCGGAGGATAGTATTTAGAAAGTGAAGTCAACATGGTCAAGTCAGACATTTCCTTGATGATGGACCGATCACACAAATGCATTGAAATCTAAACAATGTTACTAATTAGTACTTAGCTTCTTAATAGGCATTAGTCTAATTATGCAGTAATTTGATTGCGCGATGTAAGGTTCATCAAAAGGAATCCAATACAAGTTGGATTGTAATTGGGAGTAGTTGAATTGCAATTTTTGCAAAAGTGAGAGTGAAATCATTATTTGGCAAAAGAAAAAAAGGACCATAGCCCCCCCCCCCCCCCCCTCCGACATATTCAATTTTTAATGATATTGTTTGTTTGTTGTTATGCCTACATTAATTTCATTTGTTCATTTTTTTGTTAGAGCTTGTTGCCATCATAACGTTAGATCGACCCAATAAGAGTGAAGCCTTGGTCTTGAGATGGCCGGGATCGGGCAGGTCGTGTACTCCATCTTGGAATTCCTTGAGGATCAGATCAAGAGCGGAACGCTGGGAGAAGAAGCAGCTGAAAGTATTGAAGGTGAATAAGACACACAATCCAAAAAGCCTTTTCTACCAATGAGGAGGGAACTTGTGCCCATGGCCGTAGGGGACGTCTGACTATCAAAAGTCAGGGAAAGAATGTTGCATTCTGACGCTACTTTGGAAACAGAAATATTAAATTGTTTTTGGCTTACATTGTACCTCAGAGAGTATACTTTCATGTGAGAACCGTAAGGAATATGTTGACAAAGTCTTTAAGAGAGATTTGTAGGCGAATGTGTGGCCAACTTAGTGAATTTTTACATGTCACTGCATGTTGAAGCCCTCAACCGACGCATGACATGTACAAATTCACTAAGTTGGCCACACATTCGCCTACAAATCTCTCCTAAAGACTTTATCAACATATTCCTTACAGTTCTCACATGAAAGTATACTCTCTGAGGTACAAGATAAGCAAAACAACTTGTCTTTTTTCGGTTTCGAAAGTAGCATCAGGTTGCAACATTTTTTCCAAAGTCAGAATATAAGAAGTATTCCACGGGAAACTAGAAGGCACTCAGAGAGCGCAAACCTCTGCCAAGGCTAAACAATACTCCCCAGCTGATGCCGGTACCCATTTATACTCCTGGGGGGATGGAGAGGGGCAAGTGGGGGTGAAGTGGCTTGCCCAAGGACACAACATGTGACCAGCAGCTGGATTTGAACCCCTGACCTTCTGATCATGAGTCGTGAACCCCAACCACTAGCCGCACTCTCCTCCTTTAATAATCCTTCAATAAGACTTTGAAGGATCGAAGTGCATTTGAGTTTAAGTTAACAGAAATGCCTGCATCCAGGTTTTTCTTGATTGTCCGTGTGTCAAATCTTCTCTGACTAAATACTTCATTTTATCTTCTTTTTTTTTAAACATAGTTGCAACACAGTGTTTAGAGACAGCTTACGGGATCAACACAAGGGACGATGGATCGATGCGACCAGATCGCTCACTCATAGAGATCTTCAGCACAGTTTATGGAACACAGGTACAGCATTGGGTTGGCTTGACCAGGCCAAACCAACCCGAAACATAGATATACACCAAATCCAAAACCGAAACCAATCTGATCTCCCTAAAACCAAGCCGACCCTACCTGACAAAAAATCAAGTAAAACCGACCCGAACCGACCCGTTACCGAACCGACCCCAAAACCCCCCGAATATCACGCTTGGGCAACTGTGTCTGTTTTTTGTGCCTGAACTAAACTTTGCGGCAGGAAAATTGTCGGCTCTCAGTAAACTGAATCATATTATACGGCACTCAGAACGTGACCTACTGGTGGGCGTACATGTTATAGACCGTGCGTGATAGACAGCAAACCATTTTGGTCGTACCGGGCACAGTGACTCTGCAATAAATATTGCAATGTATGAATTTCCAAAATTGCAAACACACAAACAAAAATCAACCCGACCTATCTGAAATGATAGACAAATCAACCTGCCCCGACCCGAAGTCGGTTTCGGGTCGGGTCGGTTTAGGTTTCGGGTCAGGTTTGCACAACACTAATCACAGGTCAATAACAGTTAGAAGTAACAGGATGGACAATGACAAAGAAATTCCTTTGTCATGTTTTCTTTTGAATAGCCTTTGACTTGACTTGAGAACTGTTTAAGGACTTGCTTACCTGCGAGTGACTTGTTAAAACTTGTTTGGACTTGACTGTAACTAACCTGAAACCTCAACAACTAAAATATTACGTTTTTAGCTGCGGGATAGCAGCTCAACAAATCGTCATGTCTCTCTGTTTGTCCGTTAGTTAGTTAGTAACAAACGTTGACATTGTCTATTGCTCCTACATATTTTGACCAATTTCAACCAAACTTTGTCAAAAATATCAGTGGCCCAGCCCCAACATGTCACATGACCAAACTGGGGTCGAAGGTTATCCTAGGGTCGCTGGGGTGAAAAACCTGATTTTTTTAACTCAAAACACTACTTCCAGAAATTACATGGCACAATCATTTGACTCGTGCACGCACACAAATCCATCGGCCCGCAGCTTCCGAGATATTTCCGATCGAGCTTGTTTCAAAATCAAGAAGTTGGAGGAATTTTTTTTTTTTACAGTATTTGGCGGTTTCAAGAATGGGCTCTGTGCACAAGTAGCCCCTCATCAGTAACAAGGGAGAGTTGGGGGAGACCACTGGGAACAATATTTGAATGCATTGTCAACAACGCCAGGTGCTCACGCGAAGACGATGTGGCTTTGTGCACATTCAGAATTTAATTACGTGTGCACACTTTGCGCCATACGTCCACTGGGCTCTTGAAAGTGTTCAAAAAGCACCATGTACTGTTTGTGGATGGAGTCGGTACATTGACTAGAATTTACAAGTTTTTAGACAGCTCCCTCTGTTTGCTCTTTTCCAGAATACAGGGGTTAGCACTGACCCACACTTGGAACCAGACATCGCTCGTCCGGCCGCACCCGATGTGTGTTCAGCAACACCGGCGAACGGGGCTCAGCCTTCGGAAGAAGACAAGCAGAAAGCTGAAGACTTTAAGAACCAAGGTACTTGTGTTTGAAAACTGTATTCCCTTCTTGCTGTGTTCAGTTAGGAGGGATGTCCTTGGGCTAGATACTTCGCATTGATTGCTTTGTCATCGCTGTGTTAAGAACCATCTCAAGCAAGTTTGACATTGATGCTGTGAGCACAGAAACTTGCGAAACACTGAAAATATTGGTTTATAGAAAAAAAATGGTTTAGTGGCCAATTGTGTCTAGCAGTTTATGTTGAATGTGACATATTCAGAACTTGCATTCGTTTTTCACATAAATTTGCGTAAAAATATTTACTGCTTAGCAACTCTGAAATTTTATTGTAGTTCTGATGGTGATCTGGGTGTCCTCCAGCAGGACAGTTTACATTTGCTGCTTTTTTATGTATATTCCATAGATAGCTGGGGATGACACTCACAATGAATCTCACACCGAAGTAAAAGATAACTGCTTCTCATTTGAAGGCAAAGAAAGATCTATAGTAAACTCTTTTTAAGGACAAATTAATAAAACCCAATATAAGAGATTGACTTTTAAGTCTTCTGGTTATATGTATAGTGCTTTCTGTTGCCGTTTCAAAGTGCTCTCTATTTTTTAGAGACAGGTAAATGAAGTTGATGAAAATATGAGACCAATTATGTAGCACCTTTATAAGGGTTTACAAGGTGCTGCGGCGCATACTGCAGCCACTGCCAGAAACACCGGGGCAAACCCCTTCTCTTAGCGATAAGTGTTACTGGGTTCTTTAACGTGCGTTACACACCACACGGGACCTACGGCCTTACGTCCCATCCGAAGGACGAAGCAATAATGGTAAAGTGCCTTGCTCAAGAGCACAAGCACCATGTTCCCCGTCAGGATTCGAACCCATGTACCATGGCACGTGTACTACGGCACATGAGTCGAACACTGTAACCATTGGACCACAGTGCCCCACAATTATTTGTTAAGTTTAAAAGAAACTTTATGTTTACTCACTTGTTGTAATATTGCACATCTTTATAATCCATTTTTTAGTTAGGGACCATCAACCATTCAATATTCCTAAAAAATGAAAATATTTCAATTTCTGACTGTGCACCACAGGCAATGAGCTAATGAAACGCGAGAGGTACGGCGAAGCGGTCGAATGCTACAACAAGTCAGTCAGCATAGACTCCACCAACGCCGTGTACTACAGCAACCGGGCAGCTGCCTTCAGTAAACTGGAGAACCACAAGAAGGCGTTAGAGGACTGCGATAGAGCCATCAAGATAGACCCCAACTACAGTAAAGCCTACGGTCGGATGGGGTGAGACCATAGGGCTATACATTAACCCTAACTCCCTAGGCCTTTTTGCTAAGATGTAGCTTCAATCCTGCAAAATCCTCCAATTGGCCACATGGAAAAATAGCATATAGAGCTTCAATCCTGCAAATTCCTCCATTATTTCTTGAATATGGTCCGTGGAGGGGTGACCACTGCCTGAATCCTGCAAAATCCTGCGGTAGTGACTGTCAATATGTTGAGGTTTGGCCAGTGACATCATGGAGCAGTGCGGATGATTTCAAGCATAATCAAGGCCTATATTTATACATGGCTGAGCAAAAACAACACAAAGTTTGGCCCTAGACCTTGACAAAGTATATCCTACGAAATCAGTACCACAGTTTTGCCATGTAACCTCAATCCTCCAAATTCCTCCACTTCGGCAAAGAAGATTTTGAAGGATTCAGGGCGGTTAGGGTTAACCGTCCTACTTGCAAATGAATATTCAGTGCAATATGTAACGCCCTTCAATTGAAGGGTTACGGAGGTTTAACCACTTCAGGACGGGATTATTTTTGCCGAAAATTTCGAAAAAGGCAAAATGTAGCAGCCAACTTCTGATATACAGCCAAATGCCACAAATACTCGCAAGAGTCATTTCAACAGTATTTATAGGATATATCTTGCCGAAACCCCATATTGTTCAACACACCGGGGTGTGCAACGGAGCGTAAATTGTAGAACAGTAAGCTGTGCATAGCAGCCAATTCAAGATCAACACACGGTCTGCCTCCACAGACTTCACAGACTTTGTGTGTGTACAAAAGACATGAGGGATTAGCGTGTTTACACGTTACCCGGAGGCAAATGGAGGCACGCTTGACGTTTTAACCCGTCAGCCGTGCCTGTGGTATACAAAAAGCCAGTGTGTGTTAACACGTCCTTCAACGCGAACTGGTTAAACTGTGTCATACAGAGAGTGATTACACACACACAAAAACAGCACTGGGAGAGCAGTGAAGCATGACCAAATCTGCCTGCTTGCCCTTAGATTAACCACACAAAAGAATTGTGCAGCGATTTGAAGTGTTATCTGTACTCCACAGAAGAGAAGAGTACCTCAAATGGGCAAAAATATGTGATTTTGCAAAACTTAAAGGGTTGTGAAGTGAATAAGATTAGGGTGGTCAATTAAATTATTAGACAGCTAACTTGTTATGCACAATGTAGCCTGTTCGGCGCATCCATGTTTGTACACAAACCTATAGAAAATCTCTCTTGATTGTAGTAAGTTACAGGGTAAACTCTTCACAACAGATCCAGTTATTTATTCCTTCTTTGAAGCCATTGTATTTGTGCCTTGTGATTCCAGGCTGGCCTACACACATCTGAATGACTTACGCCGGGCAAAGGACGCCTATGCCAGGGCGGTGGAGCTAGAACCAGGCAACGACAGCTACCAGACAAACCTCCGAATCGCGGAGAAGAAACTCAAAGATGCCAATCTGGGGGTAAGGGAACATCTCAAGAGTTGGAACGTTCCCGTTCCGTATGGAACGTTCCTTTTAAGAACACTGTGTTCCCATCGGGAATGCGCTGTGTTTCCAGCTTGTTCCCAACGGGAACAGGTCGCTCCCGATGTAAGCGTGCACGCGCATAGACCAACGTTCCCACGCGGGATCACCTAGCATTCCGCTGTCTTTGAAAATAACAAGCATACCTTGCAGAGATGAAAAAGAGGCCGTCCTTGGGTTGGGACCTAACACAGTTAGCACTGACTGTTACACCTGCTAATCAGGCCACTAAAATGGTTCCAATAAATTCCAGCTTTTTGTGGCAAAGAACTCTTATCCCACTTATGTTCTTGAAAATGTTTTGCCTAAGTTACCGATGTTGCAAATACTTAAGCAGGCATTTTCATCCCCCTGGCTGTAGGCCGGAGGGGGATATTGCGATAGCGTTTTCCTGTCTGTGTCTGTGTGTGTGTGTGTTATGTTTTGGTTAGGTTAACTCTTGTCAGCACGATAACTTGAGAAATACTTTACTTAGGAACTTGAAATTTTGTTTGTGGGTTGTTCTTGGTAGTCTTAAGAAGCTATATTGCTTTTGGGGCCGACGGGTCAAATGTCAAGGTCACTATTGCTAAAACAATAGAAATCTTCCATTTTGGTTAGGGACACTGACTTCATAAAAACTGCCAGCATGCCAGGGGGATTGTGCATGTCTCACTTGCAGTATTTTTTAGCATATTGGCAAGTACCGCAAGTATGTCCAAATATCCAGACTCTTACTTATAATCTTAGGCCCAAGTATTCAAATCCAGACCCTGTAGTTTCAGAGGCTTACTTCTTACTTCTACATATAATCTAAGAAATTACATCAAGTGTAATTTCTCTATTTGTCTTACATTTTATGGTTTTTGTTGACCTTTTCATTTTTGATTCTCAGGGTGGTGGGGGCGGTGGCATGCCCAACTTGGGCCAAGGTCTTGGCGGTATGGATCTAGGATCATTCCTGAACAACCCAGCACTCATGAACGCGGTGAGTGGAACACGAAACCTCAACTATTGGTGGATAATCCAAAGTTTCCTTAGCATTCTTTTGTTATATTTCTCTTCGCGAACCCAGCCCTTGAAAATAGACAAATCAACGGAAACAAATCAATTTTGAGCCGTCACCTCTTTGACATGCGCCAAGAATGCACTTAACATTACACATTTTCTGCTGCTGAAAAACCAAATGCATGATCAGTAAAATGCCAGAAAGTATAATCCTTTTGGTGTTGTGCTCAGGATATTTGTGTATCGCTAATTATAATTTTTAATTGGAAGTTCACATTTATTTTTTCCTTTCTATCAGGCATCGTCACTATTACAGAATCCACAGATGCAGAATATGTGAGTAAAAACCTCTCCTTGGTAGCACATTTCTTGATTCAACTTTTCAATCCAAATTTTGATTCTTGATTCAACCTTTCCTTCTATCAAGGCAACCATTTTTAATGTTCATCCCGTTGTGACTAGATTTGTGAATTGACTTGTGATCGAACTTGTGATGAAATTGTGATGGACACAACTACAAAACTGTAGCTCAAAACTATCACTTGACTCTTAACAAAATGCCCTCCACAGGTTTCGCATTTCTTTTAACTGTAAAAGTTTTACATGGTCTATCCCCAAAGTACATCAGTGTACGTGTTCTACATAACCCCCGAGGACCGACACACAAAGGGAGAACAACAGATCCTCTCAGTCCTTGGGAGTTGGGTCCTTTCATGAAAACGGTCCTCTATCGTACGGTTGTGTGCTTAGTCTATGGGAGAGTGTTATATTACAGGGACAAAGGGAAACACAAAGCATTGTCCTCGAGAGTATAGTAAAACACAACTGTGTGATCTTGTTAGTGTTTAAAGTCCGCATATTGTTTCAGTTCCAACAAAAAAGTGTGTTTGGAAATTCCTAAGTGGAGTAGAAGTAGATCCTTTTCATATGCAGCCCCAGAATTATGGAATCATTCCTATCCGCTTTTTAAACTGGCTTTTAATTAATTCCAGTGCTCATGTATCAGCGTATTTTAAATTATTGTATTGATAGACATTTAGATGCACTTACTCTTTTAACTTCTCTTTAATGATAGGATGTAATTGGTTTCAAATCTTGCCTTTTTAGTGTTAATTTCTGTGGTACTTGACATAATGCGCGTTTGATCATTGTTCTGTAGACCGCGCAATACAATTTCTTTATTTATTTATTTGCATTCAACTTGTTAATTTCTGTGGTACTTTACATAATGCGCGTTTGATCATTGTTCTGTAGACCGCGCAATACAATTTCTTTATTTATTTATTTGCATTCAACTTCCTTTTCACTTTAGGCCTAACCTCTATTTCATTTGTTTGTTTGTTTGTTTGTTTGTTTGTTTGGACAGGATGAGTTCAATGATGGGGCAAGCCATGCAGCCTGAGGAAGGCCAGAATCCAGATCAGCAAGCTAGTATGGCAAACCTCCTACAAGTGTGAGTACGAACTGACAAATGGAAAATAGAAAACAAGTATTTTTTCACTAATGCGGAAAGGAGCCCTGCTAATTTCACTTGACATCGTGCGCACGGGATGTAAACAATTTTTATTTAAAGTTTTTATTTTGTGCATACAAAAAAAACCCCAATTATGCTGGATAATTACTTATGAGGATTTAGACTCGAGAAAAAAAGCGAGAAATTCTGGACAAATTGAGAAAAAAATGAACCAAATGTTTGGACCCCTGTACATTTTCAATGGACCGCTTTCGCTTCCACCTAAAATCTCATATTTGCATACATTACCATTTTCGAGTGGAAATGGTTTACTTTTGTACATGTATGTATAGTTTATCGCTGTTCTTTTTCCTGTGGAGAGCAGAGCTTTGATTCATCTTCTAAAAGATTGTGCTGTTCTCTTTCCAGTGAGCAGCAAATGGCCTTGATAATAACGTATCATATTGCTGTTTTCTTTCCTGTAGGAGGCAGAACTTTTAATTCATTTTTGTATGTGTGCTGTTCTCTTTCCAGCGGGCAGCAAATGGCCAGCCAGATCCAACAACAGAACCCAGACCTAGTGCAGCAGATACAAGGCTTGCGTAACCGACAGAACCAACCGGGGGGCGGTGGTCGTGGTAGCGGGGGACCAGGTTCACAATCACAGGAAGGCCCCGATCCGCCAGCAAGTTAATTTTTCATTTTTATTCCATCATCATTTCTTAAATTCAAATGGAAGTGTGAATTTATTTTAAAATTCAGAGGATGTTCCGCTCAATCAGTTTAATTGTTATTTTTTTTGTATTATTATCATGCCACTGCTGTGCTCTTTCAGGAGAAATTCTCCATATCCACTGCACGCAGAAGTATTAAAAAAAAAAGTAAATACAAGGGATAAAGAAAAGTTCAACTCATTTATAAAATTTGTCTGTTTGTTACCCTGCAGATTGTGTTTTACAAAATTGCAACTTATAGGCAATCCATCCCCGCAGAATGAAATAAAAGCACCTCTGTTTCGCTCATCCTATAGTAGCAAGTGTAATGAATATATCAATAATATGTGACCGGCTTCACAAAAAAGGGTATTATGTCGCAAAACAGCGAAATTGAGTTATATACTGAGCTCCATAGCCCCTCTCGTTCTGGAGATATGACGTATTTGCATATTAATTGCTTCCTTGGAGTTCAAATTACACAACTGAGAAAACAGGCTTTGAAATAGCTGGCTTTGTTGTAGAACAACAGAATGATGCATTCAAAATGGTTGTTTTTCCACTTTGTTCATCAAAATCAACATTTCTGTGAATGAAACCTGAAACTGTAGGTATTACAGATGTCATTCTTGGCAAAATATGAAAATCACATTGTGATGAAATGTTCACCCTCTCAATGTTCAGCAGGCCACAACACAATAATGCACAGCGCGACTTAATACCCTGTGGAGCCGGTCACATATGTTACTGTTCAATTTATTTGAAGCAAGTTATACAGGGTGTCTAAAAAAACACCTCAAAGCGCCCTCTTTTTCACAGCTTTTAAAAATATACATTGCAAATATCCATACATATCTGGAGATAATAGTCCATTAACTTTTCAACAACAAAAATCTTTCTAATAGAGAAATGTTTATTGAGTTATGGCCAATTGAAAACAAGTACCGCTTTTTCATTTTGTCTGCGGCGACTGATATTTTGACAGCTGCAATAAGAACACAGGTTGAAAGATGCATTCGTAAATATGGCTACCAAGTAGAGGGCAGAGACAGAGCAGCACAGTAAACATCTAAGAAGTTAACCAAACAGTTCTTCTCGGGCCTACCATTACTTCCATAAACGACCATTGTTTCAAAAAAATATAAACTAAACCGAACCGAATAGAGAAAGCAAAACTACCCTCGCCCCAAATCCATTACATCCCCAACAAATGACAACTGAGACCATCGACAGATTGAAAAATCGTTGCTTATTTTGAATTGGCCATATTAACTCAATAAATATTTACCCTATTGGAAAGATGATTTTGGTGTTGAAAAGCTAATGGACTATACTCTCTAAATATGTATCGATATTTGTGATTTTTTTCTTTTTTAAGCTGTGAAAAAGAGGACACTCAGAGGGTTCAGGGTTTTTGAGACACCCTGTAGCATGTAAATTACTACATTTAAATTATTTTTTTTTTTACATTTCCCCATCTTTGGAGAGTTGTATGTGTTATTTGTGGACATATCAGTTTGCCAAAACCACGAAATCACCATAAAAGTCGGGGGACATTACTTTTTTTAATCCAAGCAGAATATTTTTAAGGCAAAATAACATCAATGACAATCAGGCACAAAATACATAAGCTTGAGTTAAAGGAAAAGGAAAAATAGGGGCGAGTTTGGGATGATATGTGGAGGGATAGATTTTTAGCTGCAGGATAGCAGCTCAACAAATCATGTCTCTCCGTTAGTTCGTTAGTTAGTAACAAATGTTGACATTGTCTGTTGCTCCTACACATTTTTACCGATTTCAACCAAACTTTGTCAAAGTTTCAATAGCCCAGCCCCAACATGTCACATGACCAAACTTGGGTCAAAGGTCATCATGGGGTCACTGGGGTCAAAAAACTGATGATTTTGTTTTGAACTCAAAACACTACTTCTTCCAGAAATTACATGGCACAATCACGTGATTCATGTATGAACACACATTCGTTGGCCCGCGGCTTCCGAGATATTTCCGATTGAGCTTGTTTATTTTACAGCCCCAACAGTGTGAACAGGCATCTCCGTGCACAAGTACCCCCTCAATGGTTGCAAAGAGAGAGTTGGGGGAGACCACAGGGAAGGACATTTGAACACAATTCCCAGCAGCGTCTGGCGCTTGCGCGAAGACGCCACATGTTTTGTGTACATTCCGGAAAAATTAATTGGGGGTACTTCTGGCCATATGTGGCACGCACCAGCGCGTGCATGCATTGTCCCCATTGGAGCTCTTGAAAGTAGTCACAAAGCGCCCTCTCTGCTCATGCAACGAATCCATTGTGGCGCATACCTGTATTCTGATGTACTTGCATAAATGCATCATTCATTTTGTAAACTTTTTTTTTCTTCGACCATATGTATGTGATGTCATTGTCAAAATTTTCATTTTTGTCAAATCTTTTAATGTGTTGACGTATCACTGGTTATTGTGACAAACAAGGTGCATTTTTGTGTTCAAGTCATAGCTGATATTGCAACGTAGACCTGTGTCTGTGGTTTGTACATGTTCCAGGGCCACTCGTACAATAATGGTACGGTCAGCATGGGTTTATCTGATGACATGACCAATAAGAGAATGATACTACATTCATGAATATGTATAGAATGGAGAACTGTCCAATCAAAATTAAGTGCACTTTTTTCCTTCTCCAAGTACATGAACATGTAATGTGCCAAAATGAAAAGGAATAGTTCAAAAGGAATATTCACTATTTGAAAATTAACTTCATCTTCAAAGTTATCTATCTCAGTGATTTTTACATTTGACTTAATAATTCACGTCTCAATTCAGAAAATGGAATTCAGAAAACCCCTTTCAAGATTATTATTATGTACTTATCTGCTGCTGTGGGATTTCGTTTTAAAAAAATCTTTAATTTTTTAATGAATCATGCTCATGAAGAATTTCAAAGTGACATGAAGAAACAAATTTAGTGAGACAATGTTTATGTACAGTTTACGGCACACAATTATCCATGTATTATTTTACGGAATTTTTCTTTATTTTTGTTCGTGCTGAATGTTATATACCGGTTTTTTTTAAATCAATTTGTGGTTTGTGTTCCCGTGAATATGGCAGTAGTACAACATGCTACACTGATTAAGTTGTAACTTCGAAGTATTTGTCTACGGCATACAAATGTTCTGATATATTTGTTTCAGTTTTTGATGTAAAAATAAGGAAAATGTAATAAAAACTGAAAAGAAAAAAAATTGTCCGTCAAATTTTGTGTTGGTGTTACAAGGATGTGTAACATTCCGAGTTTACATTATCAATACAATGTACACAAAAACATGGCATATTGATGTATATAAATTAGAGAAACACACAATATTCCCCCCTCCATATTTATACATTATTAAATGATATTCCCACACACCACCACTTTCTTACAACAAAGAAAAATCGTACCAGTAAATTTATGTATAATCCTTCAAGAACATTAAAAAAAAATGAAGAAAATCACTCATGCACAAATAACGACAGGAAATTCCAATGTAAAGTCAGCCTTACACATTTTTATTTACATATATTTTTTCACAGAAATGTTACAATATATTCTATGGGTGGTGCAGTGCGTTAAGCACTCGCCTCTCACTGCTGTGACCCGGGTTCGATTCCCGACTTGGGTCATATGTGAGTAGAGTTGTTCATTGATTCTCTCCTGTGCCACGAGGCTTTTTCTCCGGGTTCTCCAATTTTCCTTCCTGCGGCAGCCTAAGGCGCCTTTACATGCATTCGGCTTGGCCACAATGTAGCTGCGTCCTTCGCAATTTAGTTTCTGCTGAAAGTAAGGACAATTAGTCTCCCGCAAAATGTTTTTTATTATTTATTATGAATAGATACATGTGTATAAATACGCATGAGATTTTTCAGACATATCTGAAATTAGACTTTTTGAATCTGACACAAAGAAATTATCAGCATAAAAGAAATGCATCTTTTACACTTTTACGCCAATTTTCAGACTTTTTTTACATTGCCAATCTCATCTTCAATAACTGTAAGGACAAGCATGGTTCAATTGGAGCAAACACAATTGTAAGCAACACTCCAGAGCTATAGTGTTGATACACCTAACCTTACAAGCGTACAAGGGAAAGCCTCATGCACTCTTTCGCCAGCAAATGCTGGAAGGATATTTCTTCAATTTGCCAGCAACGCATTGTGAAGTGGGGTGTATAAATAATTTATTTTTCAGCAGGAAATGCAGAATTTGGCTTTGGCAAAGAGCTGTAGGGGAGTTTATTCATGCACCGACAAGCTGCTCAGAGTAGACGAATATCTGGGCCACGTCATCATGCTCATACGTTCTCTTGAGGTAAGTGTCTGTTAGTCGCAAACCTGACACACTCTGAAAAGAAAAGGAGTCACAATTAAGAAATAAAATCCCTGTACATATTATACACATCCATTACGATACTTGTGCAATGCTGGACACATTCTTACCATTAAGGGCGTCGTTCGAAGTGGACAATCTTGGACACTAATGGACAATACAGGTGGTGTTATTCGTTGAGGCATATTTGCCAAAAGACACATGATCCTCCTGACAAAACGACGACTTTACCGGAAAAAATTATTAATGGGGGGGGGGGGGAGGGAAGGGGTGGTTGACTCCCCCAAACCCACACCCCCCTCTGGTGACACCCGTGTCTGCAGGAAGTATATACCTTATTCACGAGGAAGCCATGTTTGATCGTGTTCCCTGAATGTATTTTATAAATTGTCAACTGTTGAATGGGATGGTGCCAGACTATTTATGCATTCCAAGCCTCATTTTCAATTTCTTTTTCAATGCAGCTAAAAACATTAGCGTATGTGTCATCACAATTTTTTTATTATTCATCAGAGCAGACTGGTATTAATTTGTAATTAATTTTATTCATAGCTTTCATTTCTATTCGCAAGTTCCAAAATTGAAGATTTTACCTCGCTTTCAATTTAACATGGCCGACACGTGAATAAAGCCTATATACCAGCAGTACCACACACCTGTAATCCAGGGATTGTTGCCAGCAGAGTCAGCTCAATATCCATGCTTCCCCCTGGGCCCAGTTTGCCCAGCTGCCGGCCGGACACGCCCAGCCACATCAGTCCGTTCTCGGTGTTGTTCAGGACTAGCTTCAGGTCCATTGTGCGCTCACTGGAGGCGAAAAAAGAAATAGGAGTAAGTTTGCCGTTTCACCATGTGGCATCTCTTTTGTGAGTTTGTGTAGTAATGGAAGAACCAGCAGAAATTCAATGTTGCAGACAATAGGTTCCGAACATATTACGTCAAAGTATGACATGACCAACAGCCACCATTGCAGTAGGCAAGCGTTTGGTTAGCAACCACACTGTGCATTGTAAACTGGACAGTAGTTCTTGTTTTCACATAAACTAACCGCAAATTCTTTATCAAATGGCATAATGGTCACTACCTGTGCTGGTCACAATCATGCCGACCCAGCACTGGGTGTTGGCTCTGTGTTTTTCTCACAGTTTTTTGCCATCCGTCACAGCTTTGAAGACTTGCCTACTACCTACTGTGCGGTGTGCTATATGATCTTTGCCTACTGCAATCTTTGCCTACTACAATCTTTGCCTACTACAATGGCATGGACGAAGCCCACAATTTTACCACAAAGAAACTGGGCCTTGGAAAGTTAAAAAAAAAAACCACACATGTTGAATGTGGCCCTGATTCGATTAATCTACAAGATCAGCACCTCGTGTATGTGTCATGGCAGCTACATGCCTACTAGAATGCACATGTTGGCCTATGTTACCTGAGTAACGGTTTTCTAACCAGTATGTTTTTTCCACCAGTGCGCATGCACAATTGTTCTTTTCACTCAACTGTTAAAATTGTGCATATTAGGTCACGCCCTATTCCACTGCAAGATTCCCAAGGCGTTCTTTGCGTGCGGTTCGTCGACCGAGTCTGGTTCGTGGAACAGAACGCCTCTATCGGGACACTTGAGCTGATGCGTGAAATTACCCCTGCAAGAACATCTTGCACTATGTTTAGCAGCTCCAAACGTTGCGTTTGACACAAAGAATCCAAGATGTCTAAATACTTTTCTTACCAGCAGCTTGTGATTCTGCACTGGATCTGGAATGGTTTCTCTATGGTGATGGAGTCTGGTACCCCGGTCACGTTCAGTTTGACATCACCATACCCAGGGGCCTAAAATGAATAGGTCAAAACCAAGACATAATGTGAAAAAAGACTGGCCAAAAATTCACTTTCACAAAATCACTAGAGGCATGAAATGAAATTCGCATTAAAAAGCAAATAGTGCAATTACCAACTAATTCTGAACTGGTATGGGCTCCGTGCACAAGTTCTCCTTCACCGGCCAGAAAAGGAGAGTTGGGGGAGACCTAGACTGGTTTTGGTCCTTTCACTGGGCATTTTTGAATGATCCAAAGTTATCGGGGGCGGGATTAGTCTGGGAGACCATTGCAAGTTAAAATCGAACGTATTCGCGCGCCGATGACGCGTAATGCTCATGCGAAGACGCTGTGGCTAATAGGTGTTGCATATTCAGGAAGTCGTGAGTACTTTGCGCATGAACCATTACAGTCTGGTACGCTCACGCTGTGTGTCCCGTCCACGGAGCTCTCGAAAGGGTAAAAAAGCGCCCTCTTTTGTTGGCGCACGGAACCCATAACGGGACACACTTTAGGATAGAAATAAGTAACAAGTCTATGGCTTCATAGGATTCTGCTTTTATCAAACATTGGGGGTTTGCATATGAACTTGGGTCCAGATCATTTTGACTCACCCTGTAGTATGTGCGACACTTTGGCAAAATGAGACAGATCTGGGAAGAGGTCGAAATGAGGGTTTTGCGGGTATTAGGAAAGAGAGTACAATTCTCCTTACATTCTTACAATTCTCCTGCTATTCTTACCATTCTCTGTAACTGACTGGTCTGTAGCCGGCCTCTCTCTCCCATGCTGGTCTTCCAGACTATGTCCAGCTTGCCGATGTTGGACACCCCCTTGATGACGGCAGGCTTGTCGGAGCCCGGCAAGGGCTTGGCCTTCAGACAGTACAGGTACTGCCTGGTGTCTAGGGGGTTCAGGTAGCTGAAACTGCCAAACGTTGTTTCTGAGCTGCTGCCAAAAACAAGACACAGGAGTTGTAGTAATAGTAATATCTCAAAGTACAAAATTGTTGGGCACGTGTGGTCTAGCGGTAGAGCACAGGCCCCATGATCGTGGGATTGTGGGTTCGAGCCCCGTCGGCCATGCGTGTTGTGCCCTTGAGTAAGGCGCTTTACCTCAGTTACTCCTCTAAACCCAGGTGTTAAATGGGTACCGCATTATTCAATGCTGGGAAGGTAACAGACTCGCTGTGGAGGAGGTGTGGCAATCCTCCCACAGGAGCAGCATTACATTGAGTCTGGCCCAATCGTTTTGTAAGAGAGATGGGCAATCCGTTCCTGCGCAAAGTCCTCCATTATATCTTGAATGTGGCTTAGAGGGGTGACTACTGCCTCAATCCTGCAAAATCCTTCAGCAATCACTGTCAGTGTGTTGAGGCAGAGCCAGTGACTTCCTGGAGCAGTGCAGAGGATTTCAAGTATTTTTTAGGCCTAATCTTATGCACGGCTGAGAATAAACAACACAAGGTCCCGTCAAAGACCATGACACAGTGCATCCTCCAAAATCAGGCACACATGTTCGCCATATATCCTCAATGATGCAAAATCCTCCATTTTGCAAAGAGGATTGTGGAGTATTTGGGAAGGTTAGGGTTATAATAATGCCCCCTTCAAGTTAAAGTAGAACAATCTGTCATTTTGTTCCTGCAAGTCCTGAAGATGGAAGGATTATGGAGATTTCTGATGAAATTATCACAGGAGCTCGGGCTAATAATGCAAATTGTGAGTGGTTATCGAACAAGTTTGAATTTTCAGGACAAAGGCACCAGCCTACTGATACCTTTTGTTGTCTGGTTCTATCACGTTCAGTTCCTTGACTGTGTACTCGGCAGTGGGTTCCAGTAACACTCTTTCCATGACCATTGGTGACTGAGTGATGTTCTGTATTTGAGCTTCCAGGTACACCTCGTCGGACTTAGCAGAAACAAAGAGCATTTGTCCGGTGAAAATACGAATCATCTTTTCAAATAGTACAAAAGTTACATAATTACAGAATGGGATCAGACACTGATCTGTAATTGGGTGTGTTTGTTTAGCTCACCCAGGTCGACACAGGTTACGCCCCGTGTCATTTGATTAGCTCTGACGTCATTCTCAGGGCTCACCCAGGTCAGCCACCACAGAACCTGCTCGCGGAACAGAGTCACTGGTGGAAATACGTCACGCATGCATTGATCATTCCAAGAAACGGACAAATATGGCAGCTGGACAGCGGAAATCTCAAGTGAACTTGAAAATTAACTGCATTTGAAGTCTAAAGGTAATCATTTGTTGAGTTCATTGCGACTGTTGAGGCTGTAAGTCCAGCCAAACCTTTTTGAGTTTTGTCACTGACTGAAAAAAAAGAGTAAATCTCAAAGTAAGACCCAGTCCGAAACAGGGTTTTGTCAGTGGCTATGGCCACGGCTACGGGCATCACGTGAGGACCGTGATGGTCCGCGGTTCAACGTTCCATTAGTCCGGCGGTTGTGGCTAACCAGTCTGCCTTTACCTGAGTCGATCTGGGTGAGCTACTTAAACGCACCCTATAGTAAACAGGATAACACACACTCAACATCAAGCACAAGAAGAGAAGCCCCTACAATAAGTCATGATTTGGCACCCCAATATGGCCGCCGCCACATTCAGTCCATATAGTATAGCACAATATAATATAATTTGATGCAGAGATTTGTACACCTTTTAGGGCTCTCAAGATGACATCCTAGCGACTTATATTCACTAACATGACCACCGTCCAGTTGGTGTGTAGAGTCAGAGAAGGGGCAGCGCATTTGGAGTTGTGACTATCTCATGCTGGGTTAGTTAAATTCAATTTAATTTATTCATGCATGCACATTACAAGTTCTGCTTGCAATAGGTGCACTAACATATGCACTGTACATATCATCACCATTTTGACGAAGTGACAAATCTGTGAACGTGGCTGCAAAACCGAGTTTTGAGAAAATTGTGTTTGAAGTTGGTCGATTTTTCAAATTGCACTTTGGCTTATATTTCTCCCCCAGAATTGAAAAATATATAACTGATGCAATAGCGCAGTAGGTAAATAGCCCCCTAAAAGTTTCTGTTTACATAAAATCATGTTTCCTTAGAAGACAATAATTACTAAAGATATTCGTCACTTCGTCAAAACAGAAAATGCACTTCGTCACAAAAATGTAGCATATGTTGTACACAGCATGCTTGCGTATATAAAATGTATATATTTTAGAAAGCAGATTTGTCAAAATGCAAATCGTGGAGGCTTCGATATCATAAAGCTAAATATAGTGTAAAATCAATGAGACTATGCGACTTTATCAAAACGAAAAAGTGAGTTTGTTGCACTTTCATAGCTTTGTGTAATTAGCGTAATTAACGAAAGATGGAATTTTGCGTCTCAAAAATTTGGTAATCATTGTAGAGGACATCATAAAATGTTAGAATATCCAAAAATTTCAGATTGCTTAAAATCTCAGTTTTGGACGGATTCGTCACTTCGTCAAAAACGGTGATGATGTGAGGATAAAGATACATGTATGTGGCCATATGCAAACTGATTTTTTTTAAACAACTGATTTTTAAGCACCACACAGTGCGCACTATACCTAACACACGACGGGCACTTTGATTTTCGTCCTTATGGTTAATAACTAGCAAACTGTTACAATTAAGGAGCACACTTACTACATAGTCCTGCTCAAGCATACATACACACAACCAAGGTGTGCGGCAGTTCACGATGAATACATAGGCCACGGACAATGTCACATGCAGAACACATGTACAATTTGCAAAAAAAAATAATACGGTTAGCAACAATAGCAAAACTTCATCAACTACACGTACGATAAAATAAGATCAACATATTTTTGACAGTGAAACAATATTGCTGTCAACAAAAGAGTTATTAATCTATCTAATAAGTTGGCAGATAAATACATTTAAAATGTTTCGTTTATTTTATGAGAAATTCTTCATTGCATGTCTTTTATAAGGTAATATACAACATTTGCTTTTGCTGAATATTCAGAAATGGATGGATTTGGGGATTAGTATTTTATAGCAAATGTTGTGTCACTGACCTGTTCAAAGTTTTGTGTTCGTAGATGCTGGAAAACCAAGCAAAAACTTTTGTTCTTGCAGTCTGATTCCCTGATCCTACTTCAGATGAAAGGGAGCAATCTATTGACGTCGGGGAATTGTCAGGTCAGGGAACCAGACTAGCTGGCTTGCACCCCCATTCATGGATGTGCAACCGATTGCAAACAAAATGTGGACTAACTAAATTTGGTACATAGTAAATTAGGGGCAGTATTAAAAAAAAAGCCAGCTATTTTGCAATGATGGTTGGCTGACCATCGTTAGAAATTTGGAAATTGATACAAAATTTCCACTTTTCTTGAAAATGACAGCATACAAGGTGCCATGATTTCTCAGGATGCTTGAGCCTATTATTCACTTACAGTCAAGTAAGGTATTTCATAGTATCTTGGTAGTTTAGTTTTTTGATGTTTGCCAGTGCTGTATATTACCTTTAACATTGGCCAAAACAACATGTTCACTTAAGAAAACTTAAAAGAATTTATTGCAATACAATGACCAAGGGCAAAACCTTATAAACCAACTTGTAGACATGTTAAAGGGGAAGTAATTGAAAATGAGAATTAGTTAGGTTCTTGTTAGTTGTTCAAAGCAAATTAACAAAGCACGCATGTGCAACACTACCTTCACCATGCGTCTAACAGCATCGAACTTTCATGAAAAGCAAAGGTCAAAAATAGGGGGGAAATGTTTTTTTTTTAATGGAGTAAAAATTCTGTAATTATTTCATGACAATTTATTCATATCCAATTGATGCTTCAATTTCAAATCGGACTGAATGTCCATACAAATTTTGTATAGTGATTTTTTTTCATGGTGTACTTGCTTATGAGTTGTTCACTGTATTATTTACACACAGAATATAGCATCCTGCACTATAAATTTGTGTGTTTATTAATAACCAATTGAGAGATATTTTCAAAGAAATGAAAACATAAAAAAATGAAATATGAAACAAGGCAAATGAATCATGTTATGTAGAATTTTTGTACTTAAAATGTCAGTATATTCTGTTTATACCTTATACTTAGCTTCAATGCTTAAAACTGCATCTTGGCTCTCATGTTTTAAGCAATTTTGTGTGAATTCATTTTACGATTGGCCCCTCATTAAAATTGACAAATTGTTTTGAAGTAAAAATAAATAAAATATATAAAGAAAAACAGAAAAATAATCAAAAACTTACAGAACTATCAAAACAAACTATTAACTTTGAGCAATGCAACTGAATGGCAGATAATTTGGAAAGAAAATAATTTGGAAAGAAATACACAACCTGTGCAGACTAATCCAGTGTCCACAAGAAAATTGCTATGATGACACCATGCTCAAATGCACGTCGAGATTGTTCTTAAATTAATTTGTAGATACTTTTTGGCAAGTTGTACCCACACCGATGGAGCAAAAGAGCATTTGGTGACAGCATGCAACCTCTGCGTGTGGCCACCAGATTTAGTCAACATAAAAAAAGTGCATGCTCATTCGTCCACAGGATGAATATGAAACAGTGGGTGAATAAATGAATAGATAATGAATGTTGAGTTCAAAGGTTACCTCTGCATTGTAGAACTTTGTCTTGACATCTAGGGGTTTCAAAACCTGAAAGGAATTATTCAGTTAAAATCTTTAAGAAGCAGGGAGTCCACCTGAGTAAGCTTGCTTGCCTTTTTTTCCTCATGGGGCCTCAAAAACACTGAACTAGAGGGCCTGTGAAATTCCAAGAAATCCAATACTAAACTTTATATTACCCAAAATAATATTCCATATTGCAATGACCACGTCTTAACCCTAACCCCCTAGGCCCTTTTTGCTAAGAACCATCCTCAATCCTCCAAAATCCTCCAAATTTTTGCAACTCTGCCAAACATTTTCAAAATTGTCAGAAAGTCCTACCTCAAAATGCATTCATCGTCAATCCTCCAAAATCCTCCTCATCCCAAAATTTTGCACTCGTGTTTAAATGAAGGATAACCAACGCCACATCCTTCAAAATCATCAGACAGTCCTGCCTCAAAATGCATTCATCCTCAATCCTCCAAAATCCTCATGTGCTTCAATCACCATTCATCCTCAATCCTCCAGAATCCTCATTTGATTAAATCACCATTCATCCTCAATCCTCTAGAATCCTCAAAAACCGCCAGGAGGATTTTGGAGTGAGGTGGGTTAGGGTTAATTAAGGCCGGTTCATACTCGGCGCAAAAGCGAACGCAAACGTAAATTTGTAAAGTCAGGGCAAGTTTTCGCGTTGCGAATTCGCAAAAGTTGAACACATTTCAACTCTGGCAAATTTCGCAGCGAATGCTTTGTGACGTCAAATTCGCATTGCATTTGCATGAAGTATGAACCGGCCTGTAGACTTGGAGATAGAGGGGCTAATGCTGATAGGAATCATGCTGTTTGTGTTCTTGGGCAAGACACTTTACTACAATTGCCTCTTCCCACTCAAGGAGTACATATGGGTACCTGTGAGTTTCTCACCTGGAATTTAAAGAACTTTCTGAAGTACATGTTTTCCCCGGATGGTGTGGTGTAACTAACGGCGCAGACCAAACTAAAATAGCAAGAAGAATAAGTGGCGGTACAAGACTTTAAAATGCTAATTCTAAAAAAAATCAAGGTGAATGTCATCATCTTCCACTTATCTCTATCAAAGGTGCAGGTGCAATTCCAGTCCCAATTGGCAGTCTGTTTAATCCTCCCTCCTGCTATTTAAACAGTCACAGACAGTCAAAATGTCCATCCACGTCCCCTGCTATACTTTTAACACAGACCAGTCACCAGCAGTCAGATCATATGTCAAGCAAGCACTGTGACTAGTCAAACTCAGTCAACAGACCATGAACAGACAAAGCAGGCAAGTTGTGGGCACAGCTGGCTTATCAATTACCCACAGTCAAAGCAAAGCTGTATCGTACGTGTTACATTAACAGTCACAGCCAGTCAATCGTGCTTTATGTAGGCTGGGAGCTCTTAACTGTTGAAAACAAGTCAATGATTGATTTGACTGAAAGGACAACTTGGCACAGAATGTATGTTTGCATAGGAGGGTTAAAGGGACACTAGGTCCTGGAACAGCCCAATTGGGCTACAAAACGCGCTTTGAATGAGATGATGATAATCGGAAAGAACATTTAAAAGTAGGATATAAACACCCATATAACTAGGTTTCAAAACTGGGCGTTTTTGTGTTATTCCTGCATTATGCGTGCGAGAACGAATTTCAGGGTCCACTTTTGCGACCCCATCAATTCGAGCTGTTTGGATGCTAGTTGTGTATTTCATTCATAAAGTATTCGCCTTTTGCGGACGTTGAAGAAACCCCTTTTTTTTTGCATTGGTGATTCCCGAGACACACAACGTATATCGTATGCTGAGAACGACACGAAAAGCGTATTCGCACTCTGTCATGTCTGATGTAAACAAGCGATTGTTTTTCGTCTTTTCTCGGGAACGGTAAGACATTAGGTTGGTTTCCTTTCAACCAGATGTTTGAAATAAGCTAAGTAAACAATCCAAAACATAAAATTTTCGGGGATTTCAGGAACTAGTTAGTGCCCCTTTAATTCCCAACCAGAACACACATTGAGGCTGGCACATGTAAAACTCATTTGACGCATTTCAAATATTCAAACACTCAATTCAATCCAAATTTGAACAACCGAATACTATTTGAATACTAAATTATTAACAATTGCGTACTACAGGAACTCACATGTGTGTGCCGAGTTCTTTGACTTCATGGTGTATGACCTCATCGATGCACTGTGCTGGTGAGAGCTCGGAGTGGGGCGTCGTCCCCGAACCGGACAGAGTCAGTCGCTGCGAGCTGGTCTGCAGGTCTGTCTTGAGTTGGATTTCTTTGACGACGTGACTGCTGTCATTATGGACACTGACGTAGCTAGAAAAGGTCTCTCCTAGGTAGATGCTCCTATGGGTTAGAATAATACAATCATAATGAGTAGTCTTGACCAGATCCCATTAAAACGAGTCTCAAGAACTTGTTCTACATATTATTTTTTCACATGCTACATAAAAGACATACTTGGTTCTTCATTTGATACATCAATTTGTTTATCATAGTGATATTGCCATTCTGATGAGTACGGGCATTAACCCGAACCCCCTAGAGTATTTTGGATACAAACCATGGTAAATGCAGCAATATCTAGCACTTGTGAAAATGACAAGCCTGCTCATCAGTGTAGCAAGACCCATCAGGTCTCAAATCTCAAGGCCTAACTGTCTCAGAGTCTGTGGTCACTAGCTACAGCACGATACAACTGTGGCATTTGTTCAATGGGACTAGATCTCATTGGTTCAGAATAAGCCTCTGTACTGATGACGTCACACTTGGATTACGTGTGTGCTTTCCTATGGTGCTCAGTGGACCGTGGGCCCCCACTGGCTCCATAGGAAAGTGCACATGTAAACAAAGTGTGACGTCATCAGTACAGAGGCTTATTAATAATAATAATCAGCATTTAAAGAACGCTTTTATTAGTAAACTAAATCACAGCGCTTACAGTATTATTATTACCCCTGATCATTGGGCCAATTAAACATTCCAAATACCATCTCAGCTCCCTGGGGAGTATACAGCTCGATGCAGCCTGTTAGGCGCAAGCAAGCTTATTCAATCACAATAACCATCTCTGCCCTCACAGGTACCCATTTACTCCTGGGTGGAGAGAAGCAATTAGTGACAAAGTGCCTTGCCCAAGGGCACATGCACAATGACCCCGGCTGGACTCGAACCCACAACCTGCAGCTTTACCCACAGACCACGAATCCAGTGCCCTTAACCACGAGGCCACAGCACTCCACTTATTGGCCGCTTATGCACTGGTGTAGATAGCTCAATGCTAAGCAAGGTCCTGCTCAGCAAGGTCCCACAGACTTTTTGACCTGATGCACCGTGTTGTGTATCTGGCAGGGTTCAGGAGTTAAGGAACTGAACTGACATTTTCTCACCCAAAGTTCTGGGGAAGCATGAGTAGTTCCCCGACGCCAAAATGCTCCAAGCCAGCGGGCAGGCCCAGATGGGGAGAGATATCCCTGACCATGCTTCCTGATGGACCACCTAAGATGACAAAATAAAATCCATTAAACCTAACTCCATTTAGGTTTTGTTTTCGCACTCTGAAGAATACTAGTCTGAGTATCACCCATGGTCCAACGGAGCCTTCTCCGTAAACCAACGTCTGACATATGTGAGCAATGCACATTTTATGTGACTCCGCGTGCCAGCCAATCGGAGTCGGCTTTAGAAATTGTGACTTCATTTCAATCAGAATTATGTTACCGACATACATATCCTTGTAATTTGATTGGTGGAACTCACATCACGTGACATTCGTTATTACTCCCATTCACGCCGGGTCTCAAAAAGTACTATCCACCCATGGGGAATGGGAAATACTATTGAACAGTAAGGATCATTCTTGTTCCAAGACAAGGTATTTGTGTGCAAAGGCATGCTGGTGTGCACGTTCAGCGTTGCACGTATTGTTCCGAAGAGCCAGCGCTACAGAGTGGGGTTCAAACATGTTCGTGAAGGGGTGGTTAGGAAGAGAGAAATACATTTCCCATCAATTCTGTAGGGAAATAAAAGTTCATATCAAACGACAAGGATCTATATACAGTTATATAAAACAAATATTGAGTGGCTTTAAATTGTGAAATGGGAGGAATATTATCGCTCAGTAAAATCTGGACTTTTCCAGTTCACTCGGCTTCGCCTCGTGAAATGGAAAAGTCCAGATTTTACCTTGCGATAATATTCCTCCCATTTCACTCCGAGCCACTCAATATTTGTATAATGTGGACTACATTAAGCAGTTGATTGGTTAATTTGGCTGCCATGTTTTTTGTAAACAGCGAGTTACCAAAGACCCAACAGAAGTCGCCTCCTGGTTGGTCAGAATCTCGCAGTCATATTTTGTATAATTAATTGCCAAATCTGCTCGCATATCATAGACCCTTGCTGTGCAAGGGGATATTCCATAGACTAGATGAATACAACAGGAGCAAGAATCTTTTGTTCCGTATTCAGATCAGAAAATTAAAGGAAAACCCACAGCTGGTAGGAAAATGTAATCATAGAAGCAATAAAATGAAGAAGTCTTTTCAAATACTGTCCCAAAATTCACCAAATTTAGTTACCTCACATTTTGTTTGCAATTGTTTACACATGCATGAAGGGGTGCAAGCCAGCTAGTCTGGTTCCCTGACCTGACAATTTCCCGATAAATTGCTCTGTTTCGACTGAAGTAAGGTCAGGGAACCAGACTACACCGAACAACACTTTTTTCTTGGTTTCTCAATTATCCAAAAACACAAAACTTTAAACAGGTCAGTGTAACAATATTTGCTATAAAATACTAACCCCCAAATCCGTCTATTTCTGAAATTTACAGCAAAAGCAAATGTTGTATGTTACCTTTAACCACCAAGTCAATAGTGTTTACCTGCTAAATCCCTGGCTTCAAATAATACTGGATTTGTAGTGATGAATGAAGATTTGGTCAACCTCATGACTGAAAAGTGAAACACAAAAAAGAGGAAAAGAAAATTACGAAACACATTATTACGAGAGTTTGAGGAATTTGGATCCAAGCAGAATGTTTCCTAAAACTCAAGGCATGATGAAAATTGAACACTACACAACTTACTTGCAAAAAGTTTACTGTTGTTATGCATTCCTGAGGCATGCAGAATTTATGGAGAGAATGTTACAACCTGACACTGCATTTTTCTTCACATATCATCTCAATGAAGGTCAGTCATTGCAAAAATGATGATAAATGTATGTAAGACATGAATCTGGGACTGAAAGACATTTCCAGTTATGGTCTAATGCTGACGTAGCGTCAGGTTGCAACAATCTTTCCAAATTTATATGAGGCTTTGAAACAACCCCTACCACGATTTTGAAATTGGATGACGAGAAGTGAAGATATTTAACTTTTTTAAAGACAACACTAGCATAACTGGTGCTTTTTATGGACAAAAAATGCAGTACGGAATCTTATCATTTCTTTTGGTAATCCTTATCTTTAGGGGGGTCAGACAAGTCGACCGTTGAGACAACTCGACCGTTGAGACAACTCGACCGTATGTGCGATAAATGGAAAGACAAGTCGACCGTTGAGACAAGTCGACCGTTGAGACAAGTCGCCTCGCATGTTTTGGGGCCTAGTTTTGGGGATAGTACCGGGAATTTTGGACGGCGGCTGCGTTTTTTGTTGTATATAAGTTATAACAGAGCCGATATAGCGCAGCGTGATTGTCCGTGCACATCGTTCGTTTTTCCGGGGCCTGTGCGTGCATCCCCGGTCAACTTGTCCGTACCGTGCACGGTGACATCGTTTTTGACAGGCCTGTGCGTGCACTTATCCCCGGTCAACGTGGCCGTACCGTGCACGGTGACATCATTTTTGCCGGGCCTGTGCGCCCACTTGCTGGTTGCCGCGCCGGTCGACGTGCCCGCGTGCTACTCCTAGAAGAGCCTCATAGTTCTAGGAGTACCCGCGTGCTGGGCCGGGCCCAGTCCTCGCGGGCGGGGCGTGCCCGCCCGACGCGACGGCCACCGCGGTCCTGCCACATATTTTTGCAACTTTTTCCGCTCCACGTGTATTCCTTTCCATTAAGTCGAGCTGTCTCAACGGTCGAGTTGTCTCAACGGTCGAGTTGTCTCAACGGTCGACTTGTCCCGAGTCGAGTTGTCTCAACGGTCGACTTGTCTGACATTCATCTTTAGGACACCTTGTGTACATGCAGGGAGCTCCAACAAAAAAAAGGAGGGGAGCAAAAGTCGAAACACAATCCAACATTTCGCTGTTTTCAACGACAATCCCGCTAGGCGCTAATTTGCTGATCCAAAAAAACACTCAAGACTACAATGGAGCTTTACATGTGTGTTAAACCATGGAGCTATTTTATAGCTCCATGGTTGAACTATTCAAATTCATACCAGAATGATAAGAAACTGTAAAAAATCCAACCAACCTTTCAACGAAAGCAAATGTTCTTTTTCCCTGGGTGCCTCCATTTTGAAATGGGATTGATCATTCATAAACTTGTTCAAGTCCTCTGATATTTTAATGGGTCACTAGCACTGCAGCCTGCTGTACACGGATATTTCACAAGCTGATTGCATTGAAAGCGCACATGTATTTTCACAAGTTTAAATCCAGCAACCTGCACCAAACTTGAAGCTGGGTGGTGGGCGTTCCAAGGGCGGGATGGGGGGGGGGCGTAGAAAAGGCGTTTTATTCACGTTAACTTTCATAATTACAGAGCAATGGTTAGGCAGGGATTACATAAAGTGCAATCAATATGACCAGCATCCTTCAAATATAGGTGCAGTCTTTTGAAAATGTGGTTCACATTTATTTCCCCTCAAGATGACATTCGTGGCATTCATTCATACATCAACCTTTGGCAACTTTCGGTTCCTTCAGCCAGATCCATTTACATAGTTATTCTTAAACGGTAACTTTTTATGAAACAAAAAATCCCAGCCCGTCCCTCTTGAAAATGCACGACTTTTCCACCACATTAGTCCAGGAAAACCGTTAACCACTCCGCACCGTCTGCCTACATGTTGTGGAGAGCAGTAGGCTAAACATTTACGTCCACACACAACAAAATCAAAGAAGACAAAATTCTACTGGGAAATGGTGGGTCGATTTATTCAAGACAATTTTGAACTGCACATTATTTTCAGGAAACATGTTTTGATCATTTTTAACAAGAAATGACATTATGCATAGACGTCTACTTGAATAGATTAGGTGGACTTCTTTAATAAGGAAAAGAGCTCCCAAAACCACTGCAGCCATCTTGACCTGGTTCCCCGACTGCCTGATTGGAATAACACTGAAGCACATCTTCACTTCACAGGCACCTGTTTATTTTCTGTTTATTTTTAGTAATGTGAACTATTTTTTTACCTAAAGCCAACTTTTCACGAAAACACTTTGGACACAAATTTCTTGGTTTACAATGTTAGGTGAAGTACTTGTCAAGCTGGATACATGTACATATCAACGGAAAAATTAAAATGCCTTGATACTAATAATTTAGTAATAAAATATAAAAGAAAAACAATTCATTTCCTTCTCCCAAAGAATTAAAAATCATTTGACTATACCAGTGTAAAAAATGACAAAATAAAAGTGAAGGGCAGAAGTTTAGTGTCAAACAATTTCAGTTAAAAACAAAAGTGCTTCTCATCAACAGTTTCAATGTTCCCTGTTCGCATTAGTTAAGAAAATGAGGAAATGCATTTAAATGTATTTTTTTTAAAAGTGATATTCTAACAGGTACAACAGTTTTTACATGGACAAAACTTCAATACTTGCACCTATCATAAGGGAAAGTGGCACCATCATAGTACAAGTCCATCATGTTTTTGCACAAACATTGTGGCACGAAGTTAACGACTATGAATACTGAAATGTCACAACTTAATATACACTTGTACACCGTTTTTGAGACCAACTACATTGACACTACTAGTCAAATCGTGATTTCCGTTCGTGTAAGAAACAACAATCTGAATAGCTATCAAATATTGGAAAAAAAGTACCCCAAAAGACAATAATGACCGACAAAACCCTGTAAATCGTCGCGTCAGTGAAACAAGGTCGTAACTCCTTTCTGCTACAAAGTCGTATCTCGCGCTAATATGCTCCGTGCAACAAGGTCGTATCTCGACGTCCATTGACTTTGTGTACATCCAGGTTATTTTAAGTGAGATACAACCTTTTGACATTCTGAAACACGGGTTTTCAGTACGGCCCATTTTAGGAGATACGACCTTGTTGCATGGACACGACGAAATGTTGATCACTTCCAGAAAAAAAAGACGGAAAAAAAAAACCTCACCATGAAATTACTCATTGTGCTGAAGTTTCACACAAAAATTTGAGTTTCAAACCCTCACTTTTGTCTCCAGTTTTGCTTAACCTGGCTTCTGATCATTTACAACTCTTAGTGTTCAGCCTGAAAATCTTCTGACACCAGGGGCCTGAAATATCTTGAAGCCACACCAAGAACAAAGCAGAGGTTTGGAAACCATCTCGTATTGCAGCATAACTTAATTGTTTTCCACACTAAACTAGGTAACCTTAAAATATATCCCCCCTACCCCCAAATCTTGGCTGTATTTTACAATTCATCTTTCTTTTGTGTTTCTTCCTCTGCTTCCTCTGCATCCTCCGCATCGCCTTCCGGCATCTCGTCAGGTAGAACATCATCCCCTTCCTCGTAGCCTTCCAGGTCGTCCATGTTCATGCCAAACTCATCTTCTTCCTCCTCTTCGTCTCCTTCCTCGCCTTCTTCCTCTTTCCTCTTCTTCTCTTCTTCTTCTCGCTTCTTGCGTTCATCCTCGTCCTGCTTGTCCTTCATCTTCTTTTCGCCGTCCTGCAATGAGGAGACCACATAGGTTTATAGTGTTGAATGGTGCTGCTTTTGACAATGTGGGAAAATGGCTCAACATTGAAGGACATTCAAGAACCATTGCCACCATCCTCCAATGTTCAGTTGCGTTTGTTGCATACAGTGAAATCTCGTCAAACTCTGATAACTCAAAACAACTGTTAAGTCAAATAAAGAATTCATTCTCTTCAGTAGTATAACAATGATATATAAACCAGCTTAACTCAAAACTCTGTTTATGTCAAATTTTGAACCTGTTTCCTTGAGGTTTGACTTATCGAGTTTTCACTGCAGTTTTAAATTTTAGTTCTCTTTGTGTTTTACTGACTTAAATATAAATTTGTTATGGAATTTTTACTGATTGCACATAAAAGAGCCCATCTCATGTACATTTTAACGTGACATATAAAAATCTTGAATCTTACACGCAGATACTACATGGATATATGCACATCACCACTACAAATACTGGTTGACCATAAGAGCGTGTGGACTTGTTGGCACACCCTATGTGCCCTTGCTAAAGAAATCTACAGTACGTGCCAGTATTGAGAAGGCTAAATTACGTCAGATAGTGAAAACATCCCACTCTTTACACATCAGCTTTCATAAATATGAAACCATTTAGTACCCAAGACTCATTAGCTATAGCTCCTCTCAACTTATTTTGAATAAAAGCATAGTAAATTATACTGTTCCAAACTAGTTAACCCTAACCTTCCCAAATCCTCCAAAATCCTCTTTGCAAAATGGAGGACTTTGCAGGGTTGAGGCTATATGGCAAAAGTGTGTCGCTGATTTTGGAGGATGGACTGTGTCAAGGTCTTAGGCCGTACCTTATGTTTATACTCAGCCGTGCATACATTTAGGCCTAGCTTATACTTGGAAATACTCTGCACTGCTCCAGGATGTCACTGGCTCTGCCTCAAAATATTGACAGTGATTGCTGGAGGATTTTGCAGGCTTGAGGCAGTGGCCACCCCTCCAAGGACCACATTCAAGAAATAACAGAGGGTTGTACAGGATTGAGGCTGTATGCTATTTTTACATGGAGGCAGTTGGGATGATTTTGCAGGATTGAGGTTACATCCTAGCAAAAATGCCTAGGGAGTTAGGGTTAAATTAAATTTCATCAACTGAAGTGAAATTAATGTACAGCTAGACTTACAGCATCCAGCCCTTGAATGTCATGAAGAAAAAATACGAGAAACAAATTCCTACAGAAATAAAAGCATAATTGAAGAAGACAGGTACCTTTGTGGGTTTCCATAATTCATCTGCTTGTTTTTCTGCTTCTGCTACGTCATCTGTGATGAGGACGTTGTCAAAAATTGTGCCTGATTTTACCTGGGGAAAATCAAAGGGAAAACCATGTTAGAACAGAAGACAATTTGTTTCACCCTTAATTCAAGTATTAAAATAAGTTTCTTTTATTGCATAAAGTTCTTCTGTAGTGGTTCACTACATGATGCGAACATTTCTGCCAAACTTTTTCACATTGGAAGCTCCGACAATTCTTGAGATTGTGAGGGGGGGGGGGTGTTGGGTTGGGGGTGTTGGGTGGAGGGTTGGGGGGTGTTGGGTTGGGGCGCAGCCGGGGAATTATGTGACACGGCCAGTAACAGGAGCACATCAGAAGGGGAATCATGATAAAATCATCAGATTCATAATCCGGTAAAATTAATCATCATTTGTGCTCTGTATCTTGGCTCATCAAACGATTCAACTTGGTGAGCAACACAAAAACTCATTACATTTAAAAGCGGGCTGCATACCACATGTGGTTCTCTCCAGAGGTTTGGAAATACTAATTTGATGATTTTCAGATTGAGTATTAAGCTTGGTTCATACTATAAGCGAATTTGATGTCAAGAAACGTTCGCTGCGAAATTCGCCCGAGTTGGAATGTATTTAACTTTTACGAATTCGCAACGCGAAAACTTGCCATGACGTCACTAAGTCGCGGTCGCTTTCCCGCGGAGTATGAACAGGGCTTTTTGCGTAACCCAGTGTACATGATATCGAAACATTCAAATGCTACTCACCGTGTTCTAAAATACAAACAAACATACACTAAAAATGGATGTTACATTACCGTCACATCACACCATGTTACCATACTCGTTATTCAAAGTTCTCTAGCTCCTATTTCACCTCAAAACAGATAGCTCAAACCATAATAGGCCATTCCTTACTCGTCAAGTAAGAAATGTAAAGTTGAGTTGGTGCTATTCCAAGACATCTGTTCATGGATATCAAATCTTTCAAAACAATGTGATATTTCACTTCCATTTACAGGAAAAAATCAGACCAAGTGACTGTCCTAAAAAGTAGACAATCTAGTAAAAGAACAGCGCTCAGCAACATACCTGCCATAAATCAAATCCTATTACGCCAAAGTCTTTGTAACTGTAAAGTGATTCGTCTGCTTCGTACTCGGGGTTGTCGATTTCTGGATGCACCCATTTGCCTTTGTAATCTGGGTTATCAATCTGCTTGGGTTTCCATTCGCCCTAGACAAAGCAAAAACATCAATAATAATAATTTATTCTTAATAAAGCGTTTTACATTAAAATCTCACCACGCTTTACAAAACATCATAACACAAAAAAAAAATCATAAAAAGTAAATTAATTAAAAACTAGTAGTTAATAATAATAATACCTTTTAAAAGAAATGTCTTAAGGCCGGTTCATACTTCATACGAATGCGATGCGAATTTGCTGCGAAAGCATTCGCTGCGAAATTTTCCGAAGTTGAAATGTGTTCAACTTTGTTGGGAATTTGAAGCATGAAAACTTGCCCTGATGTCACAAATATGCATTCGCTTTCGCGCCTTTAAACCGACCTTTAAACTGTGATTAAAAAATTCCTGATTTCTTTCTCAAAAACGCTGGAAGACTGTTCCACAGAGAAGGTGCACAGATGGTAAAAGCACGATCATGGTATGCTTTGCCAGGCTTTGGACAAACCTTAGAATTGTTGAGCTTAACCCCATCACAACTTTTATTGTGAATGTTGGACACTCCCTTTATGATAAGCAACACATGCCATTGCTCAATCCAGCAATGTTGCTTCAAGCACGTTGCGGTGACTTCAACAGAGCGTCTGACAGCCCTAACTAATTAGGTTGAAATGTTGCTGTTGATGAACTGCTTTTCATCAGCTAATTTAATCAAGTAAATAAAGAGGAGATAAAAAAGTAAGTAAATCAAAAGAGCATTATACCTGGTATTCTGGGTTATTAATTGTTGGTGGTTCCCACTCTCCGTCCATCTCATCGTCCCAGTCTTCTGGCTTCTCGGCGTCTGGGTCTGGGATGAACTCTGGCTTGTCGTAGTCCTGTGACGACAGAAGACAATAAACAATTCGACTGATTACAAATCACAAAGACAAGAAACAAAACCCAACTCACTCCAACACTCCAAAAGTACCCAGTGGGTGTGTAAAATAATTGGATCCTGTTGGATTGAGCAGGGTTACGTTTAAATTTGCTACGGAATGTTATAAGTTTTCTATTTCTTGCTCTTTTTAAATTTTTTTTTGGTTCAATGATTCTTACGTCTGGTTTAGTATCATCAGGGTCGTCAATTTTCTCCCTCTCGTCCCAATCCTCCGGTTTCTTGGCCTCAGGATCCTTGATCTTCTTGGGCGGCAGGAAGTCCCAGTCGTCTTCAAGGTTGCCCTTCTGTACCTCCTTGTTGTCGATGCGGACTTCGTAGGTGTTGTCCGGCCGGACGATCAGCGTGTACAAGTGGGTGAACTCATCATCCTGTATAAAAAGCAAAGTGAGTTCCAAAACTTGAGTTTCGAGGGTTTAGGGTTCTAATTCGTCACCCTGCATGAAAAGCAGAGTTCGAGCAGCCTTGTATTTATCTCTCAAAACTTGAGTATCCAGGGTTATGAGTTCAGCTGTTGGAGTAGTGTGTTGTGTCCAACTTAGAAGCCAAAAAAAGAGGAAACTCCAATCTCTACAAGACTTTGAACAGTGTTTTTTAATTTTTAATGGCATAAGTGTGAAGTGAAAACAAGGAATTCAGCTGATCCAAGGAATAGTTGCATGCCTGTGTGTCCATGAGCAAGGCATTTAACTCTCACACTTTGCATTCTCTGCCTATGATGACAAATGCTGGAGAGTAACGTTGAAGTATTCACATCTCATTCTGAGGAAAACAGGAATATTATGTTGTTTTCTTCTTTGGTTTTGAGGGGGGTTTTAAATAGATTTTTTCCACTTAGATCAACCACTTAAAAATAAAATACTTATGAACAAGTTTTCTACATGAAATCAATACTTGAAATTAGCTTCACAACATTCTTGGACACAGGTTGACCTTTAAAAACAAAGTTTGTGTTGCACATGTACATGTTCATTTTATTCATAAAGCAATTATTTCAATGCGATAAAAAGCTGATATGAAAGTGCTAATAAAAACTGACTCACCATTTCAGTCAACCACGTCTTATTAAGTTCCGTGTGTTTACACAGGGATATCGATCTCATTTGCGATAAGATTTCACACAATCGATCACTTTTATTTATATAAAAAAAAATCTCACTCAATCACTAGCATTAATATCAGCATTGATTCTCAAACTCATTCATACCTTACACCTGATGTCTTTCTTCGTGAGCAGGTTCTTGCCCTTGTAGTTGAAGATCACATGGACTTTCTTGGTGCCTGGCCCACAGATGTCAGGCCCTGTAGGAGGCAAAAGCCATAACGGTGCTTAATTAGCAACGGCTGTTTACTTTCTTGTTTAAAGGGAATATACAACATTTGCTTTTGCTGTAATTTTCATAATTGGAGTTAAGTATTCTATAGTAAATATTGTTACACGGACTTGTTTGAAGATTTGTGTTCGTAGGTGCTGGAAAAACCAAGAAAAAACATTGATGAAACGAAGCATGCTAAGCATGTTTCGCTAAATTTAGGCCAAAACCAGAGAAATTTGGCCCAACATATATATTTGGTGATCAGAATTAGGCTAATCATCAGTGATCTCAGCCCCGAAAGATGGTTAATTGTATTAAGCCATTTCATCACTTCACCATCACTTCTTGTACATGTAGACTGAAATTAGCTTTAACAAGTGCATTACAGCCCATCAAATCCCAGTAATGTGTGACTTTGTATAGGACTATCTTGGCCAAAACCTACCAAACATAATATTGTAAGGGGAGTCGCCGTGCATGTCCGTCTGATCCAGATCGCCGGGGAACACCTTGACGTAGCCGCCCCCGCAGTCAATCTTCTGCTCGTGCTTGACGGCAAACTGGATGACCAGGTCTTTACCCTCGTTACTGAAGGAGTCAAACTTGCTGGAGAGGGCGTAAAATTTGGCGTCCTGACTCGTCTGGATACCTATAGTGATCAGGCAAAGTTTTTAAGTATAAGGGTTTTTGTCCTCTTTTCTAGAAAGATAATAGAACAGTGCAAAAAATGACACAATCATTCAAAGCCGATTGGGTTTTAACAAAGGTTGCTTTCTAACTCATCTTTTATGTCCTTTACCCTAACAAACCTGAATCCATCAAAATCCACACCTGTTTTTGGAGTATTTCAGCGGATTCAGGATACCTCTATAGTGAAAAAGTTGGGGGTTTTGATGGATTCAGGCCAGTAAGCCTAGAGGTACTGCAGGATTTTGATGGATTCAGGATACCTCCATGTTGAGCAGTTGGGGGACTTTGATGGATTTAGGATCTCGACAGTTTAACTCCTTGGCTATATGTCTGGTGTGTATGAGGTATATCACATACTGGTGGATTCTGATGGACTCAGAACACCAACATTTTTTGGCATGACAAAATTTATGATTTTGGCGGAGTCCGGATATTTTCTAGTAAAAGTGCTCAAGGGTTAAGGATTAAACAACAAAAAACACCCAAACCCCTCAAAAATGGTGATCAGATGATCAGAAAGTGGCTAAACATCAGTGGTTCTCAGCCCGAAAGATGGTTTATTTACAAAGCCATTTCATCACCTCTCCAAATTAAACCATTTTTTAAGCTGTTGTTCACCATGTTATGGGTCATTCTCCACCCAAACATGTTAATTAAATTATGTACATTGAGTAATCAAACACCACATACAGTTGTTACCATTTTAAGTGGACATCTTCATGTGTAGTAGCTCAGTATCGTAGCAAAGGAAGAGTCGCCAGAAGACATTCGGTTTTAATAGAAAATTCCATTGAAAAAAAGACAGTAATTTTTAACTAACCCTTGTCTTTCTCCGCATCGTTGTAAAATTTCCCTGCAGATAACTTGAACTTGCCAAGGTCGTCTTTGTGTTCGGAGTTTACCCATCTCTCTGCCCAGTCATCTGAAACAATAGACATCAAATGAATGATGATCAGCAAGATTAAAACTTAGACACAACTGTCTTGTGCTAATAGATTGGGTGAGATGGACATCTGGAGTTACCAAACTGGAAAACAATCGGTCATCGTGTAGTTAAGGACACCTCTTTTTCTACAAGTTCCGTTCATAAATGAAAGCCCTGCCATCTCCACAAAATTAAGCTAGCTGATATTCAACATAGTATCTTACTTCTTAGCGACTATTTAGATGATTCCAAACACATACAGTGACTTTTTTCTGCTTGTATCAAAGCCAAATGTTTAGGTATTAAAGTCCCAAAACCTTTAATTTTGTTTTTGTTCTCTTATATGGAACAGGGTCCTTAACTACTTGAATCCTAAACAATGGACAACCTAAATTCAGGCATTTAAAGCTTTGCAAGACTTTTTTTTTATAGGACTTCAGTCTTTTCAATTACTAATGGCAAAAGTGTGAAGTGAAAAACAAGGAACTCAACTGATCCGAGGAACGGTCATGACGGTTGTAAGGTGAACAGGATAAAATGGAATATTTATAAGGGCCTAAGTAGGCACAATTGCAGAATACCCTGCCACTTTTGATCCCACCTCGTAGCCGGCTACATGGATACGGAGGAAGTATAAAAAAAGACGAATTCAATCCTTATTTGATTTTGACTGAAAGACTACTTGGCACAGAATGTATGTTTGCATAGGAGGGTTAATGTGATATTTTTAAACACCCCGTCTCCTGTGCCCGCACCATTTGTAAAGGTTCCTTTTGATGGGCACACAGGCATTTTCTCATTTTAATATTGGAGGGTCATGTAGTGTAATGCTAAGCATGTTTTGCTAATTTAGGCCACAATGTACATGTAAGCTAGGAAACCAAACGCAACAAACAGCTGTTCGAATTTGGACCCATATATTTTTGGTGATCAGAATTAGGCCAATCATCAGTGGTCTCAGCCCCGAAAGATGGTTAATTATATTAAGCCATTTCATCACTTCACCAGCCCTTCTCACTTTATGTTAAATTAAGGCAGTGGATATTTTGCCGGAGACGGCAAACCTTCAGTAAACGTTAGTTTGCCGGATATGCACTGAACATGCGCAGTTACTGTTTTTTCGTACTTCACAAATTTTCCGGTGACAAATTTTAGTCTGGCTCCATGCCAATATTATCGTTGTATTTTTGTATTTACAAGATGGGAATCAGACCATTTTATAATTTCGGACTTTATTTTTTTCCTTTAAAAAAAAATCCTCCAGAGCCACAAATCTGAAAAAGAAAAAGTAATACTCTGCAATAAAATGTTTGAGACATATTAAAATAATAAAAGAAGAATATTCTTATTTATTTGGGGATGGGAAAAAAACCCTTGGAATTGTGGCGGGGATCAGGATTCGAACTCGGGACATCCCACTCTCTAGAGCCATTGCTTAACCACTGCACCGACTGTGCTACACAATTTTGGTGGGAATTTAATACATGTTATAATTCAGCCCTATCTTAAAGAGTACAGCGCCCTCTGTTGATATGGATTGCCGCCGGCAAACCTTTAGTAAACGTTAGTTTGCCGGTGTCGTGCCAAAAACCGTCCGGTGCCAAATAGTGTCCGCTGAGCATGCGCAGTAGGCGCCAGACACTATTTGGCATGTAATACATGCCAAATAGTGTCCGGTGCCAAATAGTGTCCGGGCGCCGTCGATCGAGCAAGAACAAGGGAGCACGTCCTGCCGGACGGCATATTGAGTTGGAAAAATCGGACAGTATTTTGCAGGAAAAATCGGACAGTATTTTGCAAGGGGGAATCGGACAATATTTGGCAGGGCGGGGAATCGGACAGTATTTTGTTGGCAGGAAAAATCGGACAATATTCAGTGGCGGGGGAATCAGACAATATTTGGCAGGGGGAATCGGACAGTATTTAGCAGAAAAAATCGGACATTTTTTCACAGGGAAATCAAACACTATTTGGCAGGGGGAATCGGACACTGTTCAGCAGGAAAAATCGGACAGTATTTGGCAGGAAAAATTTGACAGTATTTGGCAGGGGGGAATCGGACAATATTTGGCAGGAGGAATCGGACAGTTTGGCAGGAAAAATCGGACAATTTTTGGCAGGAAAAATCGGACAGTATTAGGTGGGAGAAACCATAAAATATAACGTTGGTTATAATGCTACACACAGCACAGTACTACTACACACACTTCACACGGCGTTAGGCCTACGTACTGCACGCCAAACAGGTGAACTGACGCGAACATTTTGCACAAATATAATGTTTAAACTGTTAGGGAAACCAAGTCAAATAGTTATCACAGATAACAAGGAAAACGTTAAAACAGATTGTAAAAAGCAAATTCATGTGAAAAGAGATCTTTTCCATACGATGCATTGACAGCTCGACAAGGCATTCAATAGGATGCACGCTAAGCGCGGACACTATTTGGCAAGCGTCCGTAAACAATGTGACGTCATAGACGCATGACCAATCAGATCGCATTATGGTAATTAGCGGACACTATTTGGCACCGGACGGTTTTTGGCACGACACCGGCGTTACCTCCGGCAAACATGGCAAAATATCCACTACCTTAATTTAAATCTTAGAGCAAGGAACAGAAAATGAAATCGTGATGAAATCAAGTTTAAACGATAATTAACGTTGTCATGGTAGTGATGAAAAAGAAAATATGAAATAATAACCCAGTGTTCTCCAACTTTGAAAATTAAAGGTTGGCGCTGGTGTTGGCGGGGACTTCTGCGAGCGCGGAGCGCGAAGCCCTTACGGCGTGGGGTCCGGGGCCCGCCTTAAGGGCCCCGGGAAAAATTTGGATTCTAGATGCTCTGTGGTGCAATCTGAGGCGATTCCAGGCCAGTTCCCCCGATTTTTTTAGGCTGGGATGACATCGAAATACATTGTTAATGTGTGGAAAAACAACTGAAATCAATTATTTTTGTTGTAAATGTACACTGTAGAGTCAAAAAAATTAAACCTGGCGGCAGAATTTTAAAGCTTGGCGGGGACTTCTTAAACATGGCGGGCGCCGCAGAAAGCATGGCGGGGCGCCAGGTTTGTTCTACATGTTGGAGAACACTGTAACCAGTTTTTTAGAAGAATAAAATTGTAATTATAGAAACTGGAGCAAGGGAAGTGGCCCGTCTTCAATCCTCCTGCTAAACTTTAAAAGGAAAAATGAACATTAATTTGATCAAACCTGAAAATGGCAGAATATTATTTTCATAGTCATTGAGTCATTCTCATTATCTGCTCATGATATTGACATATTAACAACAAAATATTCAGGACCACTACGACAAAGGCAATCAATACTGGTGTATACCCTATATAGCAATCATGAAAATATGCAAGATGCAAAAATTACAACCAATGTATTTGAGCAGAAGATGCGACGCAAAATTATTTTACCTCAAGAAAAAAAATCATTAACTTACCGTCAAATTGCTCCTGAAAGAAAACAGTTGCACTAGACAGTGACACAAGGGCGCAAACTACGCAAAGTAAAAGTTTCATGGTGTTTTTGGCTCGAGACGTCTCTCCTGAATAACAGAAACTCAGCCCCTTCTCCCCTTCTGTCTGCGTGTAAAGTGATGCGGATTTCGGAAAGATCGCTCACCGGTACGTTTGTGTACACGTACTGCAAGCGAATGCAACACACGTGAACTAGCCGTCCAGATGGCTAGCTCTGATTGGTAGACTGGCGGAACTGTGAAGGGCACAGGCCAATCACAGCGGACCACGCGGTCCCTTATCTGGGCTTTAAAAACAGCGCCCTCTCGCATGCGGTGGATATTGCGCGTGCACGTGTTTATTAGCCTAATCACAATTTTCTTTCGTTTTATTCAACTTTAATATTATTATAATGTACAATATAATCTGGTGCATCGGGTGGAAATTTTAAAGATGCGTCCCCCTTACGCGTGCAGTATTTCGAGTTTCACCTGGATTTTTTTTCACCCTCCAATTAATTGTTTTTGCTCTTTTCTATATATAAAAGTTATTCAAATTTGAAAACGAAACTAACAATCTCCGACGTCTAGTTCAGTATTGATTTTTTTTCTCCCCGTAAAATTCGAATTATCATGCTAGTCGTCCCAGATGGTTCGCGAACCGTAGAGTTCGTTTGGTTTAATGAAGTGGCCCTTTTGGAGAGAGGGGTTGAATGCACGACGCCCAAAAACGGAAAAAAAAGTAGTTTAGTAATCTTTTTTGTATAATCACTTCTAATTACCATCAATAATTATCTGTCGTTCTTGCCTTTTGTTTCCAATTGCATTATTCTGCTAATAAAACACAGGGGGAAAAAGTTGCGGAAATTTAAAAGGGATAATATTCGAAGTTGTTTTTGTAGTCTTAAAAGTTTAAACTACTGGTAAGTCTCGTCGGAGAACACAGTTGCTATTCTTCCAATCACAATTTCGAGTTTCACCTTACTCGTAAACACATTAAACACATGACTGTTTTCATGGCAATAAATACTGTACCGGGTATTCATTTTTGGATCGGACATCGAACGAAAAACTCCACCTAATTAGGATGTCTTTACGAATTTAATTATTTTCGGCTGGGCAAATATAAATCGGCGCAAATAGGGGGCGCGCCTACGTACGTACGTACGTATTTTGTATGCTAGAAAATTGCCTCGTGTGACATCGGCTTTTTGGGCTGGGGGGCGTGAGCCCCCTCCCCCCAAGAAGTTGTACATTTTTATTTTTTATTTTTTTGGAATTTGTTTTTTTTAGTCCCACGATTTGACCTTGGTGATATGTATGTGGCCTATTATGAGTAGTATAATAGGGGTGTTAGCGGCGCCACCAACGTAAAAATAGTCCCCCCCCCCCAAAAAAATAAAAAAATTGTGAGCCCCAGGCCAAATCCTAGGTGCGCCCCTGGGCTTTAGAGGCACAATGTAACAACATGAAGGGCCCATTAAGTGAATTTTTCTTGGGAAGATATTTTGTGCAACTTTCTACTCCTCTTAAATATGAAAACTAATTGACATCCCTTTTTTGGTTAATATTATTGGAAAGTGCAATTCTTTAAACATTTATAATGGGACACAAAGGTGCATTTGCAGGGGTTGCATTTGAAAAAAAATACATTGCATGGGCCCTTAACTTGAAGTAAGACGCCCAAATGTGAAAAAAACATAAGTATAACAGTTTTTCGTAAAAAAACCCCAAAACTATAGACTTCACGCATCGGGGATCAGTGTTTAATACGGTCTATCTAAAATGTTGATTAATAGCGCCCTCTTTGGCTCAGACTGTCTTTGTTATTAGTCTGGATTCGTGAAATTTGATAGGCCAAGGCGTTCTTAATGCCATTTTCCAGTTGGCAGCTGCCAGACGTACGTGAACAGCGATTCGGAGGGTTTCGTGGAGAGCAACGTGGGTAGCTAGCTAGCTCTGTCAGGCCTGCTGGACTGAAGTCTGAAGACAGGTAAAGTTTTTCAGCTTTTTCTCCTGCATGACTGTTTTCGTCGAATTAGTTATATTAGTTTCAATTTGCATCATTATGGTGCATGGGATCTTGAGGCAAATCATCGTACGCGTACGGAAGGTGTCATGAAATGACGCCCGTATGTGTGAGACGTGGTGGGCGGGGCCAGGCTGTATGGTGTGGGAGGAGATTGCATTGGGGCCTATGAACGATCGTGTAGTGTAGGGCCCGGTTCCTATAGGGAACATAAACCACTTTTAAATGATTAGACCGACCAAACTAGTTGGCGACATTCTCATAAACAGGTAGGGTACTTGGGGGAGTACTCGACCAGATAAGCCAGGGAAACTTGGTCCATTCTATTTTAAAATAGGGGGAAGAAGCTCAAACTCCAAATGGATAACATAAGCAATCTTTTATCTTTATTTCAGAACTTACCTGGTCAGTGTTGATGGTCACGATGTATGAACTTTGCCCCAACGTGCCAAGCCAATACAATAAGCGCGGTGATCGAAAACAGCCACAGCAGCGCCCTCTGTTGGTCATAATTTGATCACCCCTATATCAGCCCTGCCCAATAAATATTGTCAGCCAATCATGCATCGAACTGATGACCTAACCAATAGTGATTGACAGGTTGGCTTGATTTGACGTCATCACCCCTGTAAAGTCTCAAAGATTGAACAATAGACAATCAAGGGCAGGAACTGAACATCATGTGTAAAGTTTATTATGACAACAGAATACATCGTACGTATTTTATTGAGCGGTTAGTAACGGCTGATCGAGTTTTCCCCTCGATCGAGTATACCCACACTGTGGGTATACTCGATCGAGGGGAAAACTCGATCAGCTCGATCAATGTATGTCATAGATAGAGAGGGCAGGGTTTTGATTTTTAGGGAAATTTGGGGGTAAAATGAAGATGACAGAGCGGCGACAACACGCAACCTGAAAATAAAGATGGCGATCACCGCACGATGTTCCATGAGCATGCATGGCGCGCTGAATCGCAAGGCACAAACCGCGCAGGAAAATCGTGATTTCTACCCCCAAAAATTGCAAAACGGGTGTCTTTAGAATTGAGAAAAGTCTGCTTTTGATTGTAAATGTGATTTTTGAGCAATAAAAAACATTTTTGACTCTAATTTGATCAAAACAAAACAGGGGCCCTACACTACACGATCGCCCCTATATGCATAGTCTTGTTGTACCCATCTTTGATATTCAATAAGTTCAAACCTTGGCACAATTGCAGAATACCCTGCCTCTCGATCTATGCACCTTGTAGCCGGCTACGGAGTCACGGTTGATTGCCCTCAATAAACATTCTCAGCGCTACCTGTATACTACAGTCGAGTATCGTTATAACAAACTTGTTCGGTCCTAGCCAAATTGTTTGTTGAAGGGAATGTACATCATTGGCTTTTGCTGTAATTTTCAGAAATGAACTATTTGAGGGGTTAGTATATTGATCAAATATTGTTACACTGACATTTTTGAAGTTTTGTGTTCGAAAAGGTTGGAAAAACCAAGAAAAACAAAAACGTTCAAGTAGTCTGGTTCCCTGACTCCACAGAAGATAAAATGGATCAATTTATAGATGATGGAAAATTGTAAGGCAAGGGAACCAGTCTAGCTGGCCTGCACCCGTTCATAAACATGTAACCAATAGCAAACAAAATTTGGGCTGAAAAAATGGTAAATTTGGAGCAGTAGTTGAAAAATAGTTAGGTTTTTCCAACGCTGGTCGGCCGACCACCGTTGGAAATGTATACAAAAATACCATTTTCTTGAAAATGACTTCACACCAGGTGCCATAATTTTACAAGATGCTTGAGACTGTCATTTACCAACATCCTAGTAAGGTATTTCGTAAAAACTTGGTAGTTTTATTTTTCGATGTTTGCAAATGTTGTATATTCCCTTTAATATCAGAATTTTGTATTAATTAAGAGGAACATCAGTCCCATTCATTGTGCATATAAATGCACAGTCGGGACTAAGGCTTTACATTTGTTATAACAAGAATTTGGTATTGACAGAGTTTGTACTGAGGTTGAGGTTGCACAAGTCATTTTGGAGCGATTAAAACACTTTAAGAACTTAACAGTAAAAGGTGTCCTAAACTACACAAACCGTATCATTGTAGGCAAGTACATAAACATTTAAAAGGAAAGATTCCCATATCTGGCCTTCACTAACTTTTCCCTTCAGTGACCTATCAGTCATCAGAAAGTGATAATATGTCCTAAAAAAGTAAAAATTAGCAGCGAAAATATTGAAGCATTTACTGAGAAAACACTTGGAAATGTTCAGACCAGTCTCATAGGTTTTGTGCACAGGGTGTCAAGTGATGGCCAGATATGGGAATCTTTCCCTTTTAAATATTCACAATGCATCTTGCACCTTTGGTCTGGATGACAAATCAGCAATTTGTGGACAAACCTATGCATGCTGTTGTGAACCTCATCTCTGATTAGTCGGAAAAAATCAGACTGTGCTGTCTCACTGCAGCTGATGAGTTCTTTAAATCCAGCATAATATCTAGACCTTTGAATAAACTTCAGAGCTTTTGTCTTGGCAGACATTCGACGAGAAGTCTGTAATGATTTAAATAATAAACATATGGAATAATTAAACACTGCATAATTATTCATAAATCTTTAATTTTATTATTTTTAATTTAAAATGGGGAATTTTAAACTTAAGAAACTGTTTGAAAGGGACCCAAAGATGTACACATTGAAGTACATGTACTTACCGTACTTCAATTCCCGTTCATATGCTTATTTGAATTTTTATATTTCCATATCTTTTTTTCCCTTTATTTTCCCCCCTTTTCTTGGGTTGGTCTTTTGAGTTGGTAAATTTGTTTTGCATTTTTTTTGGATTAAAAATGATAGCTGGTTCAGTGAACAAACATAATGCACAAAGTGTTCGTATTAAAATTTCTACCTAAATTCTAAGGAAAAGAAAGTGAGCGTCTGAGATATCACATCAACAATATCATCTGATGGAAGGAAATTTAATAGATATTGAAACAGTGAAAAAAAGTGTACTATTTACTATTTTTAGTGTTTTCTGTAATTGTAGTTTTTAATGAATTGTTCTGTATAATTGCTGGGCACCTCTGGAAAACAGTGTACCACTGAGAGGTTTCCCCAGGGTAAATAAGAAATAAATAAATAAATAAATAAATAATAAAACCAATTCGTGTTGGAGGACGCACTGGCTGTTTTATACACAGGCACAGCTGACGGGTTATAAGATGTCAAGAACTCAAGATTGCCTCGACCCGCCTTCGGGTGACGTCTAAACACACTAATCCCTCGTGCGTTTCATACACACACAAAGTTTGTGGAGGCGGACCGTGTGTTGATTTTGAATTGGCTGTTGTGCACAGCCTATTTGTAGTACAATTTAGCCTCCAGTGCACACCCCCGGAGTATGAGGTTTCGGCAAGAAATATCGTACCAATACTGTTGAAATTACTCTTGCGAATCAGTGTGTGTGGCGTTTGGCTACAGGTATATAATTCAGAAGTTGGCTGGAACATTTTTCCTGTTAGCGAAAATCGAAATTTTTGGCAAAAATATTCTTGACGCGATGTGGTTAAAACCTTTACCAAAAAGTACACTCTTATAACTAATAATCAGTGAGTTACATATAATGTTTGTGTTAAAAAGAAATAATCATTTTATAGGGTTTTTTTTTAAGAGAAGCAAAAACAAAATCAAGTTTGATGGATGTTTCAGTATCATTATGAATTCAACGTAACTCCCTGGCGTGAAAAATTATACATAAAAATCGGAGGATTCAGGACTATGAGGGTTAATATTTCATTAGGTTGGCAGCTGTTTTATAAATGATGATAATTTTCACTCACTCACCAGAAAAGGAAGGAGATCTTAGTACTTTTTCCATTGATCCATGCAGAACTGGATATAGCATGACCCAGAAACAGGGTTGGTTGTGAAACATGTACTGCTAACTTACATACACACAGTGTAGGCTAGCATTATGATATTACACAGAACACCCTTGAACTTAAAGGTAGCCTTACAGAGAATTCCAGATGTTGCACTCGCCACTCACTATATGTATGCATTAAATACAGAAAATTACACTCTTCCCTGAATGTGCATGATATTATGATTCTCTGCCAAATGTTCCATGTTCTCTACTCTTTCATTGTGATTTTCTTTTGCAAAAGAGAGTGGTGGTCATCAAAAGCAACAGAATGCACCAGTGGTAAAAAGTTGTTGCAAGTTGTTGCATTTAGCAGTCTCCTGATATGATGCATTCCACCCCTGCATTCCATTGCATTTTGCAGGGTACATGTAGGTACCGTACTTCGTACCAAGGCTGGCATGTACATGTTCATAATTCACTGCATTCTGTTGCATTTGGCAGGGTGCCTACAGTGTAGAGAACACCCTGTCTAACAGTAACGTTTCCATAATGAGTTTAATAGCTTGGTGGTTCACATGTACATGTACAATGGATTGGAGGTACTCATCATATCACAGTTGATGTACTGGTATCCTCTCTGATTCCTCTATGATGTTGTATACCGGTAACGGTTGGTACATACTACATGTACCACACTCGGCAAGTTGGCTAAAAAAATTGAATGAAGATTCCTGATAATCAGATACTGATAAAAAGTTGCTAAGAGGTACCGGTATTTCACTTTGTCATTCACACATTACGAACAACATATGCATCCATGTTGTATTGTACATGAACCATCTGCAGGTTGGTTTTCATGGAAAAAGTTGAGAGTTTTAAGTTACTATTCTTGTTTGCCAGTACATCTCTAAGCATACATGTAATGTTAGTTTATCGGGTAATGTAAACAAAACTACATGTAGAAAGGTGTGTGTGCTCTCTGCCTTGTCCAATGCAACCACTCTGGGAAACACCAGGGAAACACACAGTAGACTGTACTGCAAGTACTATCATAAAGCTATACAACCCAGGGATTCTAAAAACTTGATACTTGATAACGCCCACCAGGTGGGGCTGTAAAGTTTATACAGTGGACTGTCACTCAGAGTAGTGTTAAACTTGTTGGACGTGATCCAGATGAAGAGCAGTTAAAAGATGTATTATCTGAATTATGTGACAAGAAAGCAGAGTGTCCTCAAGCATCAAAAGAGGTCCACCCCTTTTTTTTTGAATTTGCAACATCAGGCAGGTCAGCAGGTGCTCTAATAATTTCAGGAAATTTTTGTTGTGGGTCCACCCTTGATTCCCCCCCCCCAAAGTGATGGTGCCCCCTGGTCTCCCCCCCCCCCCTTGAAAAACTGTGTTCAGTGATCCACGAGTGTCCGTGTATACAGGTGTATACCGAAGAACTTTGTGTTTATGGTTTTTCCTATTTATTGTCTATGTTTTGTGTGAATATAATCCACAATTTTGCTCATTTTAGGACACACATTCTAAATACAAATTGGCCTGAAGTAATGGCAGGCATATCTTTATAGTGCACTTTTTGTTGTGTTTGTTAGGACAGGGTCCAAAACTGTAGGGTCATACAAGTACCGTACCTATGAGTCAATTTTAGTCAAATATATAATAGTATGGTCAGATAATAGAAATTAGTGAATTTTTGTGCTTGTTTATGGGACAACCTTTGTGAACCATGTGCACTGGAAGATATCCAGGATTTTCAAGGGGGGGGGGGGGGAGGATACCGGTATCTGAAGGTTGAAATCAATACAACACGTATTACGTGTAAAAACCAAAATGCATTGAACTGGGGACAGCAATATTGTATGATCATATGTAAAGTATGCAGCAAAGTCTGTCCCGAGCCAATATGGCCCATCAGGCCGGCGTTTATCTCCGGTTCAGTGGCATGAAACAACTGAAAATAGTTCTATTCTCCTGAACGGGATGCTACATGTAGTCCATCACAGATTACTCCCCAGCTAATGTCGATACCCATTTAAACTCCTGGGTGGAGAGAGGCAAGTGGGGGTGAAGTGGCTTGCCCAAGGACACAACGTATGGCCAGCAGCTGGATTCGAACCCCTGACCCTCTGATCATGAGTCACGAACCCTAACCACTGAACATAACCAAATGATCATACGTGTACATGGCCAATCATTCACATTGGTCAATATTTTCCCGAAGCTTTTCACAAGAAAGTGCTATGCAGTATGCATACACCTTGCCCGTTGATGCTGATTGTGTGTCCTCTGACACTGAGCACATTTTGCAGACACCCCCTGCCTGTTTGGGAATTTCCCCAGATTTTACTGGTGCGTGTCTCTCTGTAGTCCCATGGAGCTACTCCATGGTACCGGTACCCTACACCAGCTTGAAGTTGAAATGTAATTTCTTGCTCCTCCATGCGTACAGCTTAAATGGAACAGGTTCAGCTGATTTGTTGGAAATTTCTTTAACTAGATTATCCCATTTCTCGAGAGGTCAAAAGCCAATTCCTGGGCTGTTTCGTATCCCATATTATTTTTCTTCTTCGGAAAAACAATCATGATTAAATGTATCATGAAATTCTACATCCGATGTGGTGTGTCTAAAGTTTCAAAAGTCGTATTATTACTAATTCGATTTGTCAAGCTTTCTTGTGAGATGAAGAAGGAATTTCAGGAAAATGTCAAGACCTTGAAAACAATGTACATGTAGTCTACAATGTACATGTATGCACTCTATAAGGAACACTTGTAGTTGTGACAAATTCTAACTCGATGATGAAATAATGAACAGCCCATATACACAGGAAACACAATTGTGTATGACACTGGCCTTATCTTTCAAGTGTTGTTGAGGGGTGTTTATCTTGTACAACTCCAGGTACAAGGGTCAGTGACTGATCGCACTAGCTGCAACCAGCTCCCGGATTTGCTCAATCTCTGCAGTACAAACCAACAACAGTTGCACCAGAAACCAGGTAAGAAATGGACTGTTAAACCTCTTACTAAGCCATTTTCCAGCCTGGTAAACCTTGAAATAAAACTCACGTTGTGTAACTGGAAATGTTCTTTCGAGGTTAACCTCAAAATCTCTGAAAAGAAATGGCTACTGTTATCAGAATTGGTTGAAAATTACAACATGTACAAGTGCTGTGCGTGTGTGTTGAAGACAGTATATTTGAAGTCCATAGGTCACACATTGATACAGGTAGCAGCAGGAAAGGATACACCCCCTGCATATGTCCTAATGTACATACTGTACCATATGATATTGGAATCAATTTCTGACCTGCACTTTTGGAAGATCTTAGAGCCTAGTACTAGTTAAATGGAAATTTAGACTACATTGCATGATTTTAAAGCAGTCCAAATTTGACAACAGTGTGTTAATAAGTGTCTAAAGTACATTTACCACACCGGGCATGACTATTAATTGTTCGGAATACGTACTACATTATTTTGAAAAAGTGTAGGAAAACTGTGTCTTCAAGTGAATCATTTGTGTGTGGTTGAAAAATATCTTCCCCATTGTTTTGTATTTCACATTTATGTTAATGGCTTGTAGTTGTATAATCATGGAGGAATAAATTCCTCCGTGGTACAATTAAAGACAGCTAAGAGAAAGTTTCCCAACAAACTGGTAGCTCAGAAAGTAGAAAAACATAATTAATAAATGAATAAATTAGCACATATTTGTACATACCTGTACGTGTACAAATGTTAAAATAAAGCAAGTTTTAGTTTAGTAATTGAATACCAGGTACTAACCCTAGACCTACTAACACACATTCCTCTGTGTAATGGTATTTGATTTGTAGTCAAATCAATAGCTGGTGGGCCAGAACCACCTGTTCAGGTTATTAAGGTCAGATCCGGGAAGATTGTGAGTTCCTGTTTAAGTGACATTCTGAGAAATAAAGCAATATGAAATTAGTTTGTTTGTCATAAAAACTGATTAATGCCCTGATACATTGTGTTTCTTATAATATAACACTCTTCCATACACTAAGCACATGTACAGACTTGTGTTCGAGGACCGATCTCAACAAAAGATGTATGTTTGAGGACAACAAAGAATCTGTTGTTCTCTTTTTGTGTTGCGGTCCTCTAGTACACGAAATGTATGTAATACAAGAACACTACAGGTTTATACTTCGCGCCATACGGCCACGGACCAGTGCACACAAGCAATGCAACCCACCATTGGATCTTTTCAAAAGCGGGGAAAAACTACTGCACCTGCACAAGAGTTCATGAACCTACATTCATATATCAAGTTGAATTCCAATTTGCAGTCTTGTCAGGTCAACTTAGGGTCAGATGTCAGATGGACCTCTTCTGATCATGCAGAGGTGAAAGTCAGATCCTGGGAGAAAGTTTGAAAGTTTGTTTGCCATATTACTTTGGATTGTACTATGTAAGTCTCTAAATCTATCAACATGCTTGTAATTCAATACAGATCAACTCTTGGCAACAGATACACACATGTTTCATATCATTGTCAGATTCAAGAAAGATTATGAGTGTCCTGTTTTACTTGGAATTGATATGCTGGGAAAGAAAGTGATTTCTGGGAAGGAAAGTTTGTTTTGTCATAAATGAAGAGTTGTGCTTATAATTCAGATTAATGGAAAGAATTCAACCAGAGTTTGTGAAAATAAAATCTTAAAGAGTTCTGCTTATACCGGTAAATAATTCAGATTAATGGAAAAAAATTCAACCAGAGTTTGTGAAAATAAAATATTAAGAGTTCTGTTTTTATTCAGATTATTATTATTATTTTTTTTAACTACCTTTACATGTTTTAAGTTTACATGAGAACTGTCTGGAAATTAACATGCATGTTTGTGCATGTTAATTGTTCAAATATTTTTGACATGTACATGTACATGTACATTTTATCTAGGAATGATTACTGAGAAGGAAACTGTATTTTTTTTGGGGGGGGGTGTTAACGGAAAGAATTAACCCAGAGTTTGTGAAAATAACATCCTTCCCAAGTTGTCTTTTTTTTTAAACTAAAACTTTTAAGTTTATTATGAGGACTGTCAATAAATTAACATGTTCGTGCATGTTAAATATGTGTGTGACACGTACATGTTAATTTTGGCTAGAAATGATTTCTGAAAAGAAAACTGAATTTATGCATGTACAGCTGTATAGTGTATGCCAAACCATATTGGCTGTCTTCTAATTTGTTAATGCCAGATGATCGTGTTCTAAAGTTAACCAGTTGAATTGAAGCACTATGAACAGGTGCATGTGGATGATGTACATGTACTTGTGTGCACATGTACACATGTTCAGGTACAGTGTATTCATGTATATGTACAATGTACATGTAAAGTAAAGGTAAAGGGGACGAACCTGTATTCACAGGAACGGAGTGCCCATCTCTCTTTCGTTAGCGATTGGACCAGACTCATATGCTGCTGTGGGGGGATCGCCACACCTCCTCCACAGCGAGTCTGTTACCTTCCCAGCACTGACGACTGAACAATGCCGGTACCCATTTAACACCTGGGTTGAGAGGAGTAATTTAGGTAAAGTGCCTTACTCAAGGGCACAACACGCATGGCCACGGTGGGGCTCGAACCCACAACCTCTCGATCACGAATCCTGTGCTCCACCGCTAGACCACACGCGCCCCTACAGGCTACATGTACACTTGCAGGATGTACATGTACACTTGCAGGATGTGTGGATTTGAATCATGCCCATGTTTTATTACATGTTACACATGTACACAATACAGCTTTACGTGTACATGTACATGTACAAAGTGGAAAGGAAGGAAATTGGATCCAATGACGTTGAAGTGTCATGTGTCGGTTGATCATCAGGTTATCTCTTCACAGGTAAAGTATACGACCAACTGTACTGCCTGAGCTCTGGGTGCAAAAAATTGACTCTCTTGAATAAGTTTTGTGTTTCTTTCCTCTCCACAAGACAGATCTCTTTGGAATGTTCCAGTGAGGTTTTAGCTATCAACATGTCTGTCAACAAGAAAAGAGGTAAGTACATGTAGTTTTACCATAACTTATCAGTATTTTTTGCGAGGAATCTTCCGAAACCCATTAATTTCTTTGTACACTATTCAACATGACCAAAAGTAGTTTTTTAATGCATGCATGTATTTCATCAGCAAAATTAAGACGCCAAACTCGGTCCTGTTCGATGGGTGCAGGTCAACTCAGTCCCAAACCAACTCGGTCCAAAGCAACTCGGTCTCAAGTTAACTTGGTCCTACGTCAACTCCACCCCTATGGAAAAAAATTAATGTATTCGGACAAAGGTTGGGTAATCTTCAGACATTTTGAATTGTTTGATGTACCCTAATGTGGCTCCCCCCTAATGTGTGATACCATTTTGATATTGGTCCCTAGTGCCTTGCTAGAGCAGTTTTTCCCTGAAATTTCACAGTTGACCTAGAACCGAGTTGACTCGGAATGGAGTTGACTTGGAACGGAGTTGACTCAGAATGAGTTGGATTTTGTGATTTGGTTTTTTTTTTATTTTGTGTCACCAGACAGGGAACTCTGTTGTGAGGAATTGTTAAGAAAAAAATTTTTTTTTGCATTTAAAATAAGAGACCCAAGAATAATCCACTAACGGTGAAATTTACAATGTACCGGTACGTACGGGTACGCACGTATGCACATGAATCTGTTCCGGTTCATGTATGCAAATGTGATTTGTTGGCTGTAACAAAAACCTTGTGGTTTCGATTTGTGGGTTTTTTTTTTTGGGGGGGGGGGGTTCTGCTGGTGTTTTTTTCCCATTCATTATTGTTAAATTTATTACAGTAAGAACATTTTTACATGATTTTAGTTGTTTTCTGCCACCAACAGAAGATAGGGAGTCAAGGTTTAAACACTTTGGTGAGAACTTCCGTGCCAAGCTAATTGGTATCGACACAGTGGAAGATGCCAGGGGTGACAACATGTGCTTAACCTCCATGGGAAAACTCAAGGTGGGTATTGCCGATGAGGGTTTCTGTATAAGGACTTTTCACACTAGAACACCCATCCCCGGGGCAAACTCGCCCAGTGGACACCCCGGGGTGACTTATGATGTTTCACCCTCGAGTTCAACCCTGCACTATTTCGGACTCGTTTCACGCAAACAGTGTTCATCTCGCCCCAGGGCGAGTTCACCTCTGGGATTTGCATGACCGTTTCTCGCACGAGTTTTCAAACTCGGGCGGCCTGTAAGGCAACATATGAAATGTAGCAATCTCGGGGGTTCCATCTCGGGGGTTCCATCTCGGGGGTTCCATCTCGGGGGTAGCTCAAGGGTGGCACAGGGTTGAGAATTTCAAGTGTGAAATGTGGTTTATTTTCACCCCTGCGTCGCCACTGGGCCACCCCCGAGATTTTGTCTAGTGTGAAAAGGCCTTCTAGAAGCCATTACCGAGGCGGAACCAGGCACCAGAGTACACGACAGCTGATGTCAGGAATCAGTTCCAAATTATGGGATCGGGTACCCATAACCAATTTTACAAACCACTTAGTAATTTCTCAGATAGTAAAAAAAAAAAAGGTTTTGAATGTCGTTTCTGGGGAATTTTCAAAATGAAAACCAGGCTACATGGAAAACCCAAACAGATTTTATGTCTATGGGTATTTTAAAGTTATAATGCCAATCCTTTAGCATGCACTGTACACATTTTATCTTGCGGCATTGACGCACCCATAATTTTGTTTAATGCAATTTCCTTTTTATTTAAATACTGATTTTATTATTTCATCTCGTTTTTCAGTCCATTGTAAAAGCTGCTGGGGAACACAAACAGCAGATCATCATCAACGTGTCATTAGAAGGCATCAAGATTATTGACCTGAAGACACTGGTAAGACAAGAAATATTCATGTTTGCTTTCTCATGAATGTAATTTCTCCCCCCCCAAAAAACTACTTTTGAGACCTTTGCGATTGTGTCAAAGGAAAAACCACACAAAAAGCAAAGATTTTCTTCACAAGTCTGATTCTGAGTTCTGATATGAAAATGACTGGGCTTGGTTAGGTATAGGGTTTAATGAAGTGCAGTTTCATACGTTACTCTTTAATTGAAGAAAAGTGAAAAACTTTTTCTTACGTAATCATATATAACTCTTTAATTGAAAAAAAGTGAAAAACTTTTTCTTAATACATAATTATAGATGAATTTAGGAGTACAATCCTTAACATTTACTGGGACCCAATTTTTAGAACTGTGCTTAGCTCAGAAAATTTGCTGATCAAGAACTGGTTGTAAAAATTTTGTGTAGTCTACTTTTTTACTGATATTTTGCTCAGCACTTAAATTTGCTTGTTATCTTCTGAACAAGTTAAATTTATTAGATTTTGAGTTGGCTGGCAGGGAAAAACCTTTGATTGCTTGCGGTGCATCTATTGTCCTACCTGCATGTTCACTATCAAAGTAGCAGTTTTTAATATCAACATGTGTATTTTTTTTATTATGGTAATAATTAACAGTCCTTTTCAACATTGTTTACATCATTGTAATCTTTATCATTATAGTGGAAGTGTTGTCATGAAAGTCACAATTTTTAAGTCTAGTCCAAATTATTAAAATCATTAGTGTCATTATGAAGATCATATTGCTGTATTTCATACATATTCATGATTGTTCCAAAGAGCCAGCGCTACAGAGTTGGGTTCAAACATTTCTTTGTGAAGGGGTGGTTTGGAAGAGAGAAATACATTTACCACCAATTTTGTATTGAAATAAAAGTTCAAATATATCAAATGACAAAGATCTATATGTCAGTTATTTAAAACAAATATTAAGTGGCTTTAAATTGTGAAATGGGAGGAATATCGGTATTATCGCTCAGTAAAATCTTGACTTTTCTGGTTCACTTGGCCTGGCCTCGTGAACTGGAAAAGTGCAGATTTTGCCTTGCGATAATATTCCTCCCATTCCACTCTGAGCCACTCAATATTTGTATATTAGCTCCCCTAGGCATTGAAAGTTGACGGACTAGTTTCTTTGGCTTTGCCTCGGGAACTTCAAATACATTTACATGCAAATGTACTTCCAGTACCTCAGGCTGGGGAGCTAATAGCGACGATCAACCCTCAAACTGTGTTTTATTGGTGTACTGTCATCATTGTCAGTATCATGTGATGTCATAAATATCCCTGTCGTCATTTTCAATCAGTGTCATTTTGTCACTGTCATCGCCAACATAATTGTCGTGGGTTTCATGATTGTGTCACAAGTGTGTGCCTGTTGATGTGCACATGAATGTTCCGTTGTTGCAGCACCATTGTCCGCATGTTTTCTGCACCCTAAGGCTTTGACATGTTTTGACAAGTGTCACAAATATTTTTCTGACGGACAATTTTATTTTTAATAAATATTTCTTTGACAGACCAACCTACACACACATGAGGTCATCAAGATTTCCTTCATCTCCAGAGACCCAAGCGACAAACGAGCGTTTGGTTATGTCTACGGCGAAGCTGGAAACCACAAATTCTTTGCAATTAAAACACAGAATCAGGTACATATGTAGTCATTATTCAGGAGGTTGGTCAGACACCAGTAATGTCTTTTAACCAGTTCGCGCCGGGATTATTGTGACATTGACCGGACCCAGGCGCGGGCTTGTTTTTCAAGGCCCTCGATGCCACACAGGTTCAAGCCATTATCTGCGGGTAGCACACCTTGATATTTCCCGCCTCGCTCGCTGCGAGCGGGTCACTGACAGAGATATTTCTGGCCTCGCTCGTTGCCTGTTTATCAGTCATTCATTCCAAATACTGCAAAACCTTTGCGTGTGTACACGTCATCCGACGTGAACTGGTTAAGTTCAGTTTGATTGAGTGTAAGGTAAAGATACATTTCAAATGTCTACAGGTACATGATAACTGTACCGTGGTCCACTCTTATTGGAACTGATTTTTCAAGGTATTATGAGTTTATATTTATATTTTTAAATATCTGCAAATTACAGTCAGTTTGTCGTTTTTATTTGAAAATAGCCAAGGACAAGCCACAAAAAAAAGAACAATATACCATACATTACAACCTCTATAAATGCAAGCACCTCGGTCTATCTGAGGTGTTTAAACCAGCTAAACACAAGTTTAACTCCGGAGTATTAACTCACGTCTCAGAGGTAGAAGGCAAGGAAAAAAAAACACCCTCTGTGCTTACCTGACTTCCACGCTTAAAGCCCGGTTCATACTCGGCACGAAAGCGAAATGAATGCGAATTTGTGATGTAATGGGGAGTATTCGTGCTGAAATTCGCAAAAGTTTAACATATTTCAACTGAGGCGAATTTCGCAGCGACTGTTTTATCACGTCAAATTTGCTTTGCATTCGCGTTCATATGCAGTATGAACCGGGCTTAAGAGATCATACTTGACTCTTTCCATACAGTGATCCAGTTATATTGACTCGCAATGGCGTCTACTGAACATCATGGCAAAATGTTGTAATAACATCCTATCAATCGAATCAGTTCTGTAGTCAATGAGGTTTAGTTGTCTAGCCCAAATGACAGACAGCTTTGATTATTTATTGCACGACAGGCTGATGAACTGGTGTTGGCTCTGAAAGACCTGTTCGAGATTGTGCTGGCCAATAAAAAGAAGGAAGTAGCTGATCAGCAGAAACGGATGGAGGAGACCACGGTGTACCTGCAGCCAAGCTATGACAACCCGCTGGGCTCCCCAACCTCCAAGGCGCCTGCTGAGAATGTCTACTCGGTAAGTTGTGGGGCAAATTTCATGGTGCTGATTTCTGTGCCAAGTTGTCCTTTCAGTCAAAATCAAACAAGTGACTGTTTACAACAGGTAGGAATTCCCAGCCTTCATCAAGCAGGATCGATGACTGACCGGGACTGTTTAAAGGGAATGTACAACATTTGCTTTTGCTTCAATTTTCAGAAATAAATGGATTTGGAGGATTAGTATGTTATAGCAAATATTGTTAAGATGACTTGTTTCACGTTTTGGGCTTGTAGATGCTGGAAAAACCAAGAAAATCATTCATTTTCTTGTAGTCTGGTTCCCTGACCCCACTTAAGATGAAACAGAGAATTTATAGACTTTGGGGGAATTGTAAGTTCAGAGAATCAGTCTAGCAGGCTTGTACCCCTTCACAGGTGTGTAATCAATTGCAAAGAAAAGTCAAAATAACTAAATATGAAAGAGTAGGAACAGTTTTTGGAAAAAAGCCAGTTTTCTCCAACAAAATGACAAAATGACAGCACACCAGGAGCCACGGTTTTGAAGGATGCTTTAGACTGTCATTTCCTAACAATTTAGTAAGGTATTACGTGATAATTTGATCATTCCGTTCTTTGATGTTTGCAAATGTTGTATCTTCCCTTTAAGTAACTTGTCTGTTGACCCAGTTTGATTAGGCAGAGTGCTTGCTTGACATATGATCTGACTGCTGGTGACTAGCTTTTGTTAAAAGTATGGCAGGGGAAGTGGAAGTGAATTTTGACTGTCTGTGACTGTTTAAATAGCAGGAGGGTTTAATGTGTTACTTTGATTATTTTGTAGGAATCCCCGGCTGCCCAACCTGCTCCGGCTGGGGAAAGCCTGGTCACCTTGCAGAACCAAGTCAGCAGTCTTCAAATGGTTAGTAACATTCAGTGTGCAAAGTTTGAATCAAAAAATGTGGTAAGCCTTAAATTCTGCTAACCCAGACCTGCCAACCTTTGGGATCAAAAAACTGTATTCTGAATCTCCAAAAGTTGTATTTTTCATAAAAAAACCTGTATTTTTCAAAAATATGCATAGACAGGCTATACGAACCAATAAATGTGGCTGCAATGCTCCGTTTTTAATACATCTAATTAAAGTTATAAAAAAAATGACCAGAGGTCTCCCTGCGGGTGGTAAACCCAATCAAACAATTTGCATGAATAAGGATATTGATCATATACCTTATTCATAAACAAACTGCTTTAAAAACTATTCAATGCAAGTCTACTTAAACATAAACTAAACACTAGACTTCCTCATGTTTGAAATAAATAAACCTATAATGCAGGTGAAACATTCATATGACTTCCGAGTATAATCTAAGCTTATTCATGTTTTATCACGTCGCCGCCAAGTGGTAGTTTGATTCTTGAATCATAATTCACGTGCACGCACTGAATGTTTAAAAAAAATACACAGCGATCGAACAGAGTTTTATTTTAAACTTGGCCAAGGCCTACCCGAAAAAAGAAATAAATTTCTTGCATTTGCTGGCTGATTTACCTGGTTCGGTTTGGGCCGCCCGCTTTAATTGTTGATTTTTCTGATTTTTGAATTGGTTTCAGAACTTAGTATCAAACTTTACTATTAAAAAATGTTGGACATAACGGAACACCACGTGCACGCACGTTGTGACTATCGTACACGAACATCAAAATGTATTCTGTGTACCGTGCGTGCACTGAGAAAAAGAAAGTCTGTTGACTGCACGCAAGATCTGCCGTACGTACTCCTGCTGGTATGTGTGTGTACGAATACAGACATTTATTTTTGCGGCTGGGGTGCCACTGCTTGAAGTATCGGCACTCCGGGAATGGACTGGTTCTAATTTGTGATACTGTGTACATAATGTACATCGAACAGTGGGAGTCGCGAAACCAGATTCAGTTCGTGCATGCAGTACATCGTTTGCTTGGCTGCTTGCTGTTTACGTTGTTTCAGCCAATTTTATCCGGCAGAAATCTACACTCACAGCAGCTTTGAACTAGGATTTTTCCAGGTGTGTCAAATTGGTCAAAACCCGTATTTTATGGGGGGAAAACGTACAGTCGTATTTTCAACAAATTCCCGTACGAAATACGGCAGAATCGTACTAGTTGGCAGGTCTGCTAACCTTCATTCCTAAATACCTGAGACAGTTAATTCATTCTAATTGGTCGAGAGCCCGTCACATGGGTGGACTTAAAGTGCTTTTTAAACAACGGTAAGTGACCGGGCAAACCTTGCGCGCAACGCATACCATAGAACTGGCCTAAACATGGATTAGAATTGTTGAACAAAATAGCATTGGAATTTTGCCAAATTTCAACCTTTTTAAAAATAGGTTTTCTACCAAAAAGGTAAATTTATGAGTGGGAATAAAAACGTGACGAAGCATTTTTAAACGTAGGTCTAAAACATGTTGGGGCCCCTAACCGGTTTTAAACCAAATGTTTTATAACTCATACAATGGACCTGTATATCTAGGCATGCAACTTTTCCTTGGATCTGCTGATTTCCTTAATTTTTACTTTTCATGAGTGCTATTACAATTTGAAAAACACTGTAGGAAGTCTTGTGTGGTTTGGAATTTCCTTTTTTCCCTCTAAATTCCCAGTTGCATGCCTGATATCAAATTGTACTATGCTGCAACATAAAGTTTTGTTGTACCTTTACTAAAAGTCATCCAAATACATAGAGGGACCATGGAGGGACCTCCTCAAGAAAGGTTTCTGTACACATACTCATGAAAAATCAGAGTTGTAATGACTCGAGTCAATGACTCGACTCGAGTCCGACTCGAGTCACATTTTTTGGTGACTCGACTCGAGTCCCTAAGGGCAAATGACTCAACTGGACTCGAGTCACTGCGAGCAAATGACTCTACTCGACTCGAGTCCCTAAGGGCAAATGACTCGACTCGACTCGAGTCACTGCGAGCAAATGACTCAACTCGACTCGAGTCCCTCATCAGAATGACTCGACTCGACTCGAGGAAGGCTAAGTCCCAAATATAAAAGCAAAACTTGGCGAAAAATATTTGCAAAGACTTACGCCGGTGCCAGTTTTTGTTCACGTCACGTTAGAATCTTCGCGAATAATGTATACATATACATAAGTGGTTTGATCAGTGTCCCCATTAGTTGAATGGCGATCAGCTGCCACCCCCTTTTTATTTTCATTAAGAGTCAAATGTGGTGTCACTAAATGAAGTAGCCGGAATGTAAAATTAAAAAGCCAAAAAATGACTTTCTCTGTGTACTTATTGTATAGTGTTCAAATATTGAAGACTCGAATTGACTTGAGCTAAATACTTGACTCGACTCGACTCGAGTCACTTCTTTAAAATGACTCGACTCGACTCGAGTCACAAAAATCAGTGACTCGTTACAACTCTGTGAAAAATACACCACCATGGGCAACTGTATGGTTTGCATGGTTGGGAATGAATGAGAAATAATATGGGGTAGCACTATGTTTGGGACAAGAGATTGAAACATGGCCTCCCAAGTATAAATGACCAAATATCATGAATATCTATGAAAGTGGTGCCACCGGATTCAGTCTCACATGCTCCAAACCTGTGACTGAATGAAAACATGACTACTACATTGTACCACTCCAACATTGGTCTCTGGGGCCAATGTAAACAGTGCAAGTAATACAACAGTACAGTTACAAAGTGTCCTGACACAGAGCGTTGCAGTTCATTTCTGTGTTAGGGAATTAAAAACATTCAGGAAGTTGTCTTTTAAGAGGGGGTTAAGTTTGGGTCTGATTACCTAGGAGACTGGGGCAAATTGTAGTTTGCCTACACCACAACACAGTAACAGTGCCACCAGGCGCATTACTATCCAAGTCAAAGGTCATCTTTGCCAGTTGAAAGTTTGTATTGTTTATTGATCGATATGTGATTATTGTTGGCAGTGGTGAAACTGGGAAAGATATTAAGGCACATCCAATTAAAAATGTTTGTATTTTACATTGTTTAATTGTCCAACTTATCGTTGTTGGTTTTGACTATAACGGAGGTTTACAGAAATAATAGTTCTTTACCAAATATTGGGGAGGGGAAGGTTCAAACCAAGTTTGTTGAATAAACATGTATATATACATTGTATAGCATTTGTTGAATAGATAAAATTTACTCAAACTGTTCTTAGAATCCAGGATTGAAAATTTCATTTCCTTAAAATAAAGCAAAAGTTTGAATAGCTAGTCTATTTCTCTTTCTCTGGGGCTTGGGCAGCAAATCAAATTTGTTGGCAAGTTACCTTTTGTTCAGATTTGTTGAATTGTCAAAATTTGTTCACCACTCTTCTTGAAATTTGGGTTTGAATTATAAATTTGTGGTTGAATATAACCACACTGGTTGGAAATAGCACGTTTACTTTCTTCAAATCTTCATATCATCACTTGCAAATTTGTTCCGTTCTCATTCCACTCGTGGAAATTGCAGGTTGAAATGAGCTTTTCCACACGGTGTATTAGGTCCAATGACAATAATTAGATGCTTCAGTGTTACAGTATCTCTGTCTTGCTCAAACAGTAATCATAACCAAGGTTCTTTGATGGTAGCTTTGAGCAAAGATAATCAGTGGCTTAACTAGGCTTAAGCTTCTAGGGGGGGACCTTGGGGTGCACCAGTTTTTCAAGGGGGGCACTGAAGGTAGTGTATACATTTTGTATTGTTTATGTGCAATTCAAGATTTCAAATGAGGGGGGAATGGGGGGGGGGGGGGGGAAGGCACATCCCCCCCATAGTTACGCCACTGAGGATAATGGTTTTTTTTTAATATGTAGTTAGTACCACGTTGAAGGTAAATCTAACTACCAGTATGGATTTATTTTTCTCATACAAGTACATGTAAATATTCGTGAACCCTGCAAAGTCTTTGGCTAGCTACACCTGTTCCACTTAAAGTGTCTGTTATTTAGTATTAGTAATTAATCTTAAAAGTCCAATAAGGATTATAAGAGTCTAACCTGGAATGCTTGGTAAAGTGTCAAATACGTGAAGTTTAACCTGGCCTGGTCGATCCAATCAATCCCAGCTGGTGACTGCTAGGAGCCTGTCGGGTATTGTCGCTTTCAGACAGCCGCTGGGTAACTTTGAGGAAAGTTCCCCAACAAGGAATGACTAATCGGCCAGGATATTGAGTGGTTCCTGTTCAACGTGTCTGTAATCAGTACTGCCTACCATACAATATTCTATCAGTTCAATATTAAGAAAAAAAAGTGTTTTAATTTTTCTTTGCGATTCAAGTTCTGTATCAGTGGTGTTGTCGTTTACTGTCGACCGTGTAGCCCAGTGCGGTGCATTTTGTGTAGAAACCGAAACACTTATTTACAGTTAGCACTTGAGATGGATGGTACATGTACGGTGTCATGATAGCAGACAAAAAAATGACTAGTTCACAGAGTTTACACCCCGCTGACGTCATACACCCAAAAAGCAACTACCCACGGTCCCTAGGATCAGATTTTACGGGTGAACCAGACTGGATTTCAAGATGTCGGCCTCCTTGCGTCGGAAGCGGTCGATAGTTCCGCGGCCGAAAGGGGTTCGCTTCTCACGAGAGATTGAGTACTTCCCCCCATACAGTGCAGCGATCGGGGACATGTCCGCCGACGAGCTCCAGAGGGAGTGGGAGCGCCAAATGCGACGGGAGGGATTCGATGACACCGTGGCCTGGACTCGTCACCTCTTGGAAATTCATAAGAAGTTTTGTGATGACGTCGCCTGTGTGAGTTTATGGAGGCAGGGTAATAGTTGATCACATTGTATTATTAGCTTCATCTAGCCTGGTATCCATCTTGTCGCAATAGCTGTTGCTAATGATCAGTGTAAGATCAATGTTGATTTTCTTTGTCTTAGACAGTGGAATTAATAAGCTTAATGAGACGGAATTAAAACAATGCACTAAGATGTTCCAACCAAAAATATTGACTGACTGTCTTCCGTAAGTGCCGTTTTAACCTGATGTGTGTTTACTTGCAAACAGTTAATGTTTCCTTAGCTGAGGTTGTAACAATCATCAAAAATAAATCAATTGGGCATAACAGGATAAGTGTTCCATTTTTTTCTCAACTGTCGAACTTCTTGTGTGCTGTTAAATGTACCTGTACCCTTATGTACAGGTACATGTATGGTTGACATTCATGGACATGTACATGTACAGTACATGTACAGTATGTACAGCTCAAATGGCTGATGTTAGTTTGTTAATGCACCATGCAAGCATGAATGAATATTGAGATTTACTGTGATTCTATTCTTTGCTTCTGTATCAATGGGGTACTTTATTTTTAACTTGAACTTGACATATTTGTGTTCAGTTCAAGCCTTTGCACAACTGCTGGTTAAAGAAATAAAAATACTGTCACAGAAGCTTTTCAGTTGCAGCTCCAGGAACCTGATTATGGACCAATTTACAATTTACTGTGAGATGACAGCATGTGATTGTGTGAAGTGAATCATTCAAATCACAACTTGCCAGTCACCATTCTCAGGTTTCTATTGAACTATTTTTTATGATACCAGCGATAATAAAGTTTCCAATGTCATTCTTTTTCTTGATCAGGGTATCACAGCCATGGAGCAGCTAGACCTTAATTCAGCCGAACCAGACCCATTCAATCCCAATGCAGTGACTGCTACCACTCCCACGAATGACCCCTTTGCTCCGGCGGCGTCAGGCCCCCCTCAGCAGCCACCTCCCCCACTACGCCCTCCACAGGCGGTCCCACGAGCAGCCCCAAGACAGCCACCACCTGCTGCTGCTGCTGTACCAGCACCGGCCCCAGCACCGGCCCTAGCACCGGCCCCAGCACCGACCCAACCATCTGCAGATCTGTTTGGCGAAGCACCGGTAAAATGCCATGTCAAGTTTAGCAATACGTGATACAAATAAAGATGGCACTACAAAATTTCAGTCTGACAAAAGTGACTTGTTTCAAATATTGAAATACCAGCTTCAGTTGTTTTCGACTTGTTTCCTTAAATTGGTACAGTGTCTGAAATGATATTTTACAGTGTCCAGTTTTTTGCTTAGCACAAGCAGGTATATTAGTAGCCTTGTTCAAGGCGTACGACGATCAAGTCCGATGATCGATCGATGGTTGTCCGCGAACAATGCACTCACGTCACACGTACTGTGCGAAGCACGAACAGTGACCTCACGTGTATCACTTTGCTTAGCTACGCTATGCAAATCAGGTCGGGCTGAATAAACGCCTTGGAACAATCATTGCGATGGCAATATTCAATATGTCTGGCAATTTTTGTTGTTTTGTCGCTGGATTTATATCAACTTACATTTTGTCTGCGGACAGAATTTTTTTTTTTGTTGGAAATGTAGCCACACTATCTGGCTCTCTGTCCATATACAAATATTGAGTGGATCAGCATGGAATGGGAGGAATATTATCACAAGGTAAAATCTGGACTTTTCCATTTCACGAGGCGAAGCCGAGTGAACTGGAAAAGTCCAGATTTTACCGAGCGATAATATTCCTCTCATTTCACAATTTAAAGCCACTCAATATTTGTTTTATATAACTGACATAAAGATATTTGTCATTTGATATTCTTGAACTTTTATTTCAATACAAAATTGGTGAAAAATGTATTTCTCTCTTCCAAACCACCCCTTCACGAAAATGTTTGAACCCAACGCTGTAGCTCTGGCTCTTTGGAACAATACGCGCTACGCGCAACGCTGAACGCGCACACCAGCATGCATTTGCACACAAATACCGCGTCATGGAACAAGCGTGATCCTAACTGTTCAATAGTATTTCCCACTCCCCATGGGCGGATAGTACTTTTTGAGCCCCAGCGTGAATGGCACTAATAACGAATGACACGTGATGTGAGTTCCACCAATCAAATGACAAGGATCTGTATGTCGGTTATATAATGTAAAATATAACCCTCCACGACCAAGTACTGACTAATAATCTCATCTTTATTCGCATACGGAGTCGTCGCTGGAAATCCAGCGACAAAATAAAGAAAAACATATGCCAAAGCCCATGTTCCAAGGTGTTTAGTCAGCTCCACCTGATATGCATAGTATTCCCTAGCCACATGACGCGCCTGTGGTGGCTGTTCGCACTTTGCACAGTATGTGTGACGTGATTGCATTGTTCGCAGCCAACCATCGATCATCAGATTTCATTGTCAAACACCTTGACCAAGGCTAGTTTATTAAAGGTCCTTCTTGACATAAATTATCTCTACACAGTTCTACTGAACAGTTTGGAAAACAAGTTTCAGTGCAACTTGTTTTGAAGTTTGTGTCATCGGGTAGAACTGGGTCTGTGTAGGCTTGAAATATACACTGGAAATCATTTAACATCAATAAACCAATCATGTGATGAGAAGACAGATTGCATTGAGAGAAAAAGTCAAATGCAAAGATACATAAAATTCTCAGATTCAGACTTCAATATCCAGAGACATTCTTGGATTTTGGAATTGGAATATCCTCCTGCCTTTGCTGGCCATGCCCTAGGTTAAATTCTTCTGTTTCATTGTCTGCACTGGAGCAATCATAACATAAACTATAGTCATGTTTGTCATTTCATTTTGATGTTTAACAAGATTTTTTTGTTGTTGACTTTTTACTTGGTATCTCTGTTCTAGGCTCCTGTTGCCACAGGGCAATCTAAACCTTCAGATGACCTCTTCAAAGAGTTTAAGGACACCTTCACTGCCCCACCACAACCCGCTGCAGCATCCACAAATCCCTTCGGCGGTGGCGGTATGGGTGGCGGTGGGATGGGAGGTGGCTTTGGTATGGCTCAGCCCGGCATGGCTCAGCCTGGCATGGCTCAGTCCGGCATGGGCGGGTTCCAACAGCAGCAGCCAGCATTTGGCCAGATGTCCATGGGAATGGGTCAGGCTCCCATGGGAATGGGCCAGGCTCCAATGGGAATGGGCCAAGCTCCTATGGGAATGGGTCAGATGGGCATGGCCCCCATGGGAATGCAGCAGCAGCAGCAGCAGCAGCAACAGCAGCGCCAAGATTTGTTTGGTGGGACCCCACAGGCCCCGTCCAACTCCTTCGATGCCTTCACCTTACAGCCCCAGCAGGTTCATCCGAAGCCAACAGAGAAAAATGGAGGGCCAGCGAGAAAACCCGACCCCTTTGGGGATATCGCCGTTTTGGGATCGGGCCCTGCAGATACTAAAGATCCCAAAAAGAAGGACCCATTTGCCGGCTTCAAAATGGCTAAGCCGGGCGAAGTCGGCGTGCCAGAATTCAGCCAGTCTGGAAGCATCCCCAGTAACGGAGCCGCTTCCGGTAATGCAACTTCTCTGTCTCTTGATTTAGTAAAGGCACATGACATCACGGAGGACTTTACCCTCCCCTCACCGCAGGGCCCACCACCACCATTACCAGCAACCATCTTAAGTCAGCACATTGGTATCAGTTTGAATCTGGACAATGTCGGGGACATTCCCCCACCTCCTCCTAGGAGGTCAAGGGGAAGTGCACCCTCAGAAGGCTCACCACTCCCTGTCCCTCCACGCAATAAGCTGCAATCCCCTGTGTCCCCTAGCTTATCCACAGACTCTCAAGAGTCTGAGGGTGCTTTAAGGACTACCCCAGACAGTGCTAACAGCAGGCTAACATCCCCCTCGCTAACCAGAAACCCTTCCTCATCACCTTCAAACTTGGCTTCCTTGGGCATTGATACCAGTAACATGCTTGGCAGAGATGCTGGCATGACCAACTCAACATCAGACCTCACCTCAAGTCATTCAAATAGCACCGGGGACCTTTCCTCACCAGTTAGAGGGCTGAGCTCTCCCACAGAACAGGGGGAGCCACAGAGAGCACAGCCCATCCCTAAAACACAAACTGACTCTGCCAGCTCATTATCAACCTCATTACACACAGACGCTGTGCTGTCCAACAGACAGCCATCACCATCATCTCATCAAACACCATCATTGTCGGGTCCGTTGCATGTCACCAGCAGCAAGCCCATAGACTCGACAAGACCGTCACCATTCTCAGGGGGCGACAACTCACTGGATGTACTGTCAAGCTCAGCACCTGTGTCAGACTCATTTTTTGCGCACCGTCGTGCCCACGCTTCCATGACATCCTCCTCCTCAAATCCTTCGCTCAGCAAACTCACCGTGCCAATTCTTCCCGTCACTGATGACCCTTTTGCAGACGACCCATTTTTGCGTGGCTCGCCAACAGTCAAGAAAGTCTTTGTCATGCCGCAAAAACCTGATCCTCACGCTGCTATCCCATCAGTCCCAACATGCACTAGCGACTCATTCACAACGTCATTTTCATCAACTTCATTTTCATCATCCTTGCCGCAAAGTACTGTCACTACCACCACTAACACAACCAACAACTCCAATGGTAGTAATTGTATTTCTGATGTACGGACAGATCCGTTTGCAATCGGAGGTGTCGGAGGCCAGACTGCACCCAAAGCTGCCAGTGGACAACCTCTGTTTGATGACTCCCCGTTCGGTGCCTTTGATTTCAGCAATCCTGACAAAAACTGAGTTGTAAGTATTGAATCTACTCTGGAAGTGTTGTGTCTCTTCCAAACCTTGGTTTTAGAAGGAGATGCTCTTTTTTTTAATACATATACTTAAGGAAGATCCAATCCAATAATTGTTTTTTTTAACAACAAAGTGTAATACTGCTAAGCCAAGAAAGTTTCTTTGAAGCTGGGTATGGAATATCACACAGAAATAGGCATACATTAGGTTTTTTTTTTACAGATGGATAATTGTGATAATTGTGTAATTGTGTACAGACAAGCATGTTGAGGTATGTATGGCAAGTTCAGTCAGCCAGAGTTTAACCAAAGAATCACCTGAATCACCCAAGCTGTTTACTCCCAGAAAACTGGTTAAAGCCAGTATCATCACATTTTTATAAATTTCCAGGAATTATCTGAAAAGTTTGTCATCAAAACTGATGTTTTACCCCTCCTCCTTTTTATCTGGAACCAAGCCAGATAACTGCTGCAAACCCTGTAAACTTTGCAGAGGAAACTGAAGAAACAAATTATAGAACCACACAATGATTATCTTTTACAGATTTAGCCAAGAATATTTGGACATCTGTATCATGGACAATATTGCTGTGCAGAGGATCCACTCAAATGTAACACAATGTATGTACTTTGGAAGCATAATTCCCGGTAAAGGATGTGCATAAGACATTTAGGATCTTGAGGTTCACTCTTAACTATTATTAAAGCCAAATTTACTTCCTTTTTTGGACAGTGTATATGAAGTAAGTAGGATTTTCTTTTGATAGAGTGATATTGGATAATATGCCAGAATGTGGACTGCCAAGCAAATGATCAGTATTCCTAGGTTGGATTTTATCTCTGTTTGCTGGCAACAGATTTCTCTGACCGTTTGGCCGTCAAAATTCTGATTGTACACATTCCAGCCATACTGTAAATGCTGGAATAGGTCAACCAGAATTGTAGACAAGTCCAAAACAGTGCAAACAAAACCATTCGTGCAAGGTGGTTAATATATTTAGTTGGCGATAACTAAAACCATCCATCGAAGTGTATTTGGTGATAACTTTTGAATTTGTTAATTGTTTTTTTACAATAATTATAAGCATGATACTGATTATTAAAAAACCACAAAAGTCTTAAATATAATGATATAACAAATTGGTGCTTTGATTTGCATTAAAGTGTAGAAAACATTTAAAATGATATGTATACAAAATCAAAAGGCAGAAGAGGTGAATCAAAACATTGAAGAATCTTGTTGATTGCAAAAAGAGGCTACTGTTTTAAGTAAATCATAATTGTAGCATCCCTGTGTCATGGATGGAATTTTAGTAAAATCAAGGCACATGAGAGTCAAGTAACATTTTCAGTTACATGTATGTTATTCCGAGTTGTAATCAAAGTCATCACAAGTTGTTACAACTCACTCGTAAATCATCCTGTCTCAAATCAAGTGAAAGGCTATTCAAATGAGCCCATCCCCTTTTACTTGTCATCTGAACTGATTTGACTTGTAATTCATCCAATGGATGGATTTACATGTACAACACAGTGTGGTTCTGAGTGGAAAATTTCACATTTCAAACAGCTTGCAGCCGTGGCCCTGATCAAAGGAAGTAGTCTGGGCCCAAGACACGAGTGATCAATAGTGGATCGTGCATATCTTACGGCATTTTTAGACCAGCGCACTTGCTCCCACTAACGTCTTGGGAATCCTGTAGTAGCCGTTTAACTTTTTCTTTATTTTCTCCCTAGGCTCACCTAGGGAACCAATCAGCGATTGCGAAATGGTTTATAGTCAGCGCGCGACGGTTGTAAACATACGCACTACGTGCAGTGATCAACGCAGTGATATCCCCGCACGAGCTACTAACAGTATCAAATGGGAAGCCGCTGTTTTGTTCGAAGATATTCATATTTACAACAATAGTCTAATTTACATAAAATGGCCACGCCCCCATTACTGCAAGATTCCCAAGACGATAGTGCATGAAAGTAAAAAACAAAAAACAATTGTGCAAAGGCGCTCTACAGCAGTGCAACTTTCGCGATCGATCACTGAGGTCTTGGGCCAAGATTACCAAGAAAGCTACTCAAGTTGGAACAGCAAATTACGCGCATCAAGTTACCACAAATCCTGTGGTGTTTTTGCCTTTGTACTTTTCATTTCCGCATGTCTTATGGGCTATGATTAGGTCTATTATATATCTCAGGACAATCTTAAAATGATGTTTGGTAATTTGTCAAAATGAATATTGACACTTCAAATCTAAATGTAATTTTCATTTCCCTGCCATTGTTGAACAAATATACTGCCATTAAAGAAATTAAAATTAAAAGATTAGGTTAATATTCAAGTTCAGTTTTTAAGTACAACTTACATATAAAAGTGCGGATACAATGTGTGCTGTATGTGGCCTGGCTACCATTAAACAAGTAATTGTTAGCTTAAGGCTACTGTGGCAAGCTAAGTGTTTTTTGTTTTGTCATTGATCCGTCCAGGCTAACAATTCCAATTAACTATAACTCCAAGAAAAAGCAAATCTGCTCGGGTACAAATATTCACCTCAGTTGTACATGTATCATCACCTTAAATTTGTTTGAAATTCCTGAACATGTGTGCTGCTTTAATCTAACGCAAGAACCGTATGTAGCTTTGCAAGTGTTCAACATACTCCGTGCAGTTTTAAGTAGATGACAGGGACCGTGCACAAGAGCTCCAATATGAGTGGAGGACACACAGCAGTGACAGCAGGCCAGCCACTGATCTCTATGGGCTCTGTGCGCGAACTAGAGAGAGGGCGCTTTTTTACTACCTTTGAGAGCCTTGTGGATGAGACGCAGCGCATTGCGTGTACTGGTTGGCACGCATATGGCGCGATGTACGCACCACTGAATGTGCGCAAAGCATAGCATTTCGCGTGAGCATTTGGCGTTGTTGGCAATGCGTTTGAAGTGGTCTCCCCCAACTCTCCCTTCCTCACCATTGAGGGGGTACTAGTGCACACGGAGCCCATATACTAACTTGATTGCTCAATAGCCCACTACCATGCCAGAAGAAGACAACTTTTAGTGTGAGTCAGATGTTGAGCCTACAGTGGCCGCCTGTCTTTGAAAGCTGTGCTGGGGATGTGTTATTGTGAGACATTGTTCGAACTTATGTTTACACAGAATCAAATTAACGTGGCCATTAAAAGACTTATAAGAAAATAAATGTGGATATTAATTCGATCTGATGTGGAAATCAATCTGATATCTCCATATGTTCAAATAATGTTCTACATTATTTCTCTTGATCATGGCTTTCAATAGCTGTTGTATGTATGTTCCGAACATTCATACATGTATTGCACGAATGGTGCATCAAGATTTGTCACACCATTTTGTTTGCCTACAAGTTTAGGCCTCTCAAGATGGCGTCCAAATTACTTCAGCTTGTGTTCTCTATGCACTATCAAGCAAAGACATCAGTGTTGCTGAGTTGGCACCACTAATTTGCATCTAATTATTAACCCCAAGCTGAAATTGAATCCCACAAAATCATTTCAGAGAGAGAGTTCAAGCTGGTTTCAAACTTACAAGGTCATGCTTGCGATTGTATGTTCCTGATGGATAGGGAGGCTTTTATTTCATGTTAATCTGATTTTAATTGCATGAAGCAAGTTAAACCCTCCTGCTGTTTGAACAGTCACAGACAGTCAAAAAATATATCCTCTTCCCCTGCCATGCCTTTTACACAGGCTAGTCACCAATAGTCGGACATATTTAAGGCAAGCACTGTGACCAGTCAAATTCAGTCAACAGACAGAAGTAGGCAAGAATTAGGCACAGCTGGCTTATCAATCACTTACAGTCAAAGCATAGCTGTATCAAGTTACATAAACAGTCACAGCCAGTCAATCTTGCTTTATGTAGGCTGGAGCTCTTAACTGTTGAAAACTGTCACTTGATTGATTTCGACTGAAAGGACAACTTCACACAGAATTTATATTTGCAAAGAAGGGTTACTCTTCACATGTATTGTTTTAAAAACTTCATTCTCCAGCCCGTCCTGTTTCATTTAGTTCACTTAAACTTGACCTTTCGAAAGTTATTAATGAATCTGAATTTTGCATGTGTATCATTGCTTTGTGCTGCCGCATTTCTTTTGCCCATTTTGACTTAAAATTTTTAAATTTCATGTCTTCCAATCTTACCCACGTTTGTACCAACTTCTCATTAAAATATGATTGTAACACTTATGGATGTTTTTATAAGCTTTTTTTTATTGCCCCTGGCTTTGTTGAATTTTATCTCCACTGACGTTAATGCTTACCTTTTTATTAATTGGACAAGCTACATGTATTAATAAAATATTGTATACTATATTATGTAGGTATAGATAAGCAGTTCATGTGTTACTTCAAAATCTGGTCATTTTTAAAGGTTAGTTTTTCTTCCAAGTACTTTTTTAAATGGGGTTTTAAAACTCAAGCGGAAATGTGTTCTTCCATCAGGTTTTTTTCTTCAGTGTTGTTATACATTTACATGTACAGACAGACAACTTGTTGGAGAGAGGGTGCATTTTTGAGTCACCCTTGTCCAAAAGGCCCCCCCCCCATACACCCCTACCTACCCCTCCCACATCAGAGAATATTTGTGTTCATGTACTACACAACACTGCTGTGATAATGAACATTTTCATTTTGGTATCCAACATTGTCTTGATCACATTACAACATCTCCACTGTACTGGATATTTTACATAGATCCCAAGTGTAATGGTATACAAAAAATGAATGTTTTGGAGTGCAATAGTAAGAACAATTTCTAGAGGTGACAGATGGAATGTTCCATTCCACGAGGCGAGTTCAAGTGGAATGTTCCATTCCACGAGGCGAGGCCGAGTGGAATGGAACATTCCATCTGGCACCGAATTAAATTCTTCTTTCCATGGCACGAATGTGAAACATTCATTATTTGTTTTTACCACAACTGAATAAATCCTTGTCATCTGATTGGTCAGAGCCGCATCATGTGACCGTGCAATGGAAGTTCTATTAAAACTGTCAGTGTTGCTTTGTAGTTGTACAACTTGGGCGGGGGTGGGGGGGGGGGGATTTGAGAAAGTTTGTGCATAATGTAACTTTTATCACCAATTTTCACACACTTTAAACTTTTATCAGAATTGAATTAAAGAACTTGTTTCTGGTGAACTTATGCTGTGGGATGCTTAAAAAAGAATGTAACATACATGTATGTTTGTGCCTTCCTGAAGTTCGCACTGGTTTAAAGCAGTTTATCATCACTGGAATTATGATCTTTAATGATCTTTATGAATATCAAGTTGTATGCTTTTCAGCATTGATATATTGCCACCAGGTAACCTACAGCTTCTCATTTTAATTTGGATCACATTGTTGTCTTATGGAACAAGATTTTAGCTGCATACTTGGCTGCAGTTAAAAGGCATGTTGATGTATTGGTAACGTAAATAATGCTAAATCGTATATGACCACAGTGATATTTTTGGGGAAGTGGACATTTTTATAATCTACAAAACTTTATCGTGAAGGAATGTAAGACGCCACATCAGTGGTTGTGTACAAAGTCTGTGGAGATTCAAGAAAATTTTCCAAGTATTTCCCAATAAAATTTGAAATATTTCTCAGTCCCAGATTCATGTCTTTTCAACTTTTTTTGCATTAACTGACCTTTATTGAAATGATATATGCAGAAAAATTGGTGTCAGGTTGCAACATTCTTTCCCTTTATCTTGTTGAAAGATGTGCTCAGTTTCATAACATTTTGGCTGCATACAACACTTTAAATGATCACTTCGTAGTCAGAACGTTTGCCAATTGCTTAGAATGACTTTCAGTATTATGAATCTTTACAAGGTTTTGTCTTCTATTCTTCCATGAAAACAGCTACCAGATTTGTATGATAAATGTGAGGCATTATGGCGAAATGAGACGAAACTGGGCATAGGCCTCATTGGAGAAAAAGAACAATGGGGGTAAAAATTTTTTTTTTTTCGATTTTGAGATTTATTGATATATTTGATATTTGATGTCTACTACACCTATTTTAAAGAAAGAAATCATGGAATGATTTTTTTGTTTTAAAGAAATACAATTGGCATTTTCCATGTTCACGAATACAAACCTCGATACTTTAAAGGCCTTTTTCTCAGTATTTTACTTTTTTGACATGTCGATAAATGTGAAATTTAAACTGCCATAACTTGTCAATGGAATGTCTGATTGAAGTGCAACAAACCTTTTTTGTAAGGAAAATTATGTTCTTTCCTAGCACCCGCAAACCCTCATTTCGACATCTGCCCATCAGTTCTGTCTCATTTTGCCAGAATGCCTCACAAATGTCACAAGAAATATGCAAATAAACCCTATTTATGCAGATCATGGAATTACATGATTAACAACACAATAGGACAAACTCTTCAAATATTTTTTTTTTCAATGCAAATATCCATACTTGTTTTCTCAACACCGAAAATTTGATATTAATTCTGAAGCAAGTTTATAACAAGAATCTCCTGAACATCCCATTTCATATCTTTTGACACCTAGTAGAGAATAATATAATATAGCATTGACTTTCTTGAAACTTGTTGCATGAACTAGTCTTTGCATTAAGTGTTTTTTTCCCCCAAATAATGTTTGTGCCAGAAGAAGGTTGGTGTATAATTTAAGTATTCATCTAGAATTGGGACAGTGGGGACATTGTGAAAGAAACTAATATCCAACATATGCATTGATGATTACCACATTTTTATTGTAATTACTGCCTTGAATTAATGTTGTTTTTTGTGACCAATTACATAGTATTTGCAATAACCGTTATTGTAATATTTAACCCTATATTGAAACTTTGTAGTTTTAGTGTTTTTGTTTAAATAAATTGCCTTCTATTGATGTTTTTTTTTTACATTTATCATCATAATTCAAATAATGTACCATATTATCAATGACGCAATTGTTCTTTTACTATACTTTGCCAAATGCCTATTTGATGCATGATATGTTTAATGCTCAATGAATGTAAGATAAGTATATAAAAATATTTCAAATGTTACTTTCATATTCACAAAATCTATTTTCAAAATATTTGGTAAAAATTAAAATGAAAATAATGCAAAATATATAGTTTTGAGTCTTCTTTCTGTATTTTGTTTATTAAAGTCTGCGTGCTTGGGCATATTTGATACCTGGGTTTCATGATGAGAAACTGTTCACAATGCTTATTCCATGCTTTCTTCACTATTTGCCATGATGGTCCCATTTTGCTCGTATTTAGGCCTAGAGCAACAGCAGTCGAAAATTGAACACTGGAATTCTTTACTCATCGGTAGGTGAACACTTCGACAAATGTCCTTCTGTTCCTCGTTCCTCTGACCTTATGTTTCTGTCTCTCAGACGCCTTTCTTTGTCGACTCTCATTTTCGACTTGTTCAATGCGGGGTAAATCCTGCAATAGAAAAAAATAATAATGTGTTTTGTGTTTACAAATTTGATTTGATATTAAACCCAAGCCCCAAGAATATTTTTTAAGAATATTTTTTAAGAATATTTATGAAGAATATTTATGAAGAATATTTATGAAGAATATTAGCTAGCTGTTTTGGCATTAATTCCTGTCCATCACATTCTCAGTCTCGATCGTGACGTTGACCATGTACTCAGCGTTTGCATTTCTTTGGGGGCGCACTTGCTGTCGATGTTGATCTCGGTCGTGATCTCGACTTTGAACATGACTGCAGTCCCATGTTGTCGTCATGTCACCTTCGTTTATCCAGTGACAATAATTTTTTTTAAAGATACATTTTCGGTTTATTCAAATTTAACACACGTAGTTTCGTCGTTTGTACATGACTGGTCATTTCCAGTCGTGTCAATGATGCAAGATATTGATCTCGGTCGCATTCAGGATACTTTGATCTCTGACCCTTGACCTCGATACATCTTGATCATTACCCTTAATTAACATATGTGCCGTGATACATAGATCAACTGATCTGATTTGGATCGCAGTCCTGATACCGGGTCTTCTGACCCTGATCATATGACACTTGATCTCAATCTTCCTCGATCTTGATCTTGAACACGACAAAATGTCATCGTCAACGTCAATGTCGTCGAATTAATTAAGTTTTTTTTTCTATGTTGCTCATACATGTAATTTCATTATGCACTAGGCCTATGGGATATGCTTCTACATCTGTTGAATATTGCAAACTCCTACATGTTGGATATTCCAAAAAAAGACGGCGTCCAACCTATGCTACATGTTGGATATCCTGCAGAGGGCACGGACAATAATTGAGAGCATTTTTTAGTCTAACTAAAAAATCCACCTTGTGATTTGCCTGACTGCTGCTGTTAATTCTTGACTAAGACCTCTACAACTTGGGACTCCCTAGCTTGTCTACACCGGTGGAGTTTCCTTGGGCTATCTATTCAGGTAATACAACTGGTTATATTTTAGTAGGCCTGTGGTCGCCAGTGAAAAATAGTTCACTGAAAATACAAAGGATACTTGTGATAATTAGAGCCAAGATATTTTACTTACCCATCTTGACACGTCAGTGTTAAATCATGCTGATATGGTTGTACAGTGTCACTCAAAAGTAATCTGTTCTTATTCATTGTTGATGCTCGACAGCGTGTTATCTCTCAGAGCAGAGTTTGCGCAGCGAGGTTTATGCATACTACGGTTACGACTCGTCCATGCAGAATCATTTTCACACGACCGGGCCAGCGAGTGGTTCAGTATATTTTCTGACTCGAAATTTAAAAAAAAAATGTACCAAACTTACCGTGTTTACCTGAGCTGTAGACCAGTAGGTAAGTTTCACAGGAACAAGACTTCAAATTTTGTGGAAATTGCTAATTTTGCCTGAGTTTAAAATGCCAAAAAGAAAGGAGGTGCATTGCAGTTGACGTCAGCTCACCGCAATACCGAGTGAAACAGACGTAAATTTAACTTTGTCCAAAAAGAAAGTCCTGAGACCGCATCACCATAAAATTATTGCGCGGAGAAATTAAACTCGGGATGGGGGTCTCGTTTGAAATCGAATAATGAAGTTCAAATTAAATTTTACGAAATAAATAGTTTCTTTTAAGTTTTCTTTGACATGAGATTTAAAAAACAAAAATTATGGGAAGCACACTACGTTTTGTAACGATGTATGGACACGATCGTGCTACGGCCAAACCACCTGTGCAAAACAACGGCTGATTTCGCAAGTTGATTGGTCAAAAAGTTTACAAGGTGGCACCTGATTGGCCAAGGAAAATCGGCTGATCTGCGCTGCCGGCTCAAGCCGTTGTACATGGTGGGCGTTTTCGAATCCTTGTTCTTGACAACACGCGTGTAACACGAGAACGTGTTCTCGAGCTGGTTGTTACGAACGCGCGGGTGCGTGTCGCATCGATATAAAGCAATGCAAAATGGCCGACAATCGTCTGACTTTGTACTTAGGCATGTTAGGCCTATTCCAAATAAACGAGGACGACTGTTGCAAAACCAGACATGCGGGGATGAAATTGCAGACCTGCACTATACTAGTATTCTTATTCCAATCATAAGGGTATTAGCCAAAAAAAAAAAAAAAAAAATACAAATCTGCACAGTCCGCCATTTTGTTCAAGCTGCACCTCGCCGAACCCTTCATCAAACGGGGAGTGAAAAAAAATCGGTCCGCGAACGCCCTCTCGGGTCTGTTAGTCACGTTCGAGACCGCTGTTCTCGTGTCGGGTTAACCCGAGTGTTGTCAAGAACAGGGATTCGAAAACGCCCCCAGTGTATGTTAAAGTCTGATTGGGATCTGAAAATATGGAGAAACAAATGATTTTAACTTATTGCCTCGCGCCTCTACAGTCCAAAGCGGAGGATTACAAACACTTAACTCCCCATTCGATATTCCATCGCGCGTATTCCGAGGACACTTCCCGAAACGGTGCGTGATCGTAGAATGTTACCATAGATTACATTCTATGAATGTTACTAAAAAATTACTAAAAATAGAAACACAAACGCAGATAATATGCAAATAGCCATACAAAAGCCGTAGAAAACAATATTTTTTTTGTTTCATTATTTTCTCCACAAAATGGTTTGACGAACTCAAGAAGTGGACAATAGAGGGCGCCCTTTGTAAACAGTGGTGGACGCATAGGGTGGACGTGAGTGACTCGGGAACGTTTCTCTTCACATCGGTCTTTTAAAAAGACAGTTTTCAAGAAGCTTCGATTTAAAATGGTAAATATATCCGATCCTTATTGATGTTAGTAGAGTGAAATTTAATGGGGGGGGGGGGGGGGGTGGTGATGAAATGATGATAGAGTAAACTTACCAAGTACTAGGCCTACTGTTACTTTTGCAAATTTTGTGATTCGACCAAATCCACTTGCGACTTTTTGTGTGTAGGCCTACTGTAACAACCATGGATAGGTGGGCCATCGTGTAGTTTAGGACACCTCCATTTTTACAAAAGCTCAAAAAGCTGTAAAAAAAAGATCCCGAGGCTATCCATTATATGGAATAATGTGGTACCCGCTACTATGTACATCAGATTCGAACCAGCCAACTGAGCTGATCCCGTTACTCGTTAGTCATTAATTTAGTGGTAAGACGTCTGCACTAGAAAGCAAGAGGTCGTGGGTTCGAGTCCCACCCGAGAGATTTTTTCCAACTTTCACTCGGGAGGTTACACACTGAGTATACAGTGTTTATACGTAGGTGAAGGGCAAAACCTAATTTGAAAAAGATCCAAATTCGGTAGAAAACTTGATGACATGGTGTGGGCATACACCGCCGTTGCGGTTCTATGGCGAAAAATAATCTTGTGCCAGATTCATATACAGCTAGTAGGTCTGATTGGTCTCATTTAATACAATTTTTTTTTTTTTCATAGGCCGACAGAAAGGCTGTCAACCGCTACTACCCGCCAGACTTTGACCCCACCAAGCATGGCTCCATCAACAAATACCGCAACTCCCATCCTCTGCGGGAGCGGGCCAAGCGACTCGACGAAGGCATCCTGGTCATCCGCTTTGAGATGCCCTACAACATCTGGTGTGGGGGCTGCGGCAAGCACATCGGCATGGGTGAGCAAGATGCCAGTTTGGAAAAGTTGGGCCAGAAAGGGCCTTTTGTGATTGTTGTCATGCGATTGTTTGTCATACGTACATGTGTGGTTATAATTTTGCAACAGGATTCAATGACCACTGGGCCCTTTACAAAAGCACTGCAGAACTGTAATGTTGGGGGAAAAAATGGATGGGAACTCTCTGATAAGTCAAATGGGCAGGTTAATTTTATACTGGGTCACAAAAAAATGGAAGGCTTAATTTTTTTTAAGGTTGGATTCGAATATCCGTTTTCCAAAATAAATTCAAACTAAAATTAAAAAAATCGAGATTTAAATCCCACCACTAGATTGAGGTATTATAAGTTATCCCGCAAGCGCGAGTGGAACACGGAATTATGTAGTGCATCTGTGTCCCACATGCCACGAGGCCGAAGGCCGAGTGGTATGTGGGACACAGACGCACTACATTTTCCGTGTTCCACGAGCGCGAAGCGCGATAACGAATTTATCTTCAAGCAAACTTGACGCACAGTTAAGATGGAACACACACACATCGCATCTTAGAAAAGCGTAATACGCAAAGTGCGGTATAGACCGAGGCCGTGCTACATGGTTATATGTAGCACGGCTTGTTGCCATGGATCCACCAATCAGGATCGAGGTTTCAAGTTAACTTGAAGATAATATCCAATATTTTACACGGAAGCAGTTGGGAGGTTTTGAAGGACGGAGGAAGCATTCTAGCCAAAAGGGCTTTGGGGTTACGGTTAACACAGTTTTATTGCAAGGGTTTACGTGTGCGTGGAGCCTATACTTTTATCTCCTTTAGAATAACAACAGACTGTTCTGTTTCTAGGTGTGCGCTATAACGCCGAGAAGACCAAAGTGGGCAACTACTACACCACGCCCATCTATCGCTTCAGGATGAAGTGTCACCTGTGCGACCACTACTTCGAGATGGAGACCAACCCGATGGAGTGCGACTACACCATCGTGACGGGGGCCCACCGCAAGAACCAAAAGTGGGACATGGCTGAGAATGAGCAGGTCCTAACAGAAGGTGGGTCCTCGTGTTCTCTTATGCTCATTGTACAAGTCAAAGTTAAGCGTACAGGGTACGGTAAGCACAAAAATGTGCTTAGCAAACAAAAGTCGGGCTTATGAAAGCAGGGTACCAGCCCGAAAACTCCATGTGATTTTCATGCTAAGCAAGCAATAGCTGAATACCAATCACAAGCAATATACATCACATGGACATTTGGTTGGTAATCCTGTTTTTGCCAAGGAAGATATTTCATGCTAAGTAAATTATGTGCTTAGCAGCTCCAGTATATTGGCCCAGGTGTCAAGAGCCTATTTCATCCAGCTTTACTGTGAATCAAGTTTGCTTGAAGATAAATTTGTTATCATGCTCCCGCTCGTGGAACACGGCAAATGCAGTGCGTCTGTGTCTCATATAAATGCCACTTAAACCTTGGCCTCATATTATTTTATGTTCCACTCGCACTCATGGGATAACTAATATAATCCACATGTATGTTGGTTTTCCTTTTTTAATAGGATTTTCTATATTTATAAGCATATAATATATCGCTATTACTCGATTATTTGATATTTTGATATCGATACCGCCGATAGCAATTATTTAATCATATCAAAATATTGAAATTTTCGATATTGAGGAATGATATCGAAAATATCGCAAATGCGTCAGATTATCGTCAAAATATATCTCCTGTTGTGCTTTCACTTTGTGTTTAGTGTTGGCTGTATTATGAAATAAACCTTGGCAAAAAATTGTGTTTGTGACTCAAATATAAACATTGCGAAATGCCAAGTGGTGTCACTTTGTGCTCAGCGTTCCGAATTAGCCGTCTCCCCGATGTAAAACCCAAAAGAAACAAATGAAACTGCCTGTTTGGACAAGCTCTCAGCGCTGAGATTTGTTTTAAAAAAATTGAGCAATATGCTCCAGAGAAAGCCGTGGAAAATTGGGAATTGAGATGGTGTTTTTTTTTTTTTTCAAACAAAGTGTCATCTTTATGGTGTTTAACTTTTACCTGGGATAATCGATATATCGAATATGCTTGATATTGGATTTCCGATATAGCGATGATTGAAAATTCTGATATCGACGGTGCTTATATCTATATTTTCTCCTTGTATTGCATATTATTTCCTACATTGTCAGCATTCTGTACCACAGACATTACACTTTTGGGATGTCTGCATGACCCTTTTCCTTAATTTCTCCTGAGGGTCAAATATATCTGACTTCCCCAAAATGTGCCAGCTACAAAATTGCTTAAAATTTGGCGTTTTTATCTGTTTGAAGATCGGGCGACGGTTAAGAAGTTGGCAGCAGACCCTATGTTCAAGCTGGAACACGGCGTGGATGACACAAAGAAACTAAAAGCCGTGGCCCCAACACTCCATGAGCTGCAGCAGACGCAGACGGGCTGGAAAGATGACTTTGATCTGAACAAAATGCTCAGGAACAAATTCAGGGTAAGACGGTATCAAAATGATCTGGACCCAAATTAAAGAAATATTGTAGCAATTATCAAAACAAGTGCGAGGGCGATATGTTACAGGCTGGTATTTTGGAAATTTTTGGTGAAAGTTTCATGTATAGCCATTGTACCATTTTGAAGAAAAGCGCTAGCAAAGAACACATGCTCAAAAACACTCTGACCACGATTCCATGTTTCAACAAATTTATTGAAATTGTGTACTGATGTGAAGCAGTGTAGTAACGAATAAAAACCTAGTCATGGTGACTGACTCACTTGAAGTTATTGACACATTTAAAAAAGGCAAAACCAATTCCGTGTGCAGACTGGAAAATGAGCCACTTCAATGAAAATGGCCTAACTCCATATTACAGCCGCTAATTTGAAAACTTCAAAATTCTTGTGGAAGACAAGGTAATAACCATTCAAAACACCCAGTTTTTATCTCAATGTATTCTACAGGGTGAGTGAAAAAAACAAACCCAAATGTCGGGACCATTGTTTTAGTGAAGTTCTGCATGCAGCACTTTCAAAATATAGGATATAAAAACCCAATTCATAAGCTTTCTTTTAGTTTAAGAATCATTCAAATCACTCTTTTACTATTCAAGTTACAGAGTTTTAAACACAACCACCGTTTTAAAGTTCTGTCCACGGATCACAAAAAAGGCGTGCGTTCTTTCATCAAATCGAAACAATTCGCACACATCCCTATGTGATTTGTTTTCGTTTTGCTGAAAGAACACTGAACTTTTTTGTGATCCGTGGACAGAACCTTAAAATAGTGGTTGTATTTAAAATTCCGTAACTTGAAAAGTACATAAGTGTTTTGAATGATTCTTGTACTAAAAGAAACTTTATGAATTGGGCTTTCATATCCTAGATTTTTAAAAAATGGTCCCAACATTTGGGTTTTGTTTTTTCTTACTCACCCTGCATTTGCCACAAATAGAATGGTGAACTTAACCCGTTAGTCACTGCAGCGCTCGAAACTGCCCTACCCAGTCCACTCCTCCCTGTAGTGCCCAAAACCTCTCGAGCACTCCACGGTTTTAGGAACTCTTCAATGAATAAACACAATGAAATGCACTGTAGTACAGCTGCAGACGGTTAAATTACTGAAATTTCTTTTCAGGAGGAGAAAGTTGAATTAAAGACGGCCATGGAAAAAGACAAAGCCCTTCTGACCAAATCGTCCCTAGACATTGCGCTAGTCCCTGAACATGAAGATGACAAGAAGCTGGCATCGTTAATGAAATACAAGACTGTGGAATGTGAGTACACTTACAATAATCAAACCTGAGTACATTTGATCAATCAGAGCCTAGTACAAGTCTAGTTGGTTTAAAAATGAGTGGCATTGTTGTTTGCCACTATATTTTGCTCAGTAGCCATGAGGTATTGTTGCTTGCTTTAATTAAAGGTAGAGTATTTCATTTGCAGCTATCCAAAAAGTAACTGACGAAATTATTGTTGAAAAGCACAATTGGTTAAAAGATAGTAACGGCAGTAAACTACCTGCAAAATCATTCTTTCTGGCATGCTGTCATTTTGAAGGAAACAATAAAAGAAGGCAATTTCGGGTGCGTTGATGAGCATTTTGGATGCATTGTGAACTGTGTGAGACTTTGCCAGCAGTGAATATACACAGAATAAATGTATCTATTGAAAGGCAATACTTCAATTTATTTAAGCACCTTTAACACATAGGTCCTAATACCTTCATTTAAAGTCTGTGCTCATATTCTCTAACACTGGATTTTGGGCACCAAATACAACTTCATTAGCTGCGGCTACAAAACATGCCTCTTCCACTCATGGCAAATGTGCTTTTCTAATTATTTATTTAAATATTAAACCTTCGTCATAAAACAGTGGACATGACCAATCATCATTTGAGTAAACTTTAAAGCCATTTTGAAATTGTAAAACATGTATTGTTCACACAGAATACCTGCACCGTTTCAAATTTCTTAAACACTGACTTTTCATCTTGTTTCATTTTAGCCTCCGACGAGAAGCAAAAGAAGAAAAGGCAGGAAATATCAAACAGGAGCATCTTCTCTTCCAAATCATCAGATGCGCAGTCTTCATCTTCTTCAGCGTCCTCAACATCATCCACACCTCAATCCCAGGAGTCCTCAAGGGAGCACACAAACTCGGGAGTCAAGAAACACCACAATCTGATCGATAAGCTGAAAGCTGCCAAGAGAACGCGTGCCGGCTTCGATGACTTTGGATCCCGTTTGGATAGGAAAACAGCTCGACAGGGCAAAGGCATTGGGATCGTCACATCTAAGAAAGGGAAAGATAGCGCACACGATGGAGAGAGGTTGCCTGAATGCCAGAATGAAAAGAATAGATCGGATCAAGAGACTAGGGTTTCACAAAAGGTTGGAGATGGGTCCAGGCCAGAGTCAGAAGCATTGAAAGGCACTGTAGTGACTGATGAGGATTTTCAGAAGGTATCACTCGTGAAACATGATGGTGAACCAGCTTGTAGTTTATCTGAGAACATTCGCAGATCGACAGATGGAAATGTGGAAAGAGCAGACATTTACACTGATGGGAAATCTGTAACAAAAAGTCAGTCCAGAGATACTCATGACCACAGTAAGTTTTCACAAACTGCAAACACACATCAGCAGCCAAATAATAGTGAGAATGCTTGGTCAGATAGAAAAAACTCAACAGGAATTTCAGAAGAACACGTTGTACAAGCTGAAGACAGTTCATCAAGAGAACCAAGAGTTAACAAATATATTACTAAGTCACTCGTGTCCTGTGATTATAGCAGCAGTGAAAGTGATGAATAGATGGATTCTATTAAAAATAGCCAGAAACTTGTTCATTCTCATTGCGGCAGCCTTTGACGTTCTTCAGCATTTGAAGTTCTTCAACATCTCAAAGAATGGATTATAAACTAGAAAAACTACTTTATTGTGTCGCCTAAACAAAGTTTTGGGAGACACTTACCAGTCCTAACTTCTGTTTCCCAGTGTGTATGTTAAAGTTAAAGAAAATGTACATTTGCTTTTGCTGCAATTTTCAGAAATAAATGTGATTTGGAGGATTAGTATGTTATAGCAAACTTTGTTAAACTGACTTTTTTCACGTTTTGGGCTTTTAGATGCTGGAAAAACCAAGAAAACCAATCATGTTCTTGTAGTCTGTTTCCCTGACCCTTTCCTAAGATGAAACGAGCAATTTATAGACTTTGGGGAATTGTAAGGTCAGATAATTAGTCTAGCCGGCTTGTACCCCTTCACGTGTGTAATCAATTGTAAAGAAAATGCGGAATAACTAAATATGAAGAATTAGGATTTTAAAAAGAAGAAGCCAGTTTTCTCCAACCCTGGTCGGCCGACCAGCATTGGAAATATACAATTTCTCTAACAAATGTCAGCACACCAGGAGCCACGATTTTACAGGATGCTTTAGACTGTCGTTCCCTAACAATCCAGTAAGGTATTTCGTGATAATTTGATCATTTCGTTTTTTGATGTTTGTAAATCTATCTTCCTTTTAAGGTTAAGTTTTTTAACAATATAATTGTCCCCCTACAGGTTCTGATGATGACCCAAACATGCGTATTCATGAGTCCCTCTAGGGGCGACCAAAATATGTTAAATTCGACAGCATACAATACATTTACATGATTGGAAAATAGTGGATAATACGTTACTAGTTTCTAGCCGGTCAACAAGAAAATAAAAGTCCATAAACGACGGCATGGGGTTTTGTCGTTTTTATTTATTTCATTTGAAAATGTATTTACACTCATAAATACAAGTCTGGCAAAAAAAAAAAAATAAGTTCATTTAAATACAAGATCCAAACGTATGATTTTTAGTAATTGGTCCTACAAAGCAAACTGTTACAGATCGTAGGCATTTCTGAACACACCTTGAAAGAAGACTACTCTTCCACTGACAAATTGTGTGCTGTGTATCGTGGGTTCACTCTCACACTGAATCCTCAAAAATCTATTATTATTATCCCAAGAACGCGAGTGGAACACGAATAATTTCGTGCGTCTGTGTCCCCCGAAGGTTAGACCAAGTGGTATGTGGGACACAGACGCACTACATATTTTGCTGTCTTCCAGGCGCGCGAGTGGAAAACAAATTTATCTTTAAGCAAACTTGACGCACAGTAAAGATGGAACACACACACTGAACATGAACTTTTCAGTGGTTCTCTATTACACATGCGTACAGCTGGAATAGCACGCATTTTGGAATAGCGTAATACGTGGAGTGCGATATAGACCGTGGTATTATAAGGGAATAAATGTGTGCTCTGGAGGTTTTTATCACTCTGTTTAATACCGCTTAGAGTCTGGGTGCTGATAATTACCCGAGCCGGAGGCGAGAGTAATTATCAGCACCCAGACTCTAAGCGGTATTAAACAGAGTGATAAATACCGACCGAGCACATATTTATTCCCATTCATAAATACCTTTTCGGTAAAAAATATCAAATAATTCGTTCAAAAAATCCTGATTTTGTTCAACAAGTTCACTTCATGCTTTCTGAAACATCCCTCTAGCAAATTAATGGAGTGTTCAACTGGCGAGTAAGATGTAAACAACCCTTTTATGGAGATTGACGCGCGCGTAGCATGTTCTGCGCTTTGTCGCGCAGAACGCACCTGGGGCGTTGCGTTTTGAATTTAGAACTATAAAATTCTGACTCGCTGGTAGTGTTGCGCATGCCTATGTGAGGATTGTGAACGTTCAACCAATGGAACGGTAAGAGGCACTGGATTTTTAGGAGTCCACATTTTATTGTGACACTGGAAAAGTGTTTAAGACCAGCTAGCCATGTCTTTATCATCCGTTTAAGACCGGCCACGTGACGGGCTCTCGACCAATGGGAATAGCTAAACTGTCTGAGGTATTTATGAATGTATAATATCACACTGTTGTTGCCGCCATGGATCGACCAATCCGGATCAAGGATTCAACTTTGCTTGAAGATAAATGTATATATTACAAAACAGTCCCAAGGATTTAGTACACATACATAAAATTATATAATGTGCTACATCAAGATTAGTTTTATACATTGGTATCAATTTAAAGTCTAAATGGGTTTTTTTTTTCCAAGACAAAGTACTCGATTACTTAATGAAATAAACTCACAAAGCATTTACAAATCCCATAACCAAAAATCGCACGAGACTTAACAGCAAAGCACACGATTTTTTAGCACATTGTCATGCCGAAGAAAATAACTGTTGGCAATTCTGCATGGAGGATCAAGTTTTAAAGTCTGGCCAATCCCTTACCTTTTTTTTTTTTAACAAATACTGTGGAAAGATTATCACTGTATTCCCAAATAGTCTGAGCTGATACTTGGTCAATAAAAATTAACATCCAGCTTGAGATTTGCAGGCGGTTCTTGGACTTATATTTTTGATAAAAACCAAATGATCTTACACTAGAATAATCCTGCGATCACGTCACAAGCCATAACGTTGGTAGTACTTCATTTGCATGATTTTTGTTTTAATTCGCGGTCTGCATGTAGTTGAGAACCCCATGTCACAAGAGCATTAGTGAATTGGTACAAAATACTGCACAATCAAAAACATGGTGGATTGGACCAATGAAATACCACAGCTGCCTGATGAATATTTATGAGGTATAGTAAAACAAATACAATATTTTTTTTTGCAGGGAAATAGTGAAAACAAATTACCCTCGGTGTTGGATGATTGGGACTATCTCCCTTGGCCCAATCATCCAACACCTCGGGGTCAATAGTTTTTCACTATGTCCCCACAAACCATGATGTATTTGTTAAATATCACACTGTTGTTGCCATGGGTCAACCAATCATAATCGAGGATTCAAGTTTGGGAGTGAAGATAAAACACAGTAAATAGCACCCAGTACTTCACAACATTAGTAGAAACTGCAAATATAACGGACCTCGTGTTAACCCTAAAAATTGAAATCTCTAAGAAAATCAATTTTCACTAGGGATGAAATATTTGTTTAGTTACCGACCATAAAGAAATACATTTGTCATACAGAAATAAAGAAATACATTTGTCCTGAATTCACATATTGTGAAAGTGTATGTGGCAGCCTCATTGAACGAGTGCTAATGTGACTAGGCCCTCTTTGTACGGTACATCCAACCAACTAAAAAAACCCATAAATTTTGTAGGATCGTCTGACGGATCTTTGTTGACCTTTAATTCAACCAATTCAAGGCAGGGTTCCAGTTTTTTTTAAAATTATTTAAAACACTTAATTAAACCTCCTATGCAAACATACATTCTGTGCCAAGTAGTCCTTTCAGTCAAAATCAAACAAGAGACTGTTTTCAACAGTTAAGAATTCCCAGCCTACATAGAGCAGGATTGGCTGGCTGGGACTGTTTAAGTTACTTGATACAGCAATGCTTTGACTCCAGGTGAGTGATAAAACAGCTGTGACCACAACTTGCCTACATTGTCTGTTGACCCAGTTTGACTAGTCACAGTGCTTGCTTGACATATGATCTGACTGCTGGTGACTAGTCTTTGTCAGTATAGTAGGATAAGTGGAAGTGAACTTTGACTGTCTGTGATTGCTTAAATAGCAGGAGGGTTAATTAATGAATAAAATAAGGTTGAAAAATTGGCTCTTGAACAGAATCTTGTGATATCATACCAGTAATATCTTGTTGACCATTCAACTATTTCAATGTGTGGTGGATTTATAGGGAGACGTAGCATTTAATGATTCATGTTTTGAAGTGAAACTAGGTAAACAGAATGTTCAAATACATACATCACAATCTTTAAGTGATGGGCACACGATTAAACCATTACAATAATACTTGTGTATTAAACGCCACATTATCTATACATATACACATCCAGAAAAACAACAACCCAGAATTCCGGTATTCTTTGGCTATTTGGAATAGACTTATGAATATTCTGTCAGAGCTACAGTTGGTAAAAAGCTAGACCCTGTACCAAAAAGCGGGGAAAAAATTATCTTAAGTTTTGGGTGAGCATTTTAACATTATGTTTTGTTTCTTTCACGTGCATACAACTGTCTTTGTACTTTAGGGCAAAAACTTTAGATTGTTTGCACCGCAAAAGGCGTGTGCTTTTGTTCAATGGGGACACGCATGAGCAGACCTTGTGTGCATTCACTGTTAATGAATTAATATAAACACGCCTCTCAATATATTGAGCCGTAATCTCCGAACAGGTCTTCCAAGGAATTGAAGGTTGAAAGCCATTAATAAACTATAACTATGAAGCATTTCAGAAACGGCCAGCAGTCTGCCACAGACTTTCCACCTCCTAAAACAGAGCAACCCCCAAAATACAGTCAGGCAATTTGGGCTTCACAAAGGGTGCGTTCGAGTAGCTCACGTGGATTGACTCAGATAAAGGCAGAGTTGTAACGAGTCACTGATTTTGTGACTCGAGTCAAGTCGAGTCATTTTAAGGAAGTGACTCGAGTCGAGTCGAGTCATTTTAAAGAAGTGACTCGAGTCGAGTCATTAGGTCCAAAAAAAAAATCTGGTTCCTGGATAGTATTTTGTGCATTCTAGAACCATGAGGTGGGAATCTGCGACACGTTGTATATTTGTACATGACTGCTATTCGCAAAGTAAAGTGTGCATAAATTTTGCACCGTAAGTCATTGCAAATACTTTTCGCAAAGTTGCGTTTTTATTTTTGGGACTCGAGTCTTATTAGCCTTCGCTCGAGTCGAGTCGAGTCTTCTGATGAGGGACTCGAGTCGAGTCGAGTCATTTGCTCGCAGTGACTCGAGTCGAGTCATTTACCCCTCAGGGACTCGAGTCGAGTCGAGTCACCGAAAATTGTGATTCGAGTCGGACTCGAGTCGAGTCATTGACTCGAGTCATTACAACTCTGGATAAAGGCAGATGGGTTAGCCACAACAGCTGGGCTAATTGACGGCTAAACCACAGGCCATCAAGATCCTCACTTGACGCCCGTAGCCGTGGCTGTAGCCACTGATAAAACGCCCGTTCGGACTGGGTCTTAAGTCTGAAATTTACTGCTTTCCAGTCAACTACAAAACTAAAAAAGTCGGGCTGGAATTAAAGCCTCTAAAGTCACAATGAACTCGATAAATAATTATCTGTTGACTTCAAATAAAGTTGATTTTTAAGTCCACATATGTTTTGTCCGTTTCTTGTGTTGTTGCCAATTAACCTATGGCAGTAGAAGCGCGTCAATGGAGCTTGTGAAGTATTGTCCAATTACATGATATACAAATGGACGCTGAACGTGCAAAATCTGAGACAAAACTTAACGTACAAAATTCCATAGGTTTATAAAGGGGTGTGGCTAACTCGCAAACGGTGATAGGTCACTTGTGCAATGGATTGGTCTGAAGCACCTTGGAGTAAAGCGATGGGAAATATATTTTTTTTCATGTCTCTAGGACACTTAATCTTTAATAATCAACATCTAATTTACATATTCATTACTTATACTCAGATTTATTCGTTAAATGGCTTCAATCATACAGTCCTTGCATGGAAGCATGTCGACAAAATGAAAATGCCCGTTATTTTTTTTTTTTTTTTACATATACATATACTACTCATGTTTTATTCACGAGTGGTCTCCTTGTCCCGTCTCGATCAGGAAGTCACTGAATGCTGCTTGGATTTCTGCGTCAAGCTCATCAAATCCATCGGCATAACTGGAGAAAAATAAATTTACGAAATGTTTTAGATAAAATTTCAGTCAAAACTGTCAAAATTGTTTATACAGTGGAACGTCACTATGCCAAACACCGCCATACCGAACATTCAGCTATACCAAACGTCATCCTTGGCCCCCCAATTTTTTTTGGACAAAGTGTTCCAAACATTAAAAAAAGAGCGACAAGTGGCTATTATTTACCCAAGGAATGGATGGAGAAAGCCACTTATTGCTTTATCTCAAAAACTGTGTAATTACATAATTCAATAGTTGGCACGTGTTCAAAGTCATCTTTTAGTTACTACCAGGGCATGCAGGGTTAAGTTCTGAAGGTTGCTATTTATTGAAAGTGAGTACCGGAACACTGGCAGCTTCAAATCGCTATATCGAATGATCGCTATTACGAACAATTTCTGTGGATCCCGCGATGTTCGATATAGCAGCGTTGCACTGTATATTAAATTCTGAGGATTTGCTTGAACCTAGCAATCATATTTATGACTGTTTCAACTTTTGTCTTTGTGGAGTCCCCAGCATCTAGGCAAAGAAGGTATCGCTGGTTGTTTTCTGCTTTCATGATTTTTTTTCGAGGGTCTTATTCAGCGAAGCGCAATTTTCTGTGCGAAGATCGCTATGTGCCAGTGACCACCGACGGCGGGCCGGTCCACATGGCTGTCCATGCATGTTACCGTGCGATACGGACCGTGTTGGCCCAGCACTTCCCCTTCGCAAGTAGAGATGTAAAGGACTTAAATTTGCCATTTTTTTAAAGTGAGTGCCGCCTTTCTTCTAAATTAGACCCTTAAACATGGTGTCGCCTCTTCTAGGTTTAGTACCATAACATCGGAATTGGACCCCTTAAGTCACTTTGGATGTGAAAAATTTGGATTTATATACAGTGTAATGCCGCTATAATGAACATTGCAGGATCCACAGAAATTGTTCGTAATAGCCATCGTTTTACTTCGATACTCACTTTTCAATAAAAAGCGCCCCTCAGAACTTCACCCTGCACGCCCTGTTAATTACTGAAAGATGACTTTGACTACGTGTCGACTATTGAATTATGTAAGTACACAGGTTTTTAGCTTACTACCTACATCAATGGGTGGCTTTCCCCCTCTATTCCTTGGGGAAATAATAGCCACTTGTCGCTCTTCTGTTGACATTTTTCAACAACAATGTTCGGTCGTTTTATAAAAAAAATCGGGAGCCAAGGATAATGTTCGGTATAGCCGAATGTTCGGTATAGTGGTGTTTGGTATAGCCTCATGGCCTTGTGGTTAAGGGCATTGGATTCGTGGTCTGTGGGTTAAGCTACACGTTGTGGGTTCGAGTCCTGCCTGGGGTCATGGTGCGTGTGCCCTTGGGAAAGGCACTTTGTCACTCATTGCTTCACCCCACCCAGGAGTAAATGGGTACCTGTGAGGGCAGAGATGGTTATTGTTATTGAATTAGCTTCCTTGCGCCTAACAGGCTACATCGAGCTGTATACTCCCCAGGGAGCTGAGATGGTATTTGGAATGTTTAATTGGCCCATTGATAAGGGGTAATAATAATGTAAAGCGCTTTGATCATAATTAAAAGCGCTATATAAGAACCTGTTATTTTATTATTATTAAAGCGACGTTACACTGTAGTATAAAATATAAATTCCCGTCCCAACTGATTTTTTTTCAATCTGAATGATGAAAACCTAAAAACTAAATTTAAATGGCCTAAAGAGGAAACAAATGTGTATGTGATTGATTGACTTGCAGGTACGCGAATATTACACTGATGAGGGTAACATGATAACAATCAGACAAAGATGCACATACACTGATGACATCATGATGATGTCATCAAAAGACAGATACTATCATCGCGACTTACTCTGGCTCGGCGGCTGCATCCTGCTGGTAATGACTGGGATCCAAGTCATACTCTGCGTACGGGTCTGCCGATGACGACGTGTAGTCCGTGTAAGGGTCAGCGGAACTATACTCCTCGTAGTTCTGGTAGTCTGCATAGTTCTCAAAATCACCCTCATACTCATCTCCGAAGCCTTCAAGAAAACAAAGGGGCAAAACATAATATACCACATCAAATTTTAAAGGTAGAGTTGAGTTATTTGTGCGTTTTTTTTGTTTGTTTGAAGCAACATAAGTGCTCAAAATCTAAAGACAGGTGCTTAACAACTAGCCTGATAAAGTTTGATCTCAGAGCATGCTCTACATTCTGAGAAAACAATATTCTAGGATCTCAATTTCAATTCAAAAGGTGCCGAGTCATGTTTTGAATTGCGCCCGAAATCGGCACCTGGGACAAGTGCTCATTCAGCCGATGGCAGCTACGCCACATCATGCACTGAACCAACAAACAATAGCAACCGTGCGTGTGTGTGCGTGGCATCAACGTACGCATGCACCCAATCACGGATTTGCTGAATTACAAACCACCTACTAATAAAAATTTCCACAAATGTCTCACATGACACATCTTTGGAAGTTTCCTTCTTTAAGTGTATTCTTCAAAATGACAGCATGCCAGAAGGAATAATTTCACAGGTTTAGTTAAGTGCAATTACTATCTTTAAAGCTATAGTCCATCATTTGCAGCTATCCAAAAAGTAACTCGTGTAATTATTGTTGAAAAACATACTTGGTTGAAAGATAGTAAGGGGACTAAACTTCCTGTGAAATTATTCTTTCTGGCAAGCTGTCATTTTGAAGTAATCAACGAAAGAAGGACTTTCCAACGGTGCTTCTTAAGACGCACCGTTGGAAATTTAAATTAGTAGTTCGTTTTGTTATTCGGGGAAGCGCACGCAAGCATTGGCAAGATGCACACGCATGCGCGGTTGCTATAATGCGTCGGATCAGTGCGCGATGTCGCGTAGCTGCAATCGGCACAGTGAGAACGTGTCTTTGACGCTGAATTCAGGCCCAATTCAAAACATGATTCAGCAACTTTTGATTTGAAATTGAGATCCTAGAATGTTGTTTTTCTCGGAATATACAGCTGAAGCTGAGCTGAAACTTCATCAGATTAGTTGTTTAGTGCCCTTCTTTAGATTTTGAGCACGTTTGTTGCTTCAAACGAACAAAATGCACAAATTACAAATGATGGACTATATCTTTAAGCCAGTAAGCTTTTTCACAAGGCTTAATGATAAAGTAGTGGTCACTTGCTTCAGTATAATTCCTATTATGAGGCCCGTTGAAGTTTAATTGGTTCATCCCACTGCATGTGACTGTGGCTGTTGGACTTCATAAGGTTTGGTACTACTATACCTAATGCAAGAGCTAAAGGAGTTGGGGTTCATCCCAAAAACTTGGAATAGGTGGCACCAAAGTAGAGACGGTCAGAAATCAGCATGGTACATACCTGCCTCAGCAGCTGAAATGACTTGACCCTTTGAATTATAGAAGACTGGCTGAGACTGTTGAACAAAAATACATATCAAGTAACAATTACATGTTTTTGTTAAAGGTGTCTCCCAATGCTATTTCCTTCAAACAATTTGTTTTACTTGTTGGGTAGGTAGTTTGCGATTTACAATCAATCTTGTAGGACGACTGCATTAAAGGGAATGTACATCATTGGCTTTTGCTGTAATTTTCAGCTGTAATTTTCATGCTGGAAAAACTAAGAAAAACAAAAATGTTCAAGTAGTCTGGTTCCTTGACTCCACTAAAGATAAAATGGATCAATTTATAAATGCCGGAAAATTGTAAGGTAAGGGAACCAGTCTAGCTGGCCTGCACCCGTTCATGAACATGTAACCAATAGCAAACAAAATTTGGACTGAAAAAAGTGTAAAGTTAGAGCAGTAGTTGAAAAATAGTTAGGTTTTTCCAACGGTGGTCAGCCGACCACCGTTGGAAATGTATACAAAAATACAATTTTCTTGAAAATGACTTCACACCAGGTGCCATAATTTTACAGGATGCTTTACACTGTCATTTACCAACATCCTAGTAAGGTATTTCGTAAAAACTTGGTAGCTTTATTTTTCGATGTTTGCAAATGTTGTATATTCCCTTTAAGGAGTGTATCAGAATTTTAATATCATAGAAGTCAGAAACAGGGACAGGAAAAAAAAGTGGATCCCAAATTTATAGAAAGATCCACATGCAAAAAGTCATTTTTTTTCCCAATAATGTGTTTGTACGTCTCTCCTACTTACACTAAACATTGGTGCATCCCCACTCGCCGACATGAAGCCGTCACCGCTGCTTGCTGGTGGTGGGGCTGCAGCGCCACCGCTGTACGAGGCTGCATCGCCTTGTCCCCACCTCTTGGCTCGCAGCTCAATCAGTTGCAGCCACACCTCACGCACGTTCCTGGGTCAGAGGTGAATTAATCAATTAGTTGAGGTCTCAGGATTATCCAACTGAATCCAACAGTATACAAATATTGAATGCTTCGAGTGGTGTAGTAAAACTAGCCTCCCGAGGTGATCCAGGGAAAATAGAATGGTCCATGGATCACCGAGGGAGGCTAGTTTTACTTCACCACGAGATGAAGCATTCAATATATGTTTTATAACACTTCACCCACAGATTCTGCTTGATTTTAATATTTTAAATTATTTAAATCTGAACACAGTTGAAATAAACTTCAATTTCAATACAAAATTGGTGGAAAATGGATTTCTCTCTTAAAAACTACCCCTTCACGAAATGTTTGAACCCAAGTCTGCGGCGCGCTCTCTTTGGAATAATACGCGCTACGCACAGCGCGCACACCAGCATGAATTTGCACACAAATACCGCGCCGTGGAAATAGTACTTTGGTTGCTAATGGTATAGTACTTTGGTTGCTATGCGCATAGTACTTTTGACCGTGCACAGAAAGGTAGCAAAATCAGAAAGTAACATGTGACTCGCTCTCGGCCAATCAAGACACAGAATCTGTGAGTGCGGTGTTATAAGATCCAACTATAACATAAACCTGTTGGAGCCTGTTGGATTGAGCAGTAAACCCCTTGTACAAATGAACACGTACATATTCAGAGTCAGATTCTGTTGAGTGCTGATATATGATGCCTAGGGCCATAATTTTTAGAGTTGCTGAACGATTCCGAAGAAAGTCAGACAAAATCGTTTTTAAAAATGGCGGGCTGTGGTAATCCAACGTTTATTTTGCGAACGAACATATTCACAGACAAACAGCCATCGTATATGCTGATTGTCATCCTTGTCCAAGATGTTAAAATTATTTAAAACGTTGTGCAGCTATGCCAAGTGTCGTGAAATCGATCATAAGTTTATTGCGCAGCTGCGGAACAACTTGGTTGCATAAGTCTTACGCATGGCGCAAGCTGCGCACTTTTTCGTGAAGTCGGCTGCCGTGCTTGCACACATGTGATTTCATTTTACTTACTTGTCAATGGCTTCATTCGTCACATGTTTTCTGGCTTTCAGGAATATCTGATTCAGCTGATCTGAAGCCTTGCCGTCATTCTGTTCCCTGTCGTAATCTTCTATTTCTTTCCCTGACAGCTGAAACAAAAAGTTAAAAAAATCAGAAGCCCTTATCCTTCGAAGTCCTTCAAAAAATCACCAATTTTGCAGCATTTTGTGGGATTGGAATGTTCGTTTTCGAATAATCTAGTATTCAGTTTTTCGAACTTGGATCCAATCAAATATTCAAATATTGGAAACACACCAGACAGTTTTACATCCATCAGCTCAAACTGCATGGGCCAGTTGGAAATTGTATCTCAAAGTTAGGAAGTGTAAGTTTAGAATTTGTTTTCATCGATTTGGAATTTAGGCCTAATGGTCAACTGATCAGGATTTGCATCAACAATGAGCTTTATAAAAAATACACCTCATTATAAGACTAATGATAGAATTTATATCGTTTTAATACTAAAAAGAAACCCAATCTACTCAACTTCGTACCTTTAGAAGTAAGCTAAGACATTTCAGGTTTCCGCTGCTTGCGTTGTTGACCAGAGTGTCCATGAGCTCATTCAGAGCCGTGCGGTAGATTTTAATCCTCTGTGGACCATTCCCTACCTGGACCTGTGAGTTACCAAAAAAAAAAGGTCGTTTATTATACTTTCACTTAAAGGGAATGTACATCATTGGCTTTTGCTTTAATTTTCAGAAATGAACTATTTGAGGGGTTAGTATAATAGATCAAATTATTGTTGCACTGACATGTTTGAAGTTTTGTGTTCGGAAATGCTGGGGAAAAAAAAAAAAAAAAATGTTCAAGTAGTCTGGTTCCCTGACTCCACTGAAAATTAAATGGATCAATTTATAGATGCCGGAAAATTGTACGGTAAGGGAACCAGTCTAGCTGGCCTGCCCCCATTCATGAACATGCAACCAATAGGAAACAAAATTTGGACTGAAGAAAAAATGATAAATTTTGAGCAGTAGTTGAAAAATAGTTAGGTTTTTCCAACGGTGGTCGGCCGACCATCGGTGAAATCCACCCCCCCCCTCAACATTTTCTGTGATAGCCTCTAAAACAATTTTTGTTGCGACCCGAGCTGTTATGACTTTTTAGCCTCGAGCTTTGCGCATCTTTTGATACCAAAAACATAAAAATCGGACCACGGGTTACCGCGTAGCAAAATTTTTTCCGGCGCTATGCGCCGTAAAAACTGAATTTTCGCATATATGTCGTGTACACAGAGCAGAATTGCCATTCGTACATATGAATAATTAATTAGCCATAATTCCAAAACCCTTTGACCTATAGTCATGAAATTTCTTGGGTATGTTTAGGAAGAGTTGCTCTATGCATGTACTGAGTTTCAAAAATTTGTATCACTCGATGGCCGAGATCTTGGGGGGGGGGGCGGAATCCCCCCCCCCCAAAAAAAAAATAACCCGTCCCCTTTAGGGTTAAATGTACTGGTGATCCCATACAAGTAACTTGACTACAATACAGCGTGCAAGTTGACCTCAAAAACCTGTGAGATTTTATGAGAATACTGCACATCCGTTTAGGAGCTACAACACATGTAACATCCTATTTTTTTTCATTTATTTTGTGTCCTGACTGGGCCCATCCAATCAAGGGCAATAACTAGCCTTTTCGTAAAGAAAAGAAAATATTACAACTTACAACATATTGAAAATATTCCAAATTGATAACTATCTTAAAATTTTAACCTCAACTTTCCGTTCAATCAATCACGCAGATAGCAATTGCGTAAATCCAAACATGGGAGTCTGTGACTGGACTATCAATGTTTGGTTCAAAATGTTCACACAAAAAGTGAACATGGACTGGCGAGACTGGCGTGCTCTATTCTGGTGTACTGTGATAGCCATACCTGTGATGTGAGGAATAGCTCGGCCAGGAACATGGTTGCCCCGTGCAATCTCTCCATCTTGTTCGGGTCTTTGGCCATAACTTCTCTGCTCTCCACTGCGTCTTTGACTCTGTCAGAATATGCACGCAAACACCAATGCACAAGATATTAAACATAATTTTTGAATGAAAAACCTTTTAACCATAACCAAACAACTCCATCAAAGTCCATCCCCCCATTGTGGTGGATTTTGGAGGATTTGGTCCAGTAGGCCTGATGTGACCTGATGGGAATACGATGGACTTGGGCCTGAAGGCCTGAAGCAGTGCTAGGGGTATCCAACTGATTTTGCCTAGATTTCTGTACTGCTTTTGTCATATAAGCCATGTGTAGCAAGTTCATGAATGTCAACCAGTGCATCAGTGGTGGATTCCATTATGTCATGTACATGTACATTTTTGTTGGTCCAGTTCCTAGTAACAGACATTAGGGAGTTAGAGCTTAACCCTAAAAGGGCCGGGTTATTTTGACCATCTCTCAGCCGGGGAGGGGGGGGGGGGGGGAGGTGGGGATTCCGCCCCCCACCCAAGATCTCGGCCATCGAGTGACGAAAAATCTTGAAACTCGGTACATGCATAGAGCAACTCCTCATAAACATACCCAAGAAATTTCATGACTTAATAATTTCATAATTAATTATGGCTAATTAATTATTCATATGTACGAATGGTAATTCTGCTCTGTGTACACGACGTATATGGGAAAATTCAGTTTTCACGGTGCATAGCGCTGGAAAATTCCGCCCCCCCCCCCGGCCCTTTTAGGGTTAATGCACCTTTCAATTTTTTTAAGCTTTATTATGTGTTTAGTAGCGCTGTGAAATTGGGCCCTGTGGGCAGAAGGTAGTGCTAAGCAAATCGAGCCGGGAACCAGTCACAACCAATATACACAGTACAACATACTGGTAACCTATTTTTTGCTAAGGGAATAATTTCAACGCTTAGCAAATGTTTGTGCTTAAAAGCTTCCTGAAAATTTCCCTCTTACCTCTGATTGATGTGCTTGCGGAATTTGCTGACATTTGGTGGGAGTACTAAGTGTGATGTGAGGTAGTCACACGCCCTGGCACCGGTGTATCTGAAGTTGGGCTCCAGGACAGCCTAGATAAAAACCAAACAATTTCAACAAAATCTTGAAAACTCTCAAATTTTTAAGAAGGAAAGTTGAGACAATTTTATTTTTCCTTTTGGCAGAAAAAGTTTTCAAATTCAAAAGGAGATTTCCTTTTTTGGGGGACCTGAAGAATATTTACCTTGAACCTTCTCAGCCCTTTTGACTAGGATGACCATTTTTTTCATTTGTTCCGTGGAGGGGTGACTACTAGAAGGGATTGACCTTAACTTCTTTTTTTTCACTAGCCAGCCGGGCTACTGAAAAGACTCTTACATGTCTTAAGTAGCCCACGGGCATTTTCACTAGTCTGAATGTTTGTTTTTTAAAGAGTGTCTCATAAACAACAATATGCATGCATTTAAAACGTGTATCCTGAGGCAATCTTGTCAGTGTTTTAAACAGATCTAATAATATATCCCTGAACAGTCAATACAATTGATATAAATTGATACAGTATTGCTTTCTGAATTTAATGATATATATTCTTTGCCGTAGCCCAATAACTTTGACTCGCCAGCCGGGCTACTTAAGGAATAGTTTGACTTGCACGTCCCTGTTTGGACTAGCATTTGGTTAGCAGGTTTCCGCTGAAGTCGAACCCTGCTACTTGTCTATGGAATATCCCCTTGCCCAGCAAGGGTCTATGAAATGCAAGCAGATTTGGTGATTAATTATGCAAAACAAGACTGCGTCTTGACCTTAAGATTCCAACCATTCAGCAGGCGTCTTCTATATCGGGTCTTCGGTAAAACCGTTGCTGTATTACAAACACATGGAATCCAAACTGACCAATCAACAGCTTAGTCCACATTTCTAGAGTTTCTGCACGGAGTGTCCGTTTTACCTGCTCAAAGATGATGTCCGCGATGGTGCCTAAGTCCTTATCGGTCCGGATGGTGGCGTTGAGGTTCTCCACCAGCGATCTCATGTGGTCCTCAAATGAACCGGGGCTAATGCTGAGGCTGAACAGTATGTCCTTCACCATGATGACGTAGTCTGGCTCCCAGTTGCTGTTGACATATGGGGACTGGAAACCAGACCAGGAAAAAATAACAACCATATAATGCTTATACCAAAGTCTCAAAGCACTTCATAATATTAGCTTAAGATCAGTGCAATCTGCTCTCTACCCTCAAAGGTGCCGTTTATACTCCTCGGTGGAGAGAGGCAATTAAAGTAAAGTGTCTTGCCCAAGAACACAAGCATCAGCACAATCTGGCCTCTGCCCTCACATGTACCCATTCATACTCCAGGGTGGAGAGAGGCAATTGAAGTAAAGTGTATTGCCAAAAACACAAGCTTCAGTGCAATCTGGTCCCTACCCTCACAGGTACCCACTTATACTCATGGTAGGAGAGAGGGAATTGAAGTAAAGTGTCTTGCCAAAGAACACTGTTCCACGTCAGGATTCGAACCCATGTACCGTTACCGTAGCCACTTGACCACGGCACTCTAAAATTTAACAATTAATTAATTTACATGAACAGGAATTACTGAATTTGCACTGAAGCCTTATAAGTATTAAGAAAGGAGTTTGACTGCTACTGTTCATAATTACCATTACAAAGCAGTTGATTTGTGTAATAACAGGTGCAATGCTTTTGCCATTGGAAGGGGGGGGGTGGGGTGGGGTGGGGGGTGGGGGGTTGAGTGTACAGTGATATTGTGCCCTATTTGTCCTGTTCCCTGCGAAACATGTGCAACAGCATTCGCGACTAGCACCCAACAGCTGGATTTTTGAGAGTCAAAATTTTGACCCAGCATGTTCTGATGGGGCACCAAGGAGCAGACCCAACAGTTTCCCCACATTACCAGGCCACAGCAAGTGGTGGGGGTGGTGGTAGGGGGCGGGGAGAGGGGGGAGGAGGCGCTGTAACTTTTGAAGCTACAGTGTGTTTTTTCTCATCAATACATGTAAATTTTCAGAAAGGCGTACGGTTTACAAGAAAAATAAAAAAAAAATAAAAATAGTTTTCCTCTTCGTTTTAATAATTCAAAAAAATACTTCAAAAAGACACTTCCTTGGCAAGCGGCAAATTTCAGATTTTTTGGGGGGAGCAAAAGGGCACCTGGCATGCCTGGGGGGCCACATTCCCTCAAGGCCCCCCCCCCCCCCCCCCCCCCCCGGCTACGCCACTGCGTGCAAACTGTGACTGAGGATTCTGTACTTACTTTGCTATCAATGCAAGCACAGAATGGTGATTGTACGCGTAGAATTCTGTGATTAGCAGAGCCTTGAAATTAACATTAATAGCCCAGAATTTTTGGCTACCGGTGGCAAATATTATTCACTCACGAGATTACAGAAATATCATTGTGCCCTGGTCAACTGGACAAACTGACTGACCTGTTCGTTGCCGTTTGACCACTGCTGCTGCTGTGGCACCGGTGCTGCACTAGCACCTGGCCATGGCATGCCCGGCACAAACTCGGCGGGTCCGGAGCCAGACCACTGCTGCTGTGGCGGCACACTCGTGCTGCCTGCGTACACCGGAAGAGCTGGACCCCAGCTCTTGCCAGGCACAAACACCGCTGCATTGGCTGATAGGGATTTCATTACTGCTTCAATTTGCTGATCATCAAAGTAATCTACTCATCTGCCAAATTAAAATTAAAAAAAACCCCAAAATTATAAATTTTAAACAGTGACACCATTTTGGCCACTTTTTCTGTTGCATCTAGCATTGTCTAGCCCATATAAAGCTGGTATGTCATTTCATAAGTCCAAGTGGCGGCCATTAAAGAAAAGCTGCCGGCAACCTTGAAAAATAGCCCGGCTGGTCGTTCTGGAAAATGGGTAGGGTGGCCATTTTGAAAAAAAAAGGCCTCCTCCGTCCTTTTTTCAAAAAGACAGGACGCTTTTAAACATGTTTTTTTTTTATTTGGCCTTACAAAACAAGCGGATATGTTTAAGTGATTTCCAAAATTTCCCTTGGAAAGAATGTACAATGTAGTCTCGCCACTTATTGGGTTGTGTACTAAGTCTATGGAGAGTCGAGTGCATTTTCAAAGGATTTTCTAACAAAACTGAAAATGTTTCAAAATACTCTCAGTCCCAAATTCGTCATTGCAACACTGACTGACCTTCGTTAATAGGCCTATGATAAAAAAGTATCATTAGGATGCAAAACTCTTTCCTTTCTCTTTTCCGACAATTGCAAAATTTGGTGATCATTTATTTATGGGCCTGCTTCGTATAAGGGAACAAAATCCACTTTTAAATTATTTGGCGTACCAAACTAGTTGGCGACATTGAGAACATACAGGTATGTCATAGATAAAGGGCAGGGCTTTGAATTTTGAGGTAAATTTGGGGGTCAAAATGACGACGACAATGAACAAATGCAACACGAAAATAAAAATGGCGATCACCGCGCCATGCACCATGAGCACGCAAGTGGAACGGCTGCACAGCACCAACCAGCCCGCAAACCGCATAGGAAAATCGTAATTTCTACCCCAAGAAACTGTTCAAAAATTACAAAAAAGGTGGCATTACATAATACATTGAGAGAAGTCTGCTTTAGGTTGACAATTAAATTTTTAAGTATCCTTGACCCTCCATAATCCGTGCAGGTTCAGACAGGGCTCTGGAGTGCTCTGAAACATGCAAAACTAAATCAGTCCGACTTTACTCACAGTTTAGCCAGCAAATTTCTCCAAAAATTCCACTGGGGCAAAGAACATGTCCTCAGTATTCCACCTACCAAGTTTGCAGACTCAATTCAATTTTTAAAGGAGACTTTTCTTCAATATTTTGCACATGAGAGGGAAGTCAAGTGATTTCAAAAAGGGGATAAATACTAGACTTGTACATGTCCATCCATGGTACAACTATTTAAAAAGACTGACCTCTTCATTCAGTGTCAATAGTCTGGTGGCTTGACTATGGAGAAATGTGTAGTAAATTGAGACTAGTTCCCGCTTCATGCCAAATGTTTCTTAAATTCTTTTGGCATGGTTGATTGATGCAGCACTGAAGCTGTCTTGGACTGGTTGTTTTAGGTGCCAGTCTATTTTCTTGTTTTGCATGTTTTCAATACCTTAAGTTTTGGGACTCTCATACACAGTAATGAGAGTCCCAAATTTTCGGACTAGCGCAGGTTATGCTTGCAACGCGTGCGCGATATCACACACAAATTGAAGGTGAATGCGTAGTACAAAAAGGACCGCGTAGCTTTTTTTTTAGGGGGTCTGACGATAATTAATAGAAACAATTCTTGGGAAAAAATGTTGCAACCTGACGCCACTTCCGCGTTTATGTACAAAGTCTATGGAGAGTCAAGACAATTTCTTAACAAAATTGGAAATATTTTTCAGTCCCAGATTCATGTCTCATCGTCATTTTTGCAATGAATGACCTTCATTGAGATGATATATAAAGAAAAAAAGTGGCGTCAGGTTGCAACACTTTTCCCAAAATGGCGAATAAAAATTTCCCTCCATGGGGGTCTGACGATACAGGTATCCTCGATCCTCCTATTTTTGCGCAGATAAGGCTTTGCGACCAAGTAGCTTAAAAATAACAAAGCAACCACTCTTTTCCTCAAAAAATGTTTATTGTTGGCTTACGATCATCCACCGTACCGATTAACAAAGTGAAATCTCTTTATATAATTCCAAAGCGTGCAGTTTTGGCATTGTAGAAAAGAATCCTGCCTACATGTTTGTAATTCTGCACAGGGGACGCTTCATTAAAAAATATGTGCTGTCCGGGCCATGTAACTCAATATAAACATTTTTTTTTTAATAACTTAGACTTGTTGGCTTGAGGAAAATATATTTCCTCATATATAATATTATTTTTCAAACATATTTTCTTCCTTTTTCCTTTCTTTTTTCAATGCCAATACACTTTTCGTAATTTCAAGATTAATTTCAATATCCTATTTTGGAGATTTATACAAAGGCATATATTTACATATTTACATTTTATACATATTTACCTATTAAATGTAGATCCCAATGATATTGTTATTATGATCATCCCAATCAACAGAGACAGTTTTTAAGATGTCGGATTTTAAAACTTGTGACCCCAAAAAATCCAAAATAATATAAGAAATGTGTCTTTTAGTTGCACCGTAAGTTTTACACCCTTGTAGAAACTGCAAATTCTTATTTATGACATCTTAACTATAGTTTAATACTGACGATATTGGGAGACCAAGAAAGGTCAACTTTCGGTCATATTGTTTACTTCTGCAGGCCAGAAAGCATCTGCCTGCATTTGTACTTAGTAATAAGCTGTAAAAAGCCGATATTTTTCATTTTTTGCCTGAATTTCCAGGAGCCTTCAATTTCTACATTTTTTCGGCTGCTGGTTAAACTTAAAGTTCGTGCATCAAAGGATACGATATCATTACCAGTGAAAGTATGTAATTTTTTTTAGGATGCACGCCTTGCAAAGTATAACTTAAAGGCGAGTACGCAGAAGTATAAGCGCGTAGCTTTAGGAGGTCTGACGACGATACATTGTCCCTGTGATACACGTAGCCCCATAAATGTGGCCAATTTACTGGACTACCTCCGTAAATGAAGGCCACACTTCCAGTTCCACCATGTACAAAAACATGTCAAACTTTGTCAAATTTTGATTTTCACATTTAGGCTTAGTTTTTATTTTATTTTTGCTTTAGAAACATACTCACCCTCTTTATAGGCTAATCAGAAAGTGCTGCCTTTTTCAGATGTCTAATTTTCGTGGAATTTCATGTAGACATTTTGATACACACACGTGTGAAAACGAATCTGGAAATTTCACGAAAAATATACATCTGAAAAAGGCAGCACTTTCTGAGAGGGTGAGTATGCTTCTAAAGCAAAAATAAACTAAAAACTAAGCCTAAATGTGAAAATCAAAATTTGACACAGTTCGACATGTTTTTGTACATGGTGGAAGTGTGGCCTGTTTTTACGGAGGTAGTCCAGTAAATTGGCCATATTTATCATTTTATGGGTCTGTTGTGCCCATTCTTGAAAATCACGCATTCTCGAAAATGGGCATGCACATTCTCGAGAATGGGCGCGCATTCTAAGAATGAGCGCCCATTCTTAAGAACGAGCACGCGTTCTTAAGAATGAGCGCTCATTCTTAAGATTGGTTGGGAATATCACGTGCACAATTTATGAATTTTGCCCAATCTTAACAAACATTGCACGACATAATTATGTTAAATGAATTGTATAGCGGTTAAAAGGGAAACAATTCATATAAAGAGGAAAGAAAATGTGCTATGCTTCTGTACTCGTATAATTACGATAATTTGAATCAAATTAAACCTGTTATTATTGCTTTTTTCTGCCCACTATGGGAAGTTTTGTAATAACGGAGGACTGGGAACTAGTCTGGGAAGTGCTTTGTTTAGGCTAGACAAGTTACAAGTCCCTGCATGTATCATATGCGTGCCACAAAAAAAAAAACGATGTCCAGAAGCTGCCAAAATTGCTCTTTTGACTAGATAGAATCCAGCTCTGCGACGTTATGGTGGGATGTGAACAATAAATTGGTGGCAATTTAAATGGGAAATAGCATTAGCACTATGGGATGTCGCAGTATTCATTCTCATTCTTCACATTCTTCATTCTTACGTCCCCCCCCCCCCCCTTGCTTTTATTATCCCAAAAATCAGAATTCTTTGCACTAGTATTATTATGTCTCTTATATTTTCCCGGTCCCCCCCCCCCCATATTAATACGCCTTTACTTATCATATCCACTCTACTTTTCAGAGCCTTGCGTTGCAACAGTATAATTATTGAGAATCAGTGAACGAGGATTCAGCTAGACTTGCCAAGCGCAGCCGGTGCTCGGCATCGACAAGACCGTTATCTTGTCGCGCATTCTCGAGAATGTGCGCTCAATCTGGAAGAGTTATTTTTTGCCAAGATTGAGCAAGGATCCAGTTGCACATTCTCAAGAATGTGCATGCCCATTCTCGAGAATGCGTGATTTTCAAGAATGGGCACAACAGGGCTATGATACACGATGCATCATCGATCATGTAAACAAAAATGGCCACCGCACAAGCGCTGCGCAGTCATGTTGCGAAAAATTGACATTCGTTTCATGCTCCTAGAAATGCCATAGATGGATTGATCAACAAATGTACATCAAATAGACCAACCCAAAAATGCATCACTTCTTAAGGTTCCCGACAATCCAAAAAATAAGAACACAGAAGACACATCCTTTGACCCAAAACATAACAAAGACTTACTTACATTTTGGTTGTTCATCACAAAATTCGTCACTGTACGCTTTAATTTCTTTCAATAGAGGGCGCACACCATAAATAGTGGTCACATACAGCGACAACGCGAGCGCAGCAGGCACAGACATACAATAGCCTGCTGTGTGTGCCAGCAGCAGGCTGACAAAGAACACGGCCGGAGCCTCACTATTGAATTGAAGAAAAATCAACAAACTCGTTGTTTAGGAAATAACTCAAAACATATAATTAAATTGAAATTTTTGTACAGACAAGTATCATTATGTGTAACATAAGTAGCTTTAATTTCATGAGAAACTATCTGACAATAATATATGACCGAAAGAACCGTATGTAGTGATGAAAACGTGCCAAAAATACCGTCCGACTATGAAATCAACTTCATGCTGGAAAAATAACACCCTCGTTGTTTGGGCAATAATTGAAGAAATACGGGTTGTATTTAATGAAAATGCCGTCCAGTGATCGGTCTTGATGTGCAACATTGGAAGATTCAATGTGACCAGATGAAAATTGCAAAATTCTGCCAGATGCATTTCAAAGTTCTGCTAGATCTAACAAAAATCTGCTATATCACCAAGAATTACATGAAGCACATTACAAACACTATACTCAAATATAGATGTTATACAATTTTCTTTAAAAAAAAAGGTAATCCTTTGAAAAACAAAAACAAATAAAATTAAAAACATATATATAAAGTTTCCTTTAAAAATACGTAGGACAATATGTTTTTTAATTGGCGTGTGTCTAGCCACGGACCATGGTCTAGCATAGCTGCCATGCCTGCGTCCCCGCTATTCAAGGGTTCGCATGCTCAATACAAAATCTAGTATATTTTATTTTACTATAGGATCACCGATTTTCGAAATTCTGCTAGACATCTGCTAAAACTTTCCTTATGTTAGATTTTCTGCTAGGGCGGGTTTTGTTCCAAGCAGTCTGTCAAATCTAGCAGAAAATTGGCTAAAACGTCACCCTGCACGGTATCAATGAACAACATTTATCGTCTGATCATTTTTTTTAACAGACTCCTTCGTCCAATCAAATTGGCTAAATTGACGAGAAGACGCCGCCTACATACTTCTGACCAATGACAGGCCACGCGAGCCACGCGTGCTACGTCACGGATACTTCCTGGAATGTCCTCCCGTCTTTAAACAAAAATAGGGCATTTCCCCCCGAAATTGATGCTACTCGATCTGGAAATAAAACTATTGCTTCATATTTGTTTCTTTTTCTTTAAATGACCATTTCCATTCACGATGAATTTTTGGCATTATGTTTAAAATGGGTCTAAGTGGAGAAAATTAGTATGCGGAGAAATACACACTGAGTACTTGGACCCAAGGCAGCGCAATGACCCCAGTGCGGAGCAATAGCCAGCAATATAAAAATGACACTGTTCACCTCCATATCATTACGCCGTGTAAAATCACCGAGAATGGGGTCAACGGACGCTGGGAGGAAGCACGCCATGTCTCGAGTCGAGTCCCGCTATTTTTGGTCAGTCGCACAAAAAATGCCTCAAAATTCACCAGCAACTTGAGACTTTAACCTCCGAGTCTACCGTCCAGCTTCAAGCCCCCAACGCGGAAACTTGTACATCATACCCTGGAGTCGTCATGGTCGCGAAAAACATCAAATGTGGACGCTTGGAGTCTTGCAATTCGACCAGAAAACCGGCCTCATGTAAGGGGTCACTGCAGCATTTCGACACAGACATTGTGGCGGCATCGTCACCCATTATTGAAAAACTGACTTGAACTTTGCTGTAGGCCTACAGAACTTGTCATAACTTTTGTTTTAGAGACTGAACTGAAACGGGCTTCCAACTGCATTCCTTTGAATGCTCATTTTGTGCTGAACTGAACTGAGTGGACACATGGATTTTTTGTGAAATATTAACTTTGTCGAATGATCTGAATGACGTTTTGGAAAATACTGAAGTCAAGCTTTTGGAGTTCGTCGGGGGTAAGTCCCACTTTAAATAAGAAACTACCGAGGTGAGTGACACTTTATCTTCTCCGGTCACACAGAAACAAAAGAGGAAAAAGCATCTCAATATTCTGCATTTTGAGCAATAAGGCAGCTGATATTTCCGCTTGCATTTTAAACCTCACTTCCAAGTATTAAAAGTGGAGCCATAAAAATTCCTCTCTTTGAGTTTGATCCTTAAATCGCATTTAATGCATTTAAAAAAAAATGTTATTTACAATAAGCAAAGTGTATTGCAATTTGTACATGAGGTTGTGCTTTGCTTTGTTTTTATATTGTGCGATAAAATCTTCTCTTTAAGTATCTCATTTTAATATATCTAGATATTATTAGAATAAGCATGATACATGTGTGTTTGTTGCCAACAAAATGGCGTCCATTTTGAGTCTCCTATACATTGAGTTTGTCTTGCATTGCCAAACATTGTACGTTGACATGCCATTCCTGTAGGCGAAAGCCCTTTTGACTTAGAGTAATTTGCATGTGAATACCTACGACATTTTTGTCAAAAATATATACAAAAGTCATGTATGTGCCTTTTGGTGCATTGTGCATTTCACGCATTGCTTCACGAGCGAAATCGAGAGCCAGTGCCGGAGTCGAGCACGTGAGACGCTCGTGGCCGGCGTAGTGTGGGCGTGTTCATAGACTCCGAGGATTTTTATTGGTCGAAAAGTCGAAAGGCCGCGCGCGCGGTATGCGGCCAGGTGCACCGTCTTTGCTAAACTTTCAAAGACATTCCAGCAAGGGGCTTTTTAGGGGTTTACTCAACAGTTGGAGTAAACATGTTTAGGTTAAGGATGGAGGGTTCCTTGGAATTTGGTTTGCCTGTTTGTTATCATTGTATTAAAATCACTGGTTTAAATTTTAACAGGACAAATAGTTTCGAGCTTTTATTTAATGATTTAAAGATGAAATGAGAAACCTGAACACCATGAATTCGAGGAGTTAACAACGGAGCCAACAGATTTTATCATTAACCTGAAATTATTTAATGCAAGCACACTTTTAAGAGTATTATATGGCGGCATTCCAATGGACAAAAATACATTTTATGGACAATGTATCCACGGATTTCAAATTTGTACAAATTGCTCAAAATAATGAACTTTACACCATTAGCTCTTGGGTAACTTTTTTTTATATTATAACTGCTACAATAAGTTCAAGAGGACAACGGAAGAAAAAATATGGAGAGCTGAATTATTTTGATTATGATTGTATAAATTTAGATTTTAAAAGATAGCCGACGGAATTATTTGAAGCTCATACGAATTGGAGAGAACTGGCTGTTGAGACCAGCGGAATTCGACGTTTGGACGAAGGAAAATAAGGAAAAGTTATGATTGTATTAAGTGAACGATAAAGATTAAGGTTAAGGCGTAGGAATTAAGGCGGGGTGGGTGGGGGTATAGGCACATGGCGCGCGTAGGCAGCCGAGCACACCAGCAGCAGCGTAGGGGAGCGTGACCTGGCACAGCCATGGTGTAAAAATTAACTTATAAAAATCCTTTAATTAACAAAACAATTACAAAGTTACAAAAATTACCTTTTCGGGGCACAGTAAAAACATTGGGGCAAATTGCAGCTTAATCGTTAAAAAATGTATTAATGATAGTTGAATAAAAATCTGTATCGAGGTAGTGCATTATAATTGGAAAAAAATACAATCTTATTAATATAAGAAAATTTCTTTTTAATATCAACTTGGTTTTTGAAATATACACTGAAGTATAAACACATTACTGAGCTCCAAGGTTAATACGTGGGTTGATGAGCATCCGTCATTTATAAAATAGGAGGACATCTTTGGGGTAGTTTTCGCGATGTTATTTGTAGGTATGATATCGTCTTCCCGAGAAACTGTTCACGGGTTGGTGATATCTTGTAGGTGAGATGCCGTCTTTCCGAGAAGAAAATATTTCCCGGGTTGATGATATCTTGTAAATAAGACATCGTCTTCCCGAGATAATGTGTCATCACGGGTTGGTGATATCTTGTTTGTAGGGTGAGATGTTGTCTTCTCGAGAACAAAATTCTCTGGTCGATGATATCTTGTAGGGGAAATATCCTCTTCCCAAGAAAGAAAACATTTCTCGGGTTGAAGATATCGTGCTGGACAGATGTCATCTTCTCGAGAAAAAAATATATCTCGGGTGGATGATGTCTTGTAGGTTAGATGTCGTCTTTCCGAGACAATATTTCATCACGGATTGGTGATATCTTTTAGGTGACATGTCGTCTTCTCGAGGAAAAGTAATATTTTTCGGGTTGACTATATCTTGTGGGTGAGATGTTATCTTCTCGAGAAAGTCAAATATTTCTCGGGTAGATGATATCTTGTAGGATATCGTATTCCAGAGATGATTATTCACTGGTTGACGATATCTTGATATTCATATTTCCCGATACCAAATCAGTTAATTATTTCATTAAAACAGATGATAGATGTCTACCTTCCGTGATAAAAAAAACACTTGATTTTATCAACTGATAGCTATTGCGGAGCTCTTTAAAATATAATTATAGTATAAAATAAGTATCTTTTACTGCATGAAAATCATAAGAACAGCTTTTCTAATAATGGAAAATAATATAAAAATGTATATCAATTTAAATCTTAAGGTCACAAAAAACTCGACGAGGTTTTCCCTTTTAAAGAAAAAGATTAAGGCAAAGCTATGTACACAAATAACATATAAACATGTATAAATATATAAAACAAGTGTATAAAGAGCAGGTTGTAATAAAATAATAATAATAAATGAATATAGTTTAGGGAGCTTTAGCGTTCTGCAAAAAGCGAGCAAATAGCAGCTTGCGAGACAATTAGGAACTTCGGGAATTGGGGAGGGAACGAAAGTTATTAATTTTTACCAACATTATCCTGGCAATGCCTTGCGCATTGGCAATAATACCGCCGGTTTAAGTGTAAAAAAAGGTTTTGGACTTTTGCAAACTGAAGAATCTGCGATGAAGACGGACCCCAGGAGATGTTATCATATCAACAGAAATCAATGTCGAATCAATGGCATTGCCTTGAGCTTTGCCACATCAGAACAATAAGTTTGCTGATTATTTTTGTATAAAGACAAAGGAATTACCTTAAAGAATTAATGGTGTAAAGATGTTCATTATGCATTCATTAAAACTTTTTCGAAATAATCCTGTAAAATGTTTGTTGGATAATGTCCATTGGAATGCCGTTTAAGTATATCCATGCATTATGATTGAGAAAGACGACGCCCTTGATGGGTGCTACATTTTGAGAAGGACGACACCCTTGATGGGTGCTACTTTTGAGAAGACGACACCCTTGATGGGTACTACTATTGAGAAGGACGACACCCTTGATGGGTGCTAATACTGTATTTATTAACACGACACCCTTGATGGGTGCTACTATTGAGAAAGACCTCACCCTTGATGGGTGCTACATTTGAGAAGACGACACCCTTGATGGGTGCCACATTTGAGAAGACGACACCCTTGATGGGTGCTACTAATGAGAAGAACGACACCCTTGATGGGTACTACATCGCCAACAATTTTATAATGTATTAAGTTGATGTAATTAAGAGATTGTTTGTAAAGAAGACAAAGAGAGTTAAAGATAATAATTATAATTTTCCAAGGAACCTCCCCGCACGATTCTTACTTAAGACACAATCTTACCAAGTTTCAGATGGGAAAGGAATAAAAAAAAAACTGCCGCTTGGATGTGCAAAATAAATTGGAGGTATTTTTTTTTTACTCAATGCCAACGTTTTGGGTGTCGGTAATGTACGATTCCGACAATATAAATGTATTCGAAATGAGCACTAGCGCGCTCTCGATTCGATTGAAAATGACTTTCAAAAAGGTAACATGTATAAAATAAAAGGCAAACATCCTCAAGGGTAAAATAAATCAATGAGGAGAAATTTTGGAAGCAGAACCGTGAAATCGGAAAAAAAAATTGATTGTCAATCATTTTGTTCTATAAAACCGATGGATATCGACCTGCGGGTTTATTAAAACAGCGAATGTATCGTTCGTGAACGATTACGAGTTCGTGTTGAACTCGAGTGCAAACAAAGTTAGTGTTAATCATTAAATTGTTTCTATTGTTTTTAAAATCATTAATTTTGTCGGATTTGTGTTTGGGAAGAAAATACGACGATGGACTTGCGGGTATGGATTAAAACGCCAAATGTATCGTTCGTTCACGATAACGAGTTCGTGTTTGAGTTTGAGTGCGAACAAAGTTCGTGTTCGAGCCCGAGTGCGAACTGTTAAATGGGTGCGTTAGTAAACAACATATGTATGTCTGCATGGGTGTTTAAACTGGGAATGAATTTCTACTTGAAATTTTGATAGGGCCATGTGTATCTTTTGATTGATCTCCGTTCAATTGAAAACGATTTTCAAAAAGACATAAATAAATAAATTAGAAGGTGATAAGCCTCAAGGCTAGTAAATAAATGCGGAAAAATCATAGGACGTGGAATCTGAAAAAATATGACTGTCAATCATTATTATGATGGATATGGATTAGGTGTAGATTAAATAACAAATGTATCGTTCGTTAACAATTGCAAGTTCGTGTTGAGTTCGAGTGCGAAAAAAAATACTCGAGTTCAAGTTGGAAGACGATTATGTACACGATTACAAGTACTTTAAACTGCTTAACCACGTAGCACCTGCTAGCTATCTAGAAAGGATTTTTATGTCGAAATCAGAGTAGGGCCATGTGTAGAAAATCATTCTGCTTCTCTTCCAAACATGCAACATTTGTACATTTTTGTTTAATCTTGCACAATAATGTCTCCTGCTTGACATTATAATGTTTCCTGCTTGACATTTAAAGACAATGATTGTGAGATGTATAGGGTCATGTTTGTACAAAATATTTTTCCCGTTTGTAACAATTCGTGCTAGATATTTAGGGTCATGTGTACGAATCAAACTTTTTGAAATTCCAGTCGCGTCTATCATGCATTTTCTCGTCGTTCTACATTGATTCTCATTTTTAAAAAATTCCTAGGGCCATGTGTACAAAACTTTCATCGCCCTACGGTTTCTGCCAAACCCAATTTTTCTTGCGTTAGGATTCCATCAGGAACTTTCTAATTTTTTATGCAAATTTATTTTAGGGCCATGTGGTGCAGTGTATGGACATGTGTTAAGTATCAATAGCTATTTACTGTTGGACTACGTTTTCTTGTATACTCTACGTATTCGTTACCTGTTGTAACTTCACTGTGGTTCATGGAGTGAAAACTCTATAGGGCCGTTTTTAAAAATCTACTTTGTTTGTCTGTGTGACAAAACAATTCTTGGAGATCTACCGTTAAAAAAAATGGTATGATTGTGAGATGAATAGGGTCACGTTGGTACGGAATAATTATAGGTGTGTTTCCGTTCGTAACAATTCGTGTTAGGGGCCATGTGTACGAATCAAACTTTTTCAAATTCCAATCGCGTCTATCGTGCATTTTCTCGTCGTTTTACATTGAAACTCATTGTGAAAACAAAAATTCTAGGGCCATGTGTACAAAACTTTCATCGCCGTTTTGTAGAGACTTCTACCAAACCCAATTTTTCTTGCGTTATCCTCTGTACTTATGTTGACAGATTATTTACAGGATTCCAGGGCCAAGTGACCAACTTTGTTTTTGTAAAATATCTTTCTAATTATGCAAAATTATTTTAGGGCCATGTGGTGCCGTGAATGGACATGTGTTAAGTATCAATAGCTATTTTGAAGCTTAAAAAAGCTTTAATGTTCGATCTACGTTTTCTTGTGTACCCTGTGTATTCATCACCAGTAACTTCACCTTGGTTCATGAAGTAAAATACTCTAAAGGGCCTTGTTTTAAAGTCTACTTTATTTGTCTGTGCGACAAATTATTTTTTGAGGTCTATTGTAAAAAAATCCTCTACATATTTAGGTATTGTGAGCTGAGATGAATAGGGTCACGTAATTTGTACGGAATATAATGTTTGTTTCCGTTCGTAACAATTCGTGTTAGATATTTAGGGCCATATGTACGAATCAAACTTTTTCAAATTCCAGTCGCATCTATCGAGCATTTTCTCGTCGTTCTACATCGATTTTCATTGTGAAAAAAAAATAGGGCCATGTGTACAAAACTTTGGTAGAGATTTCTGCCCGCCCATATTTTTTCTTGCGTTATCTTCTGTACTTATGTTGACAGATTATTTACAGGTTTCCAGGGCCATGTGAACATGTCTTACTTTGTTTTTGTAACATATCTTTCTAATTATGCAAAGTTATTTTAGGGCCATGTGGTGCCGTGAATGGACATGGGTTAAGTATCAATAACTATTTTGAAGCTTAAAAAACTCTAATGTTCGATCTTCGTTTTCTTGTATACCCTGTGTATTCCTCACCTGCAAATTCACCGTGGTTCATGAAGAAAAAATACTCTAAAGGGCCTTGTTTTAAAATCTACTTTATTTGTCTGTGCGACAATTTTTTTTCTTGGAGATCTATTGTTAACAAATCCTCTACATATTTAGGTATTGTGAGCTGAGATGAATAGGGTCACGTTTGTACGGAATATAATGTTTGTTTCCGTTCGTAACAATTCGTGTTAGATATTTAGGGCCATATGTACGAATCAAACTTTTTAAAATTCCAGTCGCATCTATCGAGCATTTCTCGTCGCTCTACATTGATTCTCATTGTGAAAAAAAATCATAGGGCCATGTGTACAAAACTTTGGTAGAGATTTCTGCCCGCCCATTTCTTTTATTTTATTATCTTCTGTACTTATGTTGACAGATTATTTACAGGTTTCCAGGGCCATGTGACCATGTCTTACTTTGTTTTTGTAAAATATCTTTCTATTCATGCAAAGTTTTTAGGGCCATGTGGTCCAGGGTAAGGACGTGTTAAGTATCAATAGCTATTTTGAAGCTTAAAACAGCTCTAATGTTCGATCTACGTTTTCTTGTGTACTCTGTGTATTCCTCACCTGCAACTTCACCGTGGTTCATGGGTACATGTGTACAAAACTTTCATCGCCGTTTTGTAGAGATTTCTACCAAACCCAATTTTTCTTGTGTTATCCTCTGTACTTTTGTTGACAGATTATTTACAGGTTTCCAGGGCCATGTGAACATGTCTTACTTTGTTTTTGTTAAACATTTGTCTATTATGCAAAATTATTTTAGGGCCATGTGGTGCCGTGAATGGACATGTGTTAAGTATCAATAGCTATTTTGAAGCTTAAAAAAGCTCTAATGTTCGATCTACGTTTTCTTGTGTACCCTGTGTATTCCTCACCTGCAACTTCACCGTGGTTCATGAAGTAAAATACTCTAAAGGGCCATGTTTTAAATCTACTTTATTTGTTTGTGCGACAAAAGTTTTTCTTGGAGATCTATTGTTAAAAAAAATCCTCTACATGTATAGGTATTGTGAGCTGGGATGAATACGGTCACGTTTGTACGGAATATATGTTTGTTTCCGTTCGTAACAATTCGTGTTAGATATTCAGGGCCGTGTGTACGAATCAAACTTTTTAAAATTCCAGTCGCATCTATCGTGCATTTTGTCGTCGTTCTACATTGATTCTCATTGTGAAAAAAAATCATGGGGCCATGTGTTCAAAACTTTCATCGCCATTTTGTAGAGATTTCTGCCAAACCCAATTTTTCTTGCGTTATCCTCTGTACTTATGTTGACAGATTATGTACAGGTTTCCAGGGCCATGTGAACATGTCTTAATTTGTTTTTGTAACATATATATCTAATTATGCAAAGTTATTTTAGGGCCATGTGGTGCAGTTAAGTATCAATAGCTATTTGATTAATGGTGGATCTACGTTTTCTTGTATACTCTATGTGTTCCTCACCTGTTGTAACTTCACTGTGGTTCATGGAGTGAAATACTCTATTGGGCCATGTTTAAATATCTACTTTATTTGTCCATGTGACAAAATTTTCTTGGAGATATATTGCTCTACATGTATAGGGCCATGTGCAGCTCTTACGCATTCCGTTAAACATTACGGTCGTGAAACGTAATCAGAATGATGGTTTCAATGATTCCATGATTATTTTGCGACAAGTGATAATAGTCTCTGATCCTTGTAGTAATGTGTCTTACTGACATGTATCATTATTGTTTGTGATTTGTTTTATATCCGATTCGCAATGATCGATAATTGCCTTTGTGTTAGGGCCATTGTGTCAACTTAGTTGATTGTAAATCAGGTGTAATGACGCCTGTTACGTCGGATACACTTTATAATCGCTCTGTATAGTATATAACCTGAACTTACAGGGTGAAACAATGTTCATCAGTTGATTTTTTTTTTTAACAAGCACAACACAAGTTGAGGTTTTGATCGATGGTAATTTTCAATTCTGATAAGTCCGATCAAAACTGGTCTGCAATGTGAATGTTGTTTCCCTTTGAACCGGTGCGCGTTGCTTTGTCCAATGTCCATACTGGAATTATCATCTTCGCGATCAGTATAGGCCATATATATTTAGAATAACCTAAGCTTTCTTTCTCAACGGTTGAATCCACTAGTGGTCAGGTAGGGGCCACTAACTGGATTATCTTCACCGTCTACATGTTAGATACTTTGCAACCATTTACAGACCTAAAGTAAGTTACCCTTTTTCTATGAGTGTATCTTAATAGTGGTCAGGTAAGGACCATTAATATACGTCTCCTTCTCTTTATACCACAGCACCACAAATTTGATCAGGAAACCACTGTACATGTAGTAACATAACCTAGCTCCGCTAGGAAGACTTCTTTTATTTTCAGCAACTTGCAATTAGATTAGAAGGACCAGTTAACCAGAGTGCTCATGTCAAAAGCTGATGACACGGAGGAACCGGAAGCAGGGAGGAGGAACACCGGATGACTGAGGACCCTGCTTGCCGGGCATCCCATCACTGATTTCCCAGGTAAAAATATTAATGTTGTTTTCCTTTCGAAAAACGTCTTAGGATGTTTCAAGTTGCTCTGCTTGATGTGTCTGCGATTAATGATGCCTTATATTAAAAAAAATAAATCTAGAGGAAAATAATGTCCCGCACACATTTTCTTACATGACTGTGTGTTCCTTCTAATCTTCTGGCAGAGATGACGGTCTACAAGATGAGATATCATTCTGGACGAAGATGCGATCACTTCTGAATCCCAAGGAACCGGAAGCAGGGAGGAGGACCGACGGAAGGACTGATGACCTGCTTGCAGAGCAAGTCTTCACCAATTCTTGAGGTAATAAGCAAAAGGGATTTAGTTTTTTTTTTTTTTCATTTATTCATTTTCATTTTTTTTTCTCAGTCTTCGAGAAGTGGCATGTTGTTCTCAATCCGATAGTTTGGAATTGGATGTGCTTCGAATGTGAACGAAAAAGTAAAATATTAAAAATATTTCTTTTATCTTTGCAGATTCCTCTTGCTTCGTATAAGCAGCAGAGATGAGATATCATTCTGGACAAAGATATGATCAATTCTGAATTCCAAGGAACCGGAAGCAGGGAGGAGGACCGACGGAAGGACTGATGACCTGCTTGCAGAGCAAGTCTTCACCAATTCTTGAGGTAATAAGCAAAAGGGATTAGATGTATTTTTCATTTATTCATTTTCAAATTTTTTTCTTAGTCTTCGAGAAGTGGCATGTTGTTCTCAATCCGATAGTTTGGAATTGGTTGTGCTTCGAATGTGAACGAAAAAGTAAAATATTAAATATATTTCTTTTATCTTTGCAGATTTCTCTTGCTTTGTACAAGCAGCAGAGACGATGACAAAACATAAAGGAGTGCAGTTGTTTGCTAGGGCAGCTAGGAACACGAATTCACTGACTGATGAGTTTTACAATAGTTAGCTCCTGAAAGTTCCCATACGTTTCTCCCAAAAAGTCCGACTAATCCGAGGGATGTATGATGACACCATCCCATTTCGAAATCCCGCCGAAATCCTGCCAAGCATGTAGATGTCGGCTTATTTAATCAATTGGTTTAAGTCGTACCTTAGCCTGAGTCAGTCAGTACCTTAGGTCGTAGTCAGTCCGAGTTTCATTGGGATTCTATTTTTCGAGTTTAAAACACTATATTTTTCAGTCGTTTTATTTTAAATGTTTGACAGTCTCTCAAGTGATTGAATCTATTAGTGTTACACATCAAGACCGATCACTGGATGACATTTTCCGAAAATGGCACTCATCTATCGAGAGAAATATAAGATCAGATAACCTGTTCTCATGGGCCCAATGAACACTGAATTAATTATGTATGGCGCCTTGAACGTCTAAACTGGTCGGTATGCCTTAAATTTACCCATCAGGCCCATGCAGTTGACTGCAATGCGTTGATTTTCCTGAAACTGTTCGCGAGAACCCGACTCCTGCATGCCCTGTAAAACTTACGGCCCATTGTTCTGGCGGAATTAAGCCGATTTAAGAGCAGATTTGAAACTTACCACAATGAGTAAATGATCTATGCCGTTAACATCGACAATGAAAATGTGGTCACTCTGCAGCAATGCAACTTGACAAACACATATCAAAGGCTTTTAGATTTGGCCACAATAGGAAATTGATCGGAAGAAGCTAGAGAAAAAAGTCTGAAATAACTGACTTTAAAGGATAAAGGAGTTTCTGCAGAATTAAAATTTATCTTCTTGTTAAAATGTGTCTTAAATATAGCAACGCAGTAACAAGATTTGCGAAGGCTGGGGTGGGGGGGGGGGCATTTGTGTAGGTTCAAACACGTGCACCCAACTAAAAAATCATTACATTTACCAAATTTTAATAAATGTGTCAAATGTTGGTTCACATCATAGTCATACGCAACCCTTTGAGTCAATGCGTAACGCCCTAACAACACCAATAAAAAGAACACTGATGCTGTATTTTATCTTGCAATTAACTTTTCTCCAATTTATTTCATTTCGATCATAAATATGCCAAATAAACAGTTTATTTAATGTACTCATCGATTTGCATTTTGGAAAATGAACTTTTTTTAATAACCCTATTCAAAAACCGGTCTTATAACAAAACAAATTGCGTAAAGTCGTCAGCTATATAAAAAAAAACTTGACTCCTCAACCATTTGTGGCTTAAGTCTAACATAAATGTTTGTCCATGACAATGACCTATTACGATTCATACAGCACTAATGCATGAAAATGAAATTTATGTTGCAACCTGACGCTACATCAGCGGTTGTGTACAAAGTCTATGGAGAGTCAAGACAACTTTCCAAGTATTTCCTCACAAAATTGGAAATGTTTCTCCGTCCCAGATTCATGTCTTTTCATCATTTTTGCAACAACTGACCTTCATTGGGGTGATATATGATGGAAAAAAGCAGCGTCAGGCTGCAACATTCTCTCCGCAATTTACCGACACAAAGCTTGTTATGGATGAGCATCAGTCACATTTTTGCCATTTTACAAGCTAATTGCACAATGGCTCCGACAGTGGTGGCGGCAGACTCTTACAAGTTGGGGGAGCAAGTGAGGGGCAAAGAAACCTTTTTGGGGGGAGGGGGGGGGGGGACTGGACAACATTTGAGACGTGGGACACTGCTCAAAACATTCATATACGTATTTATGTACATATACTTGCGTTTTGGGGTCATTTCCGAGGGTTTCCAGTCTTGACTTTAAATTCAATTTACAGTCTTTTCTTTTGAGTCTTTTCTTTTTCTTTTAACCTTTTCAGTTTAACTTTTTTGTATGAATTATTTTTTGGGGACGGGTAAACTGGGGGAGGGGGGGGGACACTCGAGGTTGGGGGGCAAGTAAGACAATTAGCGGAGGGGAATTACAAATGGGGGCGGGCAGGGCAAACCTGGGGGGGGGGGAATACAAATGCCCCTCATGCCACCACTAGGTTCTGAACACAATCAACCCCAATACATAATTTTGGGATTTCGTTTACATGAAAAAGCACAATGGAACAAAACACTAGAGTTGTCAAGTCCTCGCAAGTCAATCATAAGTCTTTTGGTCTCTAATCACCAGCTATTCAAATGAATTGTGACAAATTCCCCTCTAGCACTGCTTGTCACTGACTTGTAATTTGGCTGGTGATTGATTCTCAACAACTTTGCAAACCACTAATCCAGAACAAATTAAATATATTAAATACACAAAAATGCTGCAGGGACCAATTCTTTTGACCCATTTTGCGATTTTGTCCCAACTTGTGATTTTGTCCCAATAGACTGGAAAGCATGCTGCTGTGAAAGATTCAAATTTTTAAATTTACAATTAGTGAGATTAGATGCAAATAAAATGCAATTTTAAATACCAAACCTCAAAAAAATTCCAGTTCAACTGCGAAATTCCCCAAAAGGAATCACTTATAATTAATAAATGATTTACAATTATCTTTAACAAAAAAGAAGGCCAGATTCCATAATTTCACATGGTGTTTGTTTGAATGTAGTCTATGTTATATGTGTGAACAGATTCGCTGATTAATTAGGCAAGACTCCGCCTCTTGACCTTCTAGATTTTGACCAATCAGCGGGCGCTTTCTATATCGGGTCTGCGGTCATTTACCCGTTGCGCGTTATAGACAATGGATAAAAAAAATGTGTCACGCGCTGTGTATCATGTTACGCGGTATCACGCCCGGCTGTTGGTGTATTACAAAACACTGCATTCGAATTGACCAATCAAACCATTTAGTCCTGATTTAGGAATGAAATGACGTCACGATTTAGTAAAGTTGACTCCGATTGGCTGGCGCGCGGCTTGCATATATCTGCATGTCTAGACATATCAGACATTATACAGGAGTCTTGCTCCGTGGATAAATGGTGATACTCAGACTAGTTTGAAAGTAGGTGATCTTTATGAACTTAATACTCTAAGCAGACTGGGACATTAACATTTTGTTGAGATATACCATGACATGTCCTGGGATACATCTGCTTTTTTGAAAATGGTTAAACATTTGTTTCTCAGAAAAAAAACATTCCCTGAAGTGTCCATTCCCTGTAAGCACTGTCAATATATCGATATTACTTGATCATTCAATATTACTTTGATATCGAAATTGCCGATAGCAATTGTTATCGTATTGAAATATCGAAAATGCGAAAGATTGTCAAAATAAATCTCCCGTTTCAGCTTTTACTTTGTGTTTAACGTTTGCTGTACAATGCAATAAAAGTTGGCATCAACTTGTGCTTGTGACTCAAAATAAACTCATCGAAAAAGACCAAGCGGCATCACTTTGTGCTCTGCGTTCACTGGAATTTGCAGTCTCCCCAATGAAAAACCTCAAAACAAACCGCCTGACTGGACAAACTGTTAGTTCTAAGTTTGTTTTAAAAAGTTTGAGCAATATGGAGGAGGCCGTGGAAAATTGGGACTAAAGATTTTTTTTTTTAATTTAAAGTGTCATCTTTATGGTCTTTAACACGGGATAATCGATACATGACATATTCTCGATACTGGATTTCCAATAGATTGACAATTCTGATATCGACGGTGCTTAATTCCCTACGATGCCACCATTGAAATAATGCTAAAATTATTACGAATGTAATACAAATTTTAAATCAGTACAAAATTGAACCTATGACTCAGGTTTTTGTAAAGTGTCAATCTTAGTAAGGGCTGTCCGTCCGTTCAGCCAGATCCGGAAAATGTATTCTGATGGAGCTATGACGACGACTCACTATTTCTAACTAGTATTGCCATGGTGATGGTGATGTCATACGTCCAGATCCACGTCTTCTTTATCTTGATCCTTGTCACCGTCGTAGAACTCATTCGCCGCCTCAATCCTACAGAATGCAGAACCATAATTAGCTGCTGAATATTTTCATTTCAGCAAGTTTTTTTTCCACAATCTTTGAGCAATATTTTGATTGGTATTTCTCTACAACAATGTGGAGTTATGCACATTCGAAGGGAAATGGGTCACATGTGTGTCAAGTAATTTGCTGGTAAATATAAAGCCATTCTCTGAACAAGTGCACTAATGTACTTAATGTGCAAAATTTTTGGCAAAGATCGCATATTGTGCAGTCTTTAAAGCTGTGATTGATGGCAAAAACTGTGAGAAAACGTAGGGCAGACACCCAGTGCTGGGTCGGCATGATTATGACAACCGTACACGGCATAGGTAGTGACCATCTTGCCACTTGAGAAAGAATTCAGGGTTATTTTACGTGACAATATGCCCTACGGTCTACTTTACAATGCACGACGTGGTTGCTAACCAAACGCTTGCCTACTGCAATTGTGGCTGATCATGGGGAAACTGATTGTCACATGGTACTTCGACGTCACACAATCGGTACCTATAGTTCCTGCATGGGAACCGCGGCCATGAATTAATGAGGTCGTAGGTCACCTAATGAGTCAAAGGTCAGGTAATCTCACCTCGTGTCTTGGTCCTTGGTGCTATTTCTGACATCAGGGTCTTGTTCTTCTGTTTCTTCTAAGCTGAGTAGATCTGGTGGTACGTCCTGCATCTGAACGCTTGGGGCATGCGCTATACATTTGAGGTTCTCTTGTACTGTCTGCCTAACTTGGTCTATGTACTACCGAATGAAACCGAAAGGGAAGGAAAAAGTTGTGAAATTCAAAATAATTTGACCAAAAGTGGAAGAATTAGACTATGATGCCTGCAGAAATCAGCTGAGTACCGGTCCTGGGCAATACCGTGCGACCCCCAAAAAATGTAACCCTGAAACATATGCCTTTTTTCAAAAACGTGATCGGTGAATTTTTATGTTTTGGATATAAGATTAGAGCTTGAACGGACCAAAAAAGAGTTGTTACATAATTGGCAACGTCTCAGCAACCCGATGTGCTGTTTTCATGATTTTTTCAGTATTTGAAAGGAAAAAACTCTGCGTTTTAATCTGATTTCCAAAGCATAACAATTCACAGATCAAATTTTTGAAAACAAAAGCAAATGTGATGCGATCATTCTAAATGAGTCGTTTGTCAGGAATTTTGACCAGGGTCGACAAACAACTCATTTAGCTTGAAGTTGATGGCATCACAAACGTTTCAGGGTTGCATTTTTTGGCTCAACCTATACACATCACACCTATAATGGCGGGTAACCTGGGTTGTTTTTTGCTGACCACATATTTTCTGGACCTGGCCACTCTATAACTTTGGTCCCAGAAGTAATAAAATAAAACTGCCTTGTCTACACATATTATACACCTACATCTTCGCAACAGTTTTACTTTAACTTTAATTTAAACTTGCTGAACATACCTGCTTTGTGTTGAGGTTTTCAATTCGAGTTGTCGTGTCTGGATGCAATGTGAAATCCGGCCCAAAGTATTCAAAGTAGTCTATGCAAATCAAACAAGAAAACACAAAGTTTTCTTCATGCACAACTATACCAGATTAGTGTTTGGCTATTAACAATTTAAATCACAACAGTGCATCTATAATTAACACCCTAATGCTCATTAAGAAAGAAAAGAATACTGCTTTCCACCACGATGCACTGCAGGTAAAACACGACTTGAATTTTTGAACTTGCAGTTCCTCCTGAGTAACTGGATTTCATTTTTGAATTCATGTCACTATTTAGCAGAAAAAAAATACCAGGCAAAGTTACAAAGCAAAATTCAGTGGAAAGCCAGTCAACAACAATATGCTAAACTGAAATATTGGCCTATAAGTTGTTTTGGCTAAGCCCATGTGCTTAGTAGCTGTCTAATATTGCCTGCAGGTCTGATCCACTCACCATTGTAAGGAAGTTCATTGCTAATATCTTCATCAAGTAGAAGAGCTGTCTCAAATGTCCTGCAATCGAATTCAACCCAAAAAATTGCATTTTAAAAATAACAGCCATTCATTTACAACAACACAAAATTACACTTCTTACATATTTAACAGTAAAGGCACCTTTTCCATTGGTGAATATTCAAACGAGTATGGGAAATAATGATAGTCCACTCCTTCACACATATCCTCATACTAACTCCTTGGCCTGAGCTGGTGCAAACAATTTTTAGACTAGTCATGTTCCCAGACTGTCAACCTCGGTGATGGTCATCAGAATTATTACTCTGGCACCTTGCCAGACTATAGACCTTCTCATGAATAGTTACAAAGAGGGCTTCGTGAAAATATGGCAGGGATACATTGCACGTGCCCATTGGTTCACATACGTATGGCACAAAGTATCTTATTGTGTCCACCATATCTCAAGAACGTTAATAAACAAGGACCAAGGCTGTGGTATATTGTGGCGTCACAGAGTTCAGCAGTGAAGTAAGTGGACAGGGTACGATTTACGAACGCAGATTGAGTTTCGGACAGTCTGTTTTTATAGTTGACGTACCAACAGCGTGCGACATTCCGGACCGTGTAGCCCCCTCCACCCAGCACCAGTGTAGGGACGTTGAACGTCTTGACAAACTTGACGCACTCTCCGTGGCCCTTAATGCTAAGATTGAAGCAGCCCAGCCGGTCGCAACCCAACGAGTCTGCACCACACTGCCAATGGAATACACAACAAAAAATTTCGGATTTCAATCAAATAGGACTAGAATTGCCCAGCTGAGTTGGACCAAATGTCCCAGTTTTGGAGATTACACATATTCAGTGACTCAGTTCGTTTGTCAGTGACTCATTAAAGGACATTCATAAATACCTCAGACAGTTTAGCTATTCCTATTGGTCGAGAGCCCGTCACGTGGCCGGTTTTAAACGGATGATAAAGACATGGCTAGCTGGTCTTAAACACTTTTCCAGTGTCACAATAAAATGTGGACTCCTAAAAATCCAGTGCCTCTTGCCGTTTTATTGGTTGAACGTTCACCGTCCTCACGTAGGCATGCGCAACACTACCAGCGAGTCAGAATTTTATAGTTCTAAATTCAAAACGCAACGCCCCAGGTGCGTTCTGCGCGACATCGCGTCCATGTCGCGCAGAACATGCTACGCGCGCGTCAATCTCCATAAAAGGGTTGTTTACATCTTACTCGCCAGCTGAACATTCCATTATTTTGCTAGAGGGATGTTTCAAAAAGCATGAAGTGAACTTGCTGAACAAAATCAGGATTTTTTGAACGAATTGTTTGATCTTTTTTTACCAAAAAGGTATTTATGAATGGGAATAAATGTGTGCTCGGTCGGTATTTATCACTCTGTTTAATACCACTTAGAGTCTGGGTGCTGATAATTACCCTCGCCTCCGGCTCGGGTAATTATCAGCACCCAGACTCTAAGTGGTATTAAACAGAGTGATAAAAACCTCCGGAGCACACATTTATTCCCTTAATAGATTGGCCCTTCAGGTCAAGAAAGCAGTACTTCCATTGATTAAGATATCAATACCGTAAAAAAGCTGAGAACGAGGCACACGGTGCATGCATCACATTTTGGTTGGTTTTCTTTTTTTCTTCAATTGGAGGGTCCTTGGAGGGGTGACCACTGCCTCAATCCTACAAAAATCCTCCAGCAATCACTGTCAATATGATGAGGCAGAGCCAGTGATATCCTGGACCAGCGTAGAGGATTTCAAGTATAATCTAGGCCCAAATTTATGCATGGCTGAGCATACACGACACAAGATCCGGTCAAAGACTTTGACACAGTGCATCCTCTAAAATCAGCAACACAGTTTTGCCATGAAGCCTCAATTCCGCAAAATTCCCCATTTTGCAGAGAGGATTTGGAAAGGTAAGGGTTTATGGATAGAGTTCATGACTCTTACCCGGGGTACCAGTTTACCTGTAGGACAATGCAGCTGGGTCTGTAGAACTCCATAACACTCTGGATGACCGGCTTGAAGAGACCGAAATACATCTGATCATCAATGCCATCCTTCAAGGGGACATTGATGGAGTAGTACCGCCCACTCTCCATGCCGATCTCGTACATATCACCTGGGAACCAATGGAATTACAAAAGCAGCTGCTCACTTGATGACATAACGACTGTGCTCATGAATATGGATATCTTATATTAGCGTACCAATGCTACTCAAATCACCAGAATTTGTTTCCTGAAATCTGACAGCAAATCTGGCTGAAACAGTCGTTGAAAAGAAACGTGCAAAACCAATTTCCCGCTCGCATGCAAATATCTCAGCTCATTAAATTTCATACGCAAAGTAAGTCCACACAAGATACGATAGTCAGTAATACTCTTGACCAAACATCTTGCTCCCCGGTTCACTCTACGCTGAGAACCCCAAGAATGTTATTTTAAAAAGCCGACTAGGTGTTGGCGTACAATTAAATGTTTTGTAACTAATTCAATTTATTTCTATTAAAAGTACCAACATGTCAGAAATCTTTGCAAATCTGTTCTACAACGGTGTTCTTCCTCAAAACTATGGATCTAGACATTGCAATGTTGTCCAGACAATATACAAATTAATATGCTATTCATGAGATAAGACGACCCTAGCCACGTTGCTAAGAAAGTTAGGATATGCTGAATGTGTCTTAAGTTTGGTGTAATCAATCCTAGAACGAGTCCCGAGATATGACAATTACCATTCTGAAGACGCGTCTTAGCGTTTCGTGAAATCAGTCCTGGGTCCCTGATAAGCGTGGGAAAGCCGCAGTGGCAGAAGAGGTCCCCATCGACAAGATGAACCAAAACCAGTCTTGGGAACTTCCACAGCGCTATGTAGGAAATCCGAGCATACATGTACCTCACAAGAATGCATAAGCATAAATACGGCACGCATGAGGTATGCTCGTAATTTCCCGGGTAGCGCTGCTGACATTCCAAAGACTGGATTTTATTCGTCTTGTAGAAACAATCTCTACCGCTGCTGTTGCTTTACCGCACTTGTCAGGGAATAAAATCCAAATCCAGCCGTTTCTTGGACTAAGATTGGAATCTTACCTGTACCAGGGAAGAAGTGGTTGCCATACTTGTGGAAGGAAACCGTCATGACTCGGTCTGTGAGATAAAACGCTTCTTGCACACCGTCGCCATGATGTATATCGATGTCTATGTACAATACGCGCGGATGGTATCTGGTTTAAAGGAAATGATGGGAAAATGTTAATAATGTGCCTTAAGCAGTTCCACTGTTTTGGAATAATTTTGTTACTAACTGTCAACTCTGTATACCAGATAAATGTAAATGTGTTTGGGTTTATGACTAGATTGGGCTTGGGATCTGGGCATTGTCAGTGCAAAAAAAAAAGCTTTACTTCTGTAAAAACAATAGTGCCCAAGGGGTAGAGATGTGGTCACTCCCAAAGTGACACTTGTAGACTCTTTAACCCATTAGCACCTGGATGTCACTTTATTACACTGTATTTATTCACTGTAAAATCAATAAAACCATAAAGTGCTCGGTCGGTTTTCGGGTCCTACAGGGAGTTGGGTGGTTTCTGGCGCTACAGTATCTAAGGCCCCCCCAAAAAGTCTCCGGTTTCTGGTATGGAGCTTGCCCCAAAAGTGGTGCGGTGACGCGGCTTCTTTTTTTTTTTTTTACTTTTTTTTCTTTTTCTTATGTCGGCTGATGACTGCAAATGGTGCCTGACTAAATTTAGTGCAAAATATATGGGAGTCCAGAGAGGCCACATAAAGCTTATACCTGATCGTAACCCCATCTAAAAACACATTAAAATTGTGCAGCAGCAGGATTCCAGTCAAACCAGTGAGTTTGGCAGTTTTGAGACATCATCTTACACTGAAAATTTTTTTTTTTCATTTTGCCGACGCGCATGGCTACGGCAACGCATGCATACCAGAAACCGGAGACTTTTTTGGGGGGGCCTAAAGGGTTAAGTATGGTGTGGGTGCAAAACTAAGGTTACTTTAGGGAAAAACTTTCAGGAACAAGATGCTGTGAAAGTCTATTTACTGTAAGCCTCTCTGACAAACTTACTTCAGTAATTCAAGAATGGCGATGACTATGTCGTTGACGTAACAAAATCCTGAGGCTTCAAACTTCTTGGCATGGTGTAAGCCCCCGGCCCAGTTGATTGCTATGTCACACAGCTAAAAGAACAACCAGCAGAATCAGGTCATTAATTTCCATATGCTTTAAACATATGGATTAGCATGTACCGCATGAATATTTATAGTCTAGCTTTGCATGAATACACCACAAAATATGCAACATGATATGCACATACATACCAGAACATTAGGCACAGTGAGATTTAAATTGTTATGTCCCACAGCCTACTGCACTTATAAGTAGTTTGGTTGCAGTATACCGCTGCTACAACTGATTTGAACCAGCCAACTGACACCAGCAAGCTCGGTGGTGGAGGGATAAAATGTCTGCACTATTAAGCAGGTGGTCGTGGGTTGGAGTCCCACCCAAATAGCCTGTAAAATTGTTCTCACAAGTCTTCAGACAACATTGAGTACACAGTGTTTAAAAAAAAGTATGTCAGTGATGGCCAAAACCCAATATTGACCAAATGTTAAGCCTCGTCGAAATCAATCGATTTTACTTGGAATTTTTTCCACCCTACTGCTATCTGAACAGTCAAAGACAGTAAAAAAATCAATCATCTTCCCCTGCCATCCCTTTTACGCAGGCTAGTCACTGACAGTCAGATCACATGTCAAGCAAGCACTGTGACTAGTCAAATCCAGTCAACAGACAAAATCAGGCAAGTGGCAGGCACAGCTGGCTTTTCAATCACCCCACAGTCAAGCATTGTTACATAAACAGTCACAGCCAGTCAATCCTGCTTTTATGTAGACTGGGAGCTCTTAAATGTTGAAAACAGTCACTTGATTGATTAGGATTGAAAGGAAAACTTGGCACCGAATGAATGTTTGCATTGGAGGGTAGATACCAAAAGCAACTGTGTGGGACAGTTGCAGACTTACATTGTTATTGAGTTTTGTCGTTCCTTCCAACGACGCGCCTGTATACATAGAACAGAAGTCGAACAGGCCGGGAAATACTGGACAGTCATCCCCTACATTGAAATGGCTAAGATGTTTGGTGAACGTCTGTAGATTCTGTGGGGTGACTCTTTGTAAGAAGTCGATGTAGTCTTCGGAATGGAAGCGGCACATGTCGTGCATGTTGGCCTTGTATGGTCGGTATACCTACAAAAGAAAACATTTGTATGTATTAACACTCTCCTGCTGTCTGACCAGGACTGAAAATCAATCCCTGCCCCCTGCCATGCCTTTATACACAGGCTAGTCACCAACAGTCAGATCATATTTCTTGTAGGCACTATGACTAGTTCAATTCCACTATCAGACAAAAGCAGGCGCCTGTTAGGTACATATACAGCTGGCTTACCATGTAATGTTTTTATTTGTACACAAAAACCACCCCCTAAAATACCAAATTCTTTTGGTTTACACAAGCTTTAAAGTTAATAACGCCTTCATAGTAAAATCTTTGGAAAATTCAAGATTTCAGATTCAGAGAGGTTTTTTTAAGAATACTGAAATTCAAATCGCTGAGTTTTATTGAACTTTGATGTTCTATGCTTCCTCAAATCTCGTAAAATCCTCAAAAAAACCTTGTTGGAATTTGAAGGTTTTTTTCAGGGGTGGGGGGTGGGTTGTAAAGGTAAAAGCAGCTTGTGTTAAAGCAACTACTGGTACATATATTTTAGTCCACATACATACTTACTTGAAGTTTTTTGTAGAGCCCATAGTTGAGCACCAAGTTGTGTGTCAGCGATAAGCGGTGTGGTTTCATCGGATGACCCGGGCCTGACGGAGTGAATAAAGACATTTAAGAGAGAGGTCATTCAGAAAGAACTGTCGAATATAGTCCTGGGACTGTGGGAGAATCTGTTTGAAACAATCCAAAAGATTAAGACTGTCAAAAGAAAACACACATTCATGGCATTCCTTGTACAACTTTGCTCAAAAGGAAGTGATGTCAATGTTTTTGTTTTCAAATTACGTTTTTACATTTTATACAAGTTCCAAAACTGCACTTTGCTATATCTACTTGGATGTCCTTTTCCAAGCTCGCCGTGAACGATGCGAGGTACTTGAAGTCAGAGTCTCGCTTGAAAGAGAAGTTATCCTGAGTGATATGATGCTTGTTACATGTAATTTGGTGGTTTTGTACAAAGTTAATGAGCCATCATCAAAATGTTTTAATTTCTACCAAAGGCACTTAGTAAGGGCAATATTTTCTTAAACTTGATTAATGGTCCACAATGCTAAATATTTTAATACGTTTGCAACAGTTGGGCATTTTTATGGAAGTCACGCATGCGTCAGTTGTCAGCCGAATATGGACTTTACTTTCCTATGCAAACTTCAAAGGGTTTACTCAGAAAAGAAAATTAAATCTGTCCTTCACAAGGTGTTTTGTAGGCGAGTTTAAGTGCAGAATACCCCGCCACTCGATCTATCCACCTCGTAGCCGGCTACGAGGTCACGGTTGGTTGACCTCAATAAACATTCTCAGCGCTACTTGTATGTACTATGCGTCATGCTCCATTGCACTCCCACTTCGTAACCGCGTAGCCGCCAACAGGGTAGTTGGTTTGGACTTAGAATTTTTTCAGCAACTCCCATTCCTTTTGTGTTGCTTCGTTCTCAAATAATGGACCCCCACTCAGTATCCGCGTAGCTGGCATGGACTTGAATTGTTTCTTTTCCAGTGATTCCAACCTCGTAGCCAGAGAATTTAGGGGTGTTTTTTCCGAGTGGCGGGGTATTCTGCAATTACTCCAAAATTAGAGGAGTTTTAAAAATAAAAATAACTAATCTCCATTTAGGTAACATATTGTAAACAGTGTTGTCGGGATCCTGCATCTTTATAGAAAGAATGCTGCATCCTGACGTCACTTCAGCCATGTCAGCGGTTGTGTACAAAGTCTATGGAGAGCTCGAGTGTCAGGAAAACAAAATTGGAAAGGTTTCTCCATCTCAGTCCCAGATTCATGCTTGTCAACATTTTTGCAATGACTGACCCATTGTATGAAGAAAAAAATGGCGTCAGGTTGCAACAAGCTTTCCTAACTTACAAACGTAGGCCTATATCCAATATGATGTTATTTACAAACCTGACTAAGTAACAATGGGGTTCCCGCATTTGCTGCAAAAACAATGCCCTAATGAGAATGAATGATGAACAATGTCCCGATGAATAACGCTTCGTACATACCATAATGGAAATTGCCAACATCTGCGTCGTAAAAATAGGCAATCGTCGGTGAAGACATCTCTGATTTCCAGTGATTTTTTTCACAGTGGAGCTGGTCGTAAAGTCATGAATTAAGAACGAAAAACGCAGCTCCGCAAAGACAAGTAGAACACCACACTTTGCCTACGACATGTACGAACAATAATTCCTTCTTAGCATTCTCGATCTCAAGCTGTACGACTTACGCACATGCATACATGTGCGATCAATGACGGCGCATGCGTTCTCATTGATAACCTCGTTCCGTTCTGTTATTGTAATCAGGCTTGGGTGACCGTCAGGTAATGGCAAAATTCTGCTAGGTGCGCCTCAAAAATCTGCTAGATTTGACAAAAAGCTGCCAAATCAGCTATTATTACACGAAATACATTATGAAGAGTTTTACTCAGATCATGGAGCTATAAAAAGGAGCTCAGATGCAGATGTTTAAATAAAAATTGCACGTGATCTAGCCCAAGGGCAGATCCAGGGGGCGGGGGGGGGGGGGGGGGCGCAACGGGGGCCATATATGGTCCCCAAAAGACGAACCCAAGGCATTTTTTTTTTAAAGTGACGTCGCAATAAAGGCAGGCAAGTTGCGTACACCACCCTCTTCACCTGAAAAAAAAATTGGGTTTAAAGTGGACAGAAGTTGCCTCAGATCGCACCATAGAGCGTCAGTTTTGGGGACCTATTTCCCCCCCCAAAAAAAAATTGTGTTCTGGATCCGCCCTTGGTCGCCTGGCTTGCAATGGTCTTAAGTTCTTTACTGTGTACTTATCAAAGAGCTATATAAAATTAATATAATTTTAATATAGCTCTATGGCCTTAGAAATCTGCTGATAAAAATTCATTTGCTAAATTTTCTGTCAAACTCGGTCACATTTAGCCGAAATTCGGCTAAAACGGTCACCTTGACTTTAATTCCAGCGTTAGGCAGAAAGTAGTCCATCACGCAAGAGGGCGCTCGCACAGACCACCACCTATGGTGGCCTTGAAAAGACGTAATAATAATTTTTTTTTTTAATTGTTTAAATTAAATTAACAGTTCTCCCTCTCTCTCTCTCATCAAACTTTCTCCCCCTAGGCTCCACGGGCCGCCCCAGAAAATGCTTACAAAGGAATTAAAGAGGGTTCAATGTAGGGTTCAATTTCCGGGGTGGATTTGTCCATACTTTCAGAAAAGGATAGGTCAGGTATGTCTTAAGTACAATGCTTTCCTCCTCCAAATTCAGAGCGGTGGACTGGTCACTTTGATGAGGCATGGCCCTCGTGCGGGGTTCTCCCCTCCCAAGTTTTTACGTTATTATCCCAAGTCATGTCAAGTGACTGAGACCCCATAAAAAATGATAGTTTATCTATAAACATACAACACACCATCAAACCTTAAGGGCGTTCATTGTGGTTGTAATTTTATTGGCTAAGAAAATAAGTACATTGTGATTACTCGGTATACATTGCATGTAATGACACACAGACACACATCTGTAAATTAACATTCAGTTAAGTTTCAACTTTAATGTTAATTTTGAAGTGGACGGTAGGATATTCCACTTGTCTATGTTTGTTGTAGAAGGTAGGTTTTTTTCCCAAACATATCTGATCATCGCTAATCTGACTTCTGGCGATACAATTCTTGACTAATTTCCAGACTGATTTATAGCTATATAGCTCTTAACTGTGGTAATAAAGTACAAGAGAAGGTGCAGAGAAGCATCGCCTGTAATAAGAAGATGCTTAATATATTTATTTACTTCGACATTTCTGTCGCGGTTTGTGGAAAAGGTTACATAACCCATATAAAATCCACAATCGCTTTAAAATATTAAAACAGGAAGTTAGAGTTCCTTGATTGGTACAGTGATATATATTTCTGAAAATAGGCCTGTAGCCGTGGCCATTTAAACGATTTTCAAAATGGGAAGGCTTCAAGAAAGGTTACTTCTCTGACTCAAGGTACATTGAGATTGAGAATTAAAAAAAAAAGATTATTCGATTTTTTTTTGCTGAAAGAAAGAATTTTCATAAAATATTTCGACATTGCAATTTGAGATTATTAATTATTCTATCCGGCTGAAAGTTCACAGCTTTGCTGACTCCACTCATGTCTGCATTTTGCAACGCACTTGCTGCCACTGCTATTAAAATAAAGGCAAAAATATAAAATATCAACAGAGCATCGTAACAAAGTTGCTGTTCAAATGCGACAAATTAATTACGTCTGTCTATACATCTTATGGACAGGGCAACACCTACACCGGGATTACGGGTCTTTAGAAATCCAATCGTATATTTCTTGTGCAATGTTGTAAAATATGCTCATAAGATGTCCTTTAATCCCTCATTTAATAGCTAGGGGAAACCTAAAACTAAAGTGATCAATAAAATGTGGATCCCTATAGGTATTTTCTATTTTTTTTCTTCTTTTATTTATTTAATAAGTTGATTCTCATCATATACTTCAGGAATCGATTCTACTTATTAATTATACATTCAATGATTCTACTTATTGATCATACCTTCAGTGATATGACGGTAACTAATCTTCCGGTTCCACACTTTCCCGCAGGCTCCCTCGGTTGCTGTCCTGTGTAAAACATCGGAATTTAAATGATTTATCGGAAGTTTTCAAATGCAGAATCAGTAGACTTTAAAAAAATTTAAATGATGAGGCAATGAAGTCGTGAGGTAAGGGAAAATATGTAAACCTGTAAAATATGTGGCACATGTATCAGCCTGAAGACGAAAAGAAAAAGGCCTTTGTAAGACGTGACAAAGTAAACAATCCAAACCGAATGTCACATTGATTTAGTTGCAAAAATCGTAACGTTATATTACGTGCGGGTCAGACAGACGCAGAACTCTGTGGCGGTAGACGTCTGAGCAGGGCACCAGTTTATATGGAGGTTATACAGGCTGAGTAAAAAAAAACAACGAAAAGCAAATGACAGGGCTATTGTTTGAGTGACGTTCGGCATGTAGCACTTTCAAAATCTAGGATATGAAAGCCCAATTCATAAGCTTTCTTTTAGAAGAGTCATTCAAATCAATTTGTATTTTTCAAGGCACGGAATTTTAAACACAACCACCGTTTTAAAGTTCTGTTCACGGATCACTAAAAATATGTGCGTTCCTTCAGCAAAACTTAAACAATTCACATATATCCCTATGTGATTTGGTTTTCGTTTTGCTGAAAGAACACTTACCTGGAATATCTGGTCCCGACATTTGGGATTCGTTGGGTTTTTTTTACTCGCCCTGTATATCGAGCCTCTCTCAGTGGTGCACCAAGGGTTTGGTAGGGGGGGGGGAGGGGCTCACATGTTTTTTCCCCCAAATTTTGTAGAAGTTTAAAAAAAATTTGCCGCAGAAATATGTGTTTTTGTTTTTTTGTTTGGGGGGGGGGGGAGGACTATTTTGACGTTGGTGGCGCCACTTACACCCCTATTATACTACTCGAAAATAGGCCACATATATTATGTTACTACTTGTGCGTATCCCTGTTGATCAAAAGCACAAGCCTCAAAGATGGCAAACGGTCTATAGACCTTTATGCTGCCACCATTTCAGTCATGTTCTCTGTATCCAATAACAGTACTTAATGATAATGTTCGTTGTGCAAAAGGAACCAGACTATTTTTCCTTCCAGCCGCTTAGGTTACGTTGATTTGAATGGGAAATAATCAAGATGGCCGCAACATGATAACAGTATATTGCAGACGATCTGTTCGCTGAGGCGAAGGCGTGACCTGATATCTGACCACTGTACTCACATCACTGTGCATTTCCATGTAATCCAAAGCCTTCTTTGCAGCTCTGAAAGAAAAAAAATCCGATCGTCATGTAATGGACCCTATGTGATACGTTTCATTGTCCTATTTGCTAGGTCATGTTATAAACAACTTATGATTATAAAGAGTTTATTTCCAAAACGCGATACATGCGATTCTGTTACCTTTTAGAATCACACCTGTCAGTTTCGACATGTTTAATGTAGTTAATTAAAGCGAAAAGTGATATTTAGAAACAACTTTCAAACAATCCAAAGATGAACCCTGAATATTAAAAAAAGTTAATGTTTTGATACAATTTTCCGAGAAATTTCTTAAACCCTTTTTCAACAAAGCCAAGTGATTCAATTTAATTGAAGTATAACAGACCAGCACATGTCTGTCCTTTTGAAAATGGGTAATGTGGTGGCATCCGACATAATGCATGCGGAAAAGAAATGGACGATTTTGGTTTCTTAAAAATTTTGTTTTCAAACACAATTTTAATTTGTTTCATTAGCTTGTCTGTGCCGCGGTAGTTCTTAACATAAATTTTCTTAACATTTTCAACTCGACTCCCAATCAAATTTCTGGGTAGGCCGATTTGCAGTTGGGTTAAAAAAATGACAGAGATTTAATACCTTTTCTTTCTTCTATCAAGAACCACGATAACAATGGCACCGGTAGGTATCAATGCCCCACCGACAGCCAGCAACGTGATAGCCCACCACTCCAACGCTGGCCCCGTTGGGAAAATCTTTGTTGGTTCGGTTGGGACAACACCATCCAGGTCACCCAAATCGAGTCTGTGAAATAAAACAAGACTATATATAGGCAAACATAGCAAAGCAGGTCCCAGAGTGCACCAAATTTTATTCAATCGATTCAGAATGAATAGCCACCGGAGTCGTTTCACGCATGTGGTCTACATTGTTAGTTCTATAAGTGACCATGGCCGGTTAACGGGTTTAACAGAAATCAGGCGCCCCTGGCCTCCCCCGTAACATTCAGCCCCCCCCCCCCCCGTGGTGAGAACCCTGGCTATATGCCGCTGCCTATATGACCCTGATACCAGCACTAATATAAGTATGAGATTGAAGCAAGTCTTCAGCATCTATGTACAATTATCATTGCAGCATTACAATAAATTGACGCCACTGATTGGGGAATATCACTACCAATATCGATTTCCTTTTAAACTTATGCTTTACCGGTATCCAAGAGCGGCCTCTATTGATATCCTCTTTGTAACAATCATCTTTTTAAGCTGTTTGGACGTTAGGGTGAGCTCTTTCCTAGCGTAAGGATTCTTGATGTAGAAAGACACTGCCGTTCGTTTGACCTCAGAAACAAGCTGAATTTTGTAGACCATTACATCATCTGCACTGTTGATGAAAAAAGGTGCAAAAAACAGAAATGATAGGCTTTTGCGCGTGCGCGGTTGGGTTGAAAGAGACTTTCCACCGGTGTAACGGTCTCAATTATCCTACATGCTGATCTTTCCGGACGAATTCAGTGCCGGGATAATCGAGCATGTTACCGTTGTAGGCACGGTTATCCGCCGGGCTGGAGTTTCCGGGGAATGGTCATCATATGGGCAGGCGCGTGCCAGCCGGGATGAAGGATGCGGTCGCCAATGTTTACACTAGACTCGGGATTGCCCGACTTTCAGCTGGTCCAGGGAGGGCAATAATTGTTTTAATAAGTTTCCTTGCACTACACGGTGGTGCAAAAAAAAGAGGGAAACGCACCGTTGACAGGAATTTTAACCTTCTAACTCAACTTACTTGAACTGTTTTCTATTTTGAAAATCGTAAAATTCTGCTAGACGCACTTCAAAATTCTGCTAGATTAGTTTTTTTCCCCCAAAACGATCTGTCAGATGTAGCAGAAAATCTGCTAAGACGGTCACATGCTTATTTGGTGCACGTAATTACTTTATCCATCACCCTTGGGTATCATTCTGCATTGCATGCGTAGGAAACACAATCTTCTTTCAAAGCAGGTAAAATTATGCAGACCTTTTAGGTCACTTTGTCAGTTTTTGCCGCCCATTTTCCTCCGTAATAACGCGCCACTAAATTACTTGGGTAATAAAGGAAAGGGTGACCGATGGTCCTGAAATCCTTTAATATCATTTTAGAGAAAGATTAAGAAATTATAATGGAGCTTTCAGTCACAAGCATATTATTTCAAAGTCAAATAAGTAAATACTTTTCCACTGACCTTGACGATGAATCCCAATTCCGCCTCACCAAAAAATCATATCATTATTAAAAAAAAACATTTTCTAAGCTCCCATCTAATTAATACTTACTCGGCTATCTTTGGGTTTATTAAGCAGTTTCCCTTCGTTGCACAGTAAATGTTGCAGGTAGTTCCCATAGTTGCCTTGAACCTCTCCACTTCATTTGGCTGAAACTATTGGTTGATCGGGTATAATATTTCAAGTTGGACAGTCTAATTAAATTGATTTAAAATGTTATATTAATTAGTATAGTACAGGTGAATTTCAAAGTAAATCTGCGTGAAACAAAGCACAGAAAATAAAATTTAAGAATAGAATTTTATCAGAAGCATTGGGCCAAATTTCATGATTTTGTGTACCGTCATAAGCCAAGAATATACCGGCTTATAAAGGTACGGAATTGTGACTTGTACGCGTGGATTTGTGCTTATACGGGGTTATTGCAGAGTTGCTGTCCTACTGCCTTTACACAGGCTGAACCAGTGGCGTAGCCAGGAATTTTTCGGGGGGGGGGCTGGAACATTTCATGGGGGGGGGGGGCGTCATGTAGATCAATGATAATTTTTTTAGAAACTCAAAATCTCAGTGGGGGGGCGACTGGGGGGGGCGACAAGGTTTCATGGGGGGCTGTCGCCCCCCACGCCCCCCCGTGGCTACGCCACTGGGCTGGACATGTCAGCAGCGCATATTTTCGTGGTAAGCAGCAAAATGATGAGGCCGGACACCAACAAATCGCCATCTGTAAGGCCGTTTCATACTTGACATGAATGGGAAAGCGAATCGAATTTGACGTCATGAAACCTTCGCTGCGAACTTCGCCGGAGTCGAGATGTGTTCACTTTTGCGAATTTTCAGCGCGAATACTTGCCGCGCCATGACGTCACAATTAATTTACATTCGCTCCGACTTTCGTAAGAACCGTTTTAATCAGCCGCTGTACTGATGACGTCACACTTTGTTTACGTATGCACTTTTCTATGGGGCTACGAAACCGTCGTCCCCACCAGGTTCCCATAAGGAAGCACGCGTGTAAACAAAGTGTGTACAGAGCCTCATTGTGGTGTGAAATTTGGATCACTCTATGAAATACGGACTCCTTGGTTGCATTGCGCATGCCTGAGTGAAGATGATTTGGGCAGTGATAGGTCACGTGTGAGGGTTAAAATCCATATAAGGTAAAAGTCAAAATTTCATAAGACACCGGTCTTTATTCCGGAGACTGACAATCGTACCCATGCAAATTGGACATCAATTCTGAGCTCAAATCCACCGGTGTCAATCAGCTCCTGGATGGGTTCCCTTGGGTCTGTGGTCGGGGCGAATGTGGTTGGGGTCGGGGCGAATGCGGTTGTCGTCTGATTAGCACCGTCTCGGAATGTGGGCGGGGCGTTAGGGGGAGGGGGAGGAGGCGGCGGAAGCATCGGCCGTTTTGGAGGCGGTGTTGCGTCTGTGGAGGCAATGACTTTTGTGAATAAGCTTTGTGGTATCACGGAAAAATGTAAATTACATATTATAATGAAGGTTAACACCGCACATTTACAAATCAAGTGCCGACGAAAAATATCCCCACTACACCCCTGGCTTTGAAACCAAGTTGGCATACAGAAAAATTAGCTAGGGTCAATTTAATATAAAAAATTAACATCTTTAGACCGAGACCTTTCCGAATCCCCGAAATTAACCATTGTACAGGATTCTTTACATCATCTTTCAAGGGCAATCAACCTCGTTATACCTGGGCGAATACAATGTGTAACTTCATCGTCTAATGTATACCATATTCCTCCATGGTATACCTATGAGCGTTGGGATAAAGTGAACGAGTGAACGGCGTAGGACAGCCCATATCCCATCAAAATGGCACAAAATGAACACTAAACAGACTTTCGCAGATACAACTATAGTATCCGTGAAGTACATCACCCTTTTTTGTTGGAGACTTTCCCGTCCCAAAATCAGCAATTGTGCAGCAGCCCAATGGTCCTTGTTCACCAACGCTGAACAAACATCGTCCAATAGATACTTACTTCACCCCCTGCCTTTTCCCATTCAAGTGCCTTTTTTACCAACGTTTAACCCCCCATATTTGTTAAGAGTGCCCTTTTTTACACAAGTGCCTTTTTCACCAGCGGCCTTGTACGAGTGCCCTGTTTGGAATTTCGCGGGACAGTCGGCAATCGTTGTGCCCCCCCCCCCCCCGAATAGCGGCATCTAGATCATCCGGTTTGAACAGCCCCTCCCCTCCCACCCTTTTATATTTTGCAGAGGCCAAGTGTCTGGAGAAGAAAACCTGTCTACATTTCAGCACAGATGTGCCCTTTTCACGAACTTTTTACCCCCGAATAAAAATAGCCTTAATTTAAAAATTATCGCCCCTGAATTGGGGTAATGTATGTGAACTGTTGGAGTGGGAGGACAAGAAAGAATGACAACAATGTGACGTGGTGGAAACATACATGTTTACGTTACATACCTAGTGTGGACATTCCTTTGTTTTCGTGTAGTTAAGAAAAACCTGTGAAAAAAACTCGTTTTACTCACACTGTGAAAACTCTTTCAACCCAATTTGTTTTTCAATATGTTTCCCTGGAGTGTTGCTCTTCATTTGCGACACATAAACCTTACCCCAAAATGCATCTAAACCTGTTTTCCAGAGAGGGGGAAACCTTGTGGACGTGGGCAAGTCCACACAACGTATCTAAAACCTGGTTTATGTGGACATAATTAATTGTTCGGAAGTCCACACAGTGAATATAATGCTTGTACATACCCTCAAGGCACACTGCTTTCCGAAGCAAAAATGCTGTAGATAGCAACAGCAGGCGAATAGACACCTTCCTCATCTCGTTAGCGTGTAGTTTTCAATCTCCTGGGCCTGATTGGCAGAGGCAATATCTCAGATTACAAGAGTAAAGCTGAAAGGTGTTTCGATCGCAGATGTAGAACGTGATACATAAATAAAAAAAGAATACATGAAAGCCTGTTTGGAAGACAAAAACATGGTTGTGGTTGAAATATCACTGAGTACGAATAATAGTGGGGCAGATACCGGAAATATTTGGGGAATTGTGCTTTTGATGAAATAAGCATGGCATTTGGCACACAGTCAGAGTGTGTCTTACGAAAGATATTTGGCCACAGGGCCATCGCAGATAGATTTGTCCTTTGAAAACGTAATTAAAGACAGAATAAGCAATTCTCAAAATGGCTGCCATTGGTTGTTATTCTACCTATATTTTTTTCAAAGGACAATCTGCGTTGGCCCTATGGTAAAATATCTTTCTCATGACATACTGCCAAATGCCATGTTTGCATCATAAAAGTCACATTCCCATCACCTATATCTGCCGTACTATAAATGTATTTGTCTCATGCGATTATTGCTCTGCAGTTTGCTATAACAATTTTTGAGGCCAGAAGTCCGGAGTTCGTTTGGTGTGTGCCCTCATTGGCCAAGGGTTGCACCAGGCAGCCAGCACTTGTTCGGGCTACACTTTGTACCATCGTCGATAAAACCGGCAAATTGAAATTGGCTCATAAGTACTTGCACTAGGCGTCGGGGTCGGGGTTAATTATCCCACAATTTATCCCGAAATAAACACTGTTTATTTCGAAAGAAAGAAAAACAAAATGGGTTGTTGTTTCAAAGGGCTCCCTGCTTGAAGAGATTACAGAGCAGCGCGGTCGCGCCCCGCAGTCGACAGACCTAGGAGCGGGAATTTCAAACACACAATAGAAATTCACCGGGAAATATTGTTTACTCTTCACATTCTATAGACCTAATACATAATGACGTCCCGCTTTGTTTACATGTGCGCCTTTCTATGGGAGCCAGGTGGGAACGACATCCAATCGTCCTTCAACCACGTTAAAACGATTTTTGCGACGTCACACTATTGTTAAAAGTGTAGATAATTTTCACAATACTACACATTACTATAGATAACTAATCACAGATACCATGTATTCATGATTGTACGATAACTGTACTGCGGAAACAGTGTAAATGGAAAACAACCGTCAGATATATCAGATAACTGTTTTATTAAAGCGATACGACGTGCACAAAACGAAATTAGTTACTACATCTTGCATGTTCTCCAAAAGACTTGGGTGTGAAGACTTGGTTCTTTTTAATGTTGTAGTCCTACTTAACAGCTTTTGAACGACGTAAAGTTTGTTTGCAATTTTCTGTTTAAAGGTACTTTTGATTGAGATATAAAGAGCCAGTCGAACAAATTTAGGCTGCGATACATGGGAGCCAGGCGGGTTGGCGCTGACAGGCCTCCCTATGGGACTCACTGCACAAAAACGAAACAAGTGGCATCAGCTACTACATCTTCGCTTTTCTCCAAAAGTTTCAAGTCTAGCGCCCTGCCGATTTGCATGCTGGTTGGCCCATTCATGCGCTTCAAAACGGTACCAGGTTTGTCCAGATCCATTCACGTTAAGGTACCTTTAGGCTGCGATACATGGGAGCCAGGCGGGTTGGCGCTGATAGGACTCCCTTTGGGACTTTCTGCACAAAAACGAAACTAGTGGCGTCAGCTACTACATCTGCGCTTTTCTCCAAAAGTTTCAGGACCTGCGACCTGCCGATTGGCATGCTGGTTGGCCCATTCATCCGCTTCAAAACGGTACCAAGTTTGTCCAGATCCATCTACGTTAAGGCACCTTTAGGCTGCGATACATGGGAGCCAGGCGGGCTGGCGCTGACAGGCCTCCCTATGGGACTTACTGCACAAAAACGAAACGAGTGGCATCAGCTACTACATCTGCGCTTTTCTCCAAAAGTGTCAAGTCTAGCGCCCTGCCGATTTGCATGCTGATCGGCCCATTCATCCGCTTAAAAACGGTACCAAGTTTGTCCAGATCCATTTACGTTAAGATACCTTTAGGCTGCGATACATGGCAGCAAGGAGGGTTGGCGCTGACAGGCCTCCCTATGGGACTTACTGCACAAAAACGAAACTAGTGGCATCAGCTACTACATCTGCGCTTTTCTCCAAAAGTTTCAGGTCTAGCGCCCTGCCGATTTGCATGCTGGTTGGCCCATTCATCCGCTTCAAAACGGTACCAAGTTTGTCCAGATCCATTTACGTTAAGGTACCTTTAGGCTGCGATACATGGGAGCCAGGCGGGTTGGCGCTGAAAGGCCTCCCTATGGGACTCACTGCACAAAAACGAAACTAGTGGCATCAGCTACTACATCTGTGCTTTTCTCCAAAAGTTTTATGTCCTGCGACCTGCCGATTTGCATGCTGATTGGCCCATTCATCCGCTTCAAAACGGTACCAAGTTTGTCAAGATCCATTTACGTTAAGGTACCTTTAGGCTGCGATACATGGGAGCCAGGTGGGTTGGCGCTGACAGGCCTCCCTATGGGACTCACTGCACAAAAACGAAACTAGTGGCATCAGCTACTACATATGCGCTTTTCTCCAAAAGTTTCAAGTCCTGCGCCCTGCTGATTTGCATGAAGGTTGGCCCAATCATGCGCTTCAAAACGGTACCAAGTTTGTCAAGATCCATTTACGTTAAGGTACCTTTAGGCTGCGATACATGGGAGCCAGGCGCGTTGGCGCTGACAGGCCTCCCTATGGGACTCACTGCACAAAAACGAAACTAGTGGCATCAGCTACTACATCTGCGCTTTTCTCCAAAAGTTTTATGTCCTGCGACCTGCCGATTTGCATGCTGGTTGGCCCATTCATCCGCTTCAAAACGGTACCAAGTTTGTCCAGATCCATCTACGTTAAGGTACCTTTAGGCTGCGATACATGGGAGCAAGGCGGGTTGGCGCTGATAGGCCCCCCTATGGGACTCACTGCACAAAAACGAAACTAGTGGCATCAGCTACTACATCTGCGCTTTTCTCCAAAAGTTTCATGTCCTGCGACCTGCCGATTTGCATGCTGGTTGGCCCATTCATCCGCTTCAAAACGGTACCAAGTTTGTCAAGATCCATTTACGTTAAGGTACCTTTAGGCTGCGATACATGGGAGCCAGGCGCGTTGGCGCTGACAGGCCTCCCTATGGGACTCACTGCACAAAAACGAAACTAGTGGCATCAGCAACTACATCTGCGCTTTTCTCCAAAAGTTTCAAGTTCTGCGCCCTGCCGATTTGCATGCTGTTTGGCCCATTCATCCGCTTCAAAACGGTACCAAGTTTGTCCAGATCCATTTACGTTAAGATACCTTTAGGCTGCGATACATGGCAGCAAGGTGGGTTGGCGCTGACAGGCCTCCCTATGGGACTTACTGCACAAAAACGAAACTAGTGGCATCAGCTACTACATCTGCGCTTTTCTCCAAAAGTTTCAGGTCTAGCGCCCTGCCGATTTGCATGCTCGTTGGCCCATTCATCCGCTTCAAAACGGTACCAAGTTTGTCCAGATCCATTAACGTTAAGATACCTTTAGGCTGCGATACATGGCAGCAAGGCGTGTTGGCGCTGATAGGCCCCCCTATGGGACTCACTGCACAAAAACGAAACTAGTGGCATCAGCTACTACATCTGCGCTTTTCTCCAAAAGTTTCAGGTCTAGCGCCCTGCCGATTTCCATGCTGGTTGGCCCATTCATCCGCTTCAAAACGGTACCAAGTTTGTCCAGATCCATTTACGTTAAGGTACCTTTAGGCTGCGATACATGGGAGCCAGGCGGGTTTGCGCTGACAGGCCTCCCTATGGGACTCACTGCACAAAAACGAAACTAGTGGCATCAGCTACTACATCTGCGCTTTTCTCCAAAAGTTTCGAGTCCTGCGACCTGCCGATTTGCATGCTGGTTGGCCCATTCATCCGCTTCAAAACGGTACCAAGTTTGTCAAGATCCATTCACGTTAAGGTACCTTTAGGCTGCGATACATGGGAGCCAGGCGGGTTGGCGCTGACAGGCCTCCCTATGGGACTCACTGCACAAAAACGAAACTAGTGGCATCAGCTACTACATCTGCGCTTTTCTCCAAAAGTTTCAAGTTCTGCGCCCTGCCGATTTGCATGCTGGTTGGCCCATTCATGCGCTTCAAAACGGTACCAAGTTTGTCCAGATCCATTTACGTTAAGATACCTTTAGGCTGCGATACATGGCAGCAAGGCGGGTTGGCGCTGACAGGCCTCACTATGGGACTTACTGCACAAAAACGAAACTAGTGGCATCAGCTACTACATATGCGCTTTTCTCCAAAAGTTTCAAGTCGTGCGCCCTGCCGATTTGCAGCTGGTTGGCCCAATCATGCGCTTCAAAACGGTACCAAGTTTGTCCAGATCCATTTACGTTAAGGTACCTTTAGGCTGCGATACATGGGAGCAAGGCGGGTTGGCGCTGATAGGCCCCCCTATGGGACTCACTGCACAAAAACGAAACTAGTGGCATTAGCTACTACATCTGCGCTTTTCTCCAAAAGTTTCATGTCCTGCGACCTGCCGATTTGCATGCTGGTTGGCCCATTCATCCGCTTCAAACGGTACCAAGTTTGTCAAGATCCATTTACGTTAAGTTACCTTTAGGCTGCGATACATGGGAGCCAGGCGGGTTGGCGCTGACAGGCCTCCCTATGGGACTCACTGCACAAAAACGAAACTAGTGGCATCAGCTACTACATCTGCGCTTTTCTCCAAAAGTTTCAAGTTTTGCGCCCTGCCGATTTGCATGCTGGTTGGCCCATTCATCCGCTTCAAAACGGTACCAAGTTTGTCAAGATCCATTTACGTTAAGATACCTTTAGGCTGCGATACATGGCAGCAAGGTGGGTTGGCGCTGACAGGCCTCCCTATGGGACTTACTGCACAAAAACGAAACTAGTGGCATCAGCTACTACATCTGCGCTTTTCTCCAAAA